GAACCCTTTTCTAATCACACTCTCAGCATAAAACGAATACTGGTTTGTCCAAGGTTCACATGCTGAATGAGGACAATGTGTGCTACTTGATGCTGGGCCAAACCCTTGAGTCATTTTCAAGCCATCTTTTTATTTTTCTCAGATGTTTTTAACTTCTCAGCATTTCTTCAGCTTTTTTTTGACTCAGATTAAAGAGTGATTATCATTTCATCATTTGTTTTGATTCAGAGCACAGCTGCTTAAACTCAACATACAGGATGTAGCAAAACCATAACATTTTCCTTTGTGTGTGCTGAAAATGTGATCAAATGCCAACTGTGTAGTAAAACAAGCATTTGTGGTTTTATGTGATTTTTGGACAGGACATGGGTTTTTAGTAGCAGTAGTCTGTCACAGTAAACATGCAAAGTCTTACACAATCAAACTAAATGTTAGTTCTGCTGGCCAGATTACTTGTTGTGGTGAAATAACTTATATCAGACCTAAAGTAGAAAACACCCAGTCCTACAAAAGCTAAAAAATGCAATCATTGTCAGTTTTTTAGTCAAACAGCTCTCACCTCAGATTCTGTGACCTCTCCCTCAGAGAAAAAAAATCCAGTGTTGGAGATGATCTTGCAACAGTTTAAACACAAGTGAATACATAACTCCACATGATCCTGACTGAACTGCTCCACTCGGTGTTCCTCAGATTCCTGCAACTTAAGGTCTCCTGTGGACCCTCCTCCCACAGCCTCCTTTGTTAGAGTTGGATTCTCCACCCAGAAACCATCTGTTAATCAAAATTTCACAGGGAGGTAAACCTGATAGACAAGATCAGTGGAAGTATGCCCCCAAAAAATGTCAACACAACCTGTTCCTGCCAGTGGACGTTAACCAACAACTGCTTTGTGTGGAATTAAATATTTGAAAAGGGGGAAAGGGTGAAGCCCCTCTTACCACATCTGAACTCTGATTCTGAATGCATCAACCTACATGACTGTGCAATTTCACTCCAGTCATTGATTAACATCCACTGTTAAAATCTTTCTATGTGGTGGAAATTGTGCCAACCCTCACTGTCTCTACACACTGAGTGCAAGTAAGTTCATTAACGTGAATGATTCACATGTTAAGTCAATGCAAAGATGCAATTAGACTCTCCTACATCTCCTGTGGCGCGAATGAGGCAAATTAGGCGAATTTCAACTTGAGCAGATATTCGCGTCATGATAACTACTCAGCAGGAAGGTTACCGGGTGACGTATGAAAATGGACAGTTGTTCACGGGTATCTAAAATGGGGGACAAACTGATCGAGTTGGTGTGTGGGCCGATAACTACCCCTTCCATGTGAGGTGTTGTGGTCACATGGTCCCACTGGGGATTGCGTAGCTCACCCGGGGGGATACGCTGTTTGAGCCGAGCGTCATCACAGCAACACTTGGTGACTCTCCCACCAAATGGGTACAACGCGACTGCGCAATGTTGGTTTCAGGAAGTGGAGAAAAAATTAGGAATTACCAAGAGCTTTTTGGCTTCAAATCTGTTTACTGGTGGAAGGCGGAACCAAGTTGTCCATAGTATATACAGTCTATGGTTGTAACTGTAACTGCATGCTTGTGATTCTGGCCGGGCATGGACCACCCTCACCAGATCTACTGTTTGGCTGTCAGGGAACTGTGTAGCCAAACACTCCTCAAATAATAAGAAAGCTGCAGTCTGTATATCTTTACTGTCACAGTAAATCAAACCTCACAGCCCTACAATCAGCCCGGCTCACTAGGAATCGTCCCAGTCCTTCCAGTAAGCCACCCTGGGCCTGTGCTGTGTTTTATCTTACTCTTATAAAATGGTAAAGCAGGTTGTTTCTGCTATCAGTACAAGAACAATATCCTACAACCATTAAAGTAAGAACACAGTGAATTGAGACCATAGTAGAAATCTGTGAGGTCAGTCCAGTCTATCTGATCCAACATAGCTTTCCGGTCTCCTCAAAGAGAATTTGATACAGCGGTGAGTCATTTTCAAAGTCATGAATGAGCCTCTAGGTTTTGATACCGGCATTTGACTTTAGTGTCTTAACTGCAGGTTGTTAAAACGGATACGCACAATGAGCCATGATGGTCTAAAAACACACATTTCACCGCGTCACCCAGCACAACAATCACTTTCTTAGCGACCTTTGCACTTGTTTTGACGCGCCCTCTGAGTGCTGCTTTCCTCCTGCGTGTGTGTGTGTGTAGGTTGTGAACTCTGGCCCTGGCAAACATTAAAGGACAAGCCCAGTCTGCTGCTATCATATGTCCATGTGTCAAGAAGAGAGAGGGGGCTCAGAGCTGCGGGGGGGCTGGGGTGGGTTAGAATACTTCAGCAGGAGGATTTAGTGTCTTTAAAAAGAGCATCAGTTCTGGACCCACTGACAACGTAATTCAGTGCCTCATCGTGTGGATGGTCTGTGGATGTTTTACCGGCCGCTTCATTGAAGTATAGAGAAGAATGGAGCCTCAGCTGGGACACATGAGGCTCCGCAGGTGTGACAGCGCAGGTGAGATCACAGATTAACTTACTCTGCAGGGAGCTTGCCAAAACAAATATAAAGAGCGAATCATGCTACAGAGTTTTTTTCCTACATGTGACACATACAGGCCACAGACATGTTCATACCGCCTGAGTGCTACACATATGTGGATATAAATAGCCTTCATGTGTTGTCATGGTATGCTTTGCTTTCTACAGCAATGAAAGGACCTCTTTGTTGAGCAGAGTGGCTGCAGAAAGGTTGTAGTATTTTATTAAAGTAATTAGAAAAAGACAAGAAGTTCATATAAAATTGCTGCTTATCCTTTACTTTCTGTTTGCTGACAGGTACAAGCCTTGTAGGACACACTTGCTTTTCTGGCAAAATACGGTTGCACCTAAATGATATCATAGCCTCCTGAAAAGCACTGCAGTGTCCTTGCGTGTGTGTGTTTGTGCATGCCAGTGAGGAGATGGCAGGACATGCATCAAGAGGAGTAGCACCAACCCGACTCCCCCACCCCCATGGCAGTCTTTTAGTAGAGCGTGGTATGGTCAACTCCCACCAGAATAGCATGTACCTTCTCTTTAATGATTCAGCCTCTCAAAAAAAACAGGAAACCGGCCATTAGGCTATCACTGCCCAAGAGCTTCTAGACTTTGAACATTGGCCAAAAACTTGGCAGACTACATTTGCTGTTTGGAGTTAATGGAATAAGTGACATTATGACTGCAGCACGGGTAGCTTGGACACATTTGATGCAGTCAGATGCTCATTTAACGGGGAAAAGCTTACTGAGAGAGGCATGTTGCAAAGACAGGATCACAGAATGAGTTTGACAAAGTTAAACTCTGTGCTTGTTGATGTCTTTAGTAGAAGTATTGCTCACAGCTATCATACCATTTTGGCTGCTAACCTTATCTTAACCTCCACAGATGGTTCCCTCAGAGATTTTAAGCACCATTATGCCCACCACTGTTAAGTAATATCACTTACAAACCTCAAGAGCTGCTATTTTACAGATTTGTCCGACGCTTTTCTGTCTTTTTGCTGTGTCAACACGTCAATGTTTCTTTAAAGTTAGACCCCAGAGATTACAGTCCTTTATCTTCTTGTTGTTATCGCTCAGTCAAATAAGCTGCAGATAAGCTAACCAATTCTTGAGGTTGAGCTGGATTTTTCTTGACTTAACTGCTGCATGCATTGTTGATAATTTCAGTTAAACTCAACAGTAGTGTCAGAGATTTGTTGGTAACCACAACTTCACTTGCTGTAAACAAGCATGTTTATAGATAAAGTGGATATATATTGTTCAGCATTAGCCTTGCAGGATGCGTAAGTTACCCACTTATGCATCCCCACACCGTCACTGATGTTGGCTTTTGAGCCGTGCCCGTTTCCACACAGACTGTCAGATTTTATTCATTAAACCACAGGACAGTTTTCTACCTGAGCTGTGAAGCTGCAGGTGTTTCTGGGTCATGCTCACATGATTTCCTCTTTCTATGATACAGTTGCGGATGTGGTGAGAAACTGTAGTGACAGGCCCTGATGCTGTTACTGTAGGAGTTTTACAGAGTAATTTTCCAGCCTGTCGCAGAGTCATGTCTGTTTTAGGGCAGTATTGGTTTTTAGCCTTTGTACAGATATTCCTCCAGTTTCTCTGAATCTTGTAGTGACATTATCAAACAGTAGATAATGGATTTCTTTAAACTTTATTGGACTATTTGCTCACACAGTCTCTCACAGAGTGGTGGACCTGTTCCTATCTTTACTTCAGAGACCGAAATGCCCTTTTATACCCAGTCAGGTTACCAGCCTGCTGCACACTGACCTGACTGTTAAGGAGACGTTCCTTTAAGTTTATCTTGTTTGTTTGTTTTGGAAGCACTACACAACTTTTTCAGTATTTTTTGTCCTTGTACCAACCTTTGCACCTAAGCGTAAGAATATGCCTTATATAAAACCTAATTTCTGAAGTTTAAGCATTTAACACATTTATTCTGCACAGTTTTCAATTAAACTGTGTTTTTATAAGAATGAAGCTCCACTTCTAAAGGCCTGAATCAGTGTCAGTGATTTAAGTTAAGGTGTAAACTGCCCCCTAGTGGTAATAAAGGAGAAATCCAGTTTCTGCAGCACCAACTGTATTCATCTGCATTCATGAGAGGTTTCTGCCTTTGTTGCAGCCGCCTTGTTTGACTCTGTTGCTCTCTGTGTGTCTGAGACGTCAGCCCTCATCACACAGCAGATGTGCAGTCTGGTGGCCTGGGATGCCCCTCTGCCGTTTGACATCAGCACAGGGTTTTTTTGGCAGCTGCACTCAGACCGTTTAAACCACCAAACAGACGGAGAAGCAGACGAGCAGCGCGGCCCCAGGTCCTCCCCCTCCTGCCTACAAAGTAGTGCTCCTTAGCAACAGTCAGCTGACCCGCAGGAGGTAGAGTTCAGTGAAGCACACACATGCACACAGATCACAGAGCGGAGTGAGTCTCAGGCCTCATGGCTCTCACCTTTAACACATCTTCAGAGCAGAAAAGACTCACGCAGACTCCCCTGCTGAAGATCTGGGTGCCGTGGATAGGCTGCAACTTGAACCGAAGGAGAGGATGTAAGTGCAGAAAAAACTAGAGTAGAAGAAGAGCAGGATTCACTGACCTGCTCTTCTGTCCTGCTGATGTTTGTGCTGCTTTTACTCGACTCACTTCTGAGTGAAATAATAGGGTCTGTTGATTTATACTTGTACATAATGAGACTGATTGTTAATCTACTCTTTGTAGTAGCTTATTGCAAGTTTAGAAGTACAACTTTGTTATTATTTGTATGGAATAATACTTTAAAAAAACAACTTTTCCAAATTTCATGAAGTTAACTACATGAGTCTCCTATCTTTTCTCTACCATATTATTGGCATTTGGATAAAACAAAACCCAAAAGTTAAAACTAATTACATTTATTCTTTTGTCCTTTTTAAACAAAAATAAGTGTATCCATATTTTGAACCAGTCTTAGTTCTTTGAGAAATCTTTATTTTCAGCTTAACTGAGAAAAAAAAAATTCTTAATAGTGTTTAGAGTTTTGATTTTTAACCTCACATTGATGGATCACATCAAAAAAGAAATCATAGTGACTTTGTTGTCATCGCCCGACAGTATGATGAAAGTCGGAGCTTCTTTAAGTGGTGCACATGAACAATAAGAGACGCATTAGTTATATGTATTATTATTACTGGAACCTGATGTTGCTTCAGGCCAGGCCTCAGTCCTGTCAGGGGGGGATGCAGGTAGTCTGGCAGCAGTCTGAGAGACACAGGAGTCAGTCACGGGATGAGAGCCAGACCAGACTGGAGTTGGCTCTGTGTTCAGCGTCTGACACGGTCCTTTGAGCATTTTGCTGACGCAGCATACTCCATTCATAATCGAACCCCCTGGAGGCTGACACCCTGTCTGTCCCTGTATAGACACACTCTGACACAGAGGCCATCCGGGTAACTTTTGTGGGTCCAGTCTGCAGTCTGCCTTATAAAGTAGTGGCATTTTTTTGACCTCAGAGACAGACGAGAATGCAGTGACTGGGTCATGAGTGGGTAAGAAACGCACAAAAGCTTTAAATTTGACCGAAAAATCTCATGGTTGTGTGTTCCTGTAAACAAAGAGCGATGTCTCCCTCCAGTAGGTTTTTCTATGTGCATGAAATATATCAGAATAAGGAAAAAGCCTCAAACCAAAGCTTTAGACGTGCTGTGTTGATGTGACAGTAGCTGGCAGCGTTTTTGTGTGTGGCTGATCTCATTTGTCACCATCTGCAGGTAGGAGAATGACGTTTAAACACACCTGGAGGGTGACTCTCTACTGTAAATGTCTGCCATCTGCTGCAGTAGTCTGTGCTGTTTCTATCAGAGCAGAAGTAGGAGGAGCATCTAGAGTTGTATCTCTTCTTTGGAGGCGTTTTAACTCCTCTTTAGTGAATATTCAATCATTTTTCTTGTTTGTTTAGTTTGTTTGGAGATAAGATTTATGATAAGTTGAAGAAGATCACCCTAGCAGCGACAAACTCAGCATATGCTGTGTTTGTAGCTGCACAGATCCTCAGCGGCTCTGAATTCTGAGTTTATCTGACCTTTCTAAACACCAAGCTGATGCTTATCTGCCGAGTCCTGGAGCACTTTGGTTTTAATCGCCCCCTCCGTCTAAGATAATGTTCTTATTGTGTGTCTTCCTCAGCCTCGGTGCCTCAGTTCTGTAACTCTCCCACCATGATTGTGATGGTGGGGCTGCCGGCCAGAGGGAAGACGTACATCTCCAAGAAGCTCACACGCTACCTGAACTGGATCGGGGTGCCGACGAAAAGTCAGTTTTCAAAGTGAAACCATGAAATCCTGATCAGAGAAGCAGAGAGGAAACAAGGAGTCATGTGTTTTGTGACTGTATGAGCTCAAGGATATTTTGTTAACCTCTCTGTCTCTTATCTAAAAAAAAAAACAGTGTTTAATGTGGGCCAGTACCGCAGGGAGGCTGTGAAGATCTACAAGAACTTTGAGTTCTTTAAACCTGATAACGAAGAGGCCATGAGGATCCGCAAGTAAGGAGAATCATATATTTATCCAGATGCTCAGATGCAGTAGATTTATACAGTCTGATTTTCTGTCACTCTTTAGTTTAACATGCACGCTCTCTCTTGCACAATATTTGCCGTTGTTGATCATAACTAAGTTCAGGGTGTGTGTTTGTTTTTCAGGGCCTGTGCAGCAGCCGCCCTCAAAGATGTCGCTGCGTACTTTTCAAAGGAAAAAGGACAAGTAGCTGTGAGTCGATAGAAAACTGGAACTGTTCCTTTAATTTCAGTGAAACACACAGTGGATCTGTCTCAGTGTAGGCTGTTCAGACTGACTGAGTCCTGTCTCATTCAGGTTTTTGATGCTACCAACACCACCAGAGAGAGGAGGGCGATCATTATTAGTTTAGCCAAGGAGAAGGGCTACAAAGTGAGTAAAGACTGAATCATCTACTACTGCAGCTTCACTTTGAATCTCAGTCTGTTTCATTAGTTTGCGAATTCTTTGAGAGTTACGTCAAATCAAAAAGAATGTGGTGTGGTTGAAGGTCACAACATGATTTATACAGCTGACTCCTTCCTCTTATGCAGGTGTTTTTCGTCGAGTCCATCTGTGATGACCCTGAAATCATTGCAGAGAACATTAAGGTGAGAAGCATCTCTACGTCACATCAGTGTAAAATGTTTTATTTTTAATAATAGAAGGAAAAATGTTGATAAATCTGTCTTTACTGTCCAGCAAGTAAAATTTGGGAGTCCAGATTATGTGGATCGAGACATTGATGAAGCCAATGAAGACTTCATCAAGCGCATTGATTGTTACAGAGCCAGCTACATGCCCATCGACGACGAGAAGGACAGGTACTGACGCCAAGTTCAGGTCAGGTTAGCTGGTTTTCCCATAATTCCTGTCTAATCCATGTTTGTGTCGGTTCTCTTTGAACAGGAAGCTCTCCTACATCAAGATCTTCGACGTGGGCAGTAGATACCTGGTGAACCGGGTCCAAGACCACATTCAGAGCAGGATCGTGTACTACCTCATGAACATCCACGTCACACCCAGATCCATCTACTTGAGCCGACACGGGGAGAGCGAACTCAACCTGTTAGGCAAGATTGGAGGAGATTCAGGCCTCTCACCCAGAGGACAGAAGGTACGACGACTGCAGAGTACAGACGGAGTTTATGAAATTAAAGTCCTGAGGCAAACTTCGATGATTTAGACTCTTCGACTGTCTGTCAAATAAGTGTTTCCATGGTTACTCCTACTGCAAAGTCTCACTTCCAGATTTCAAACTTCACATTCATTCTTTTCAGTATGCCAACGCCCTCGCCACATTCATCAGAAGTCAGAGAATCAGTGACCTGAAGGTGTGGACGAGTCACATGAAGAGGACCATTCAGACCGCAGAGACTCTGGGAGTCCAGTACGAGCAGTGGAAGGCCCTCAATGAGATAGATGCCGTGAGTTTAGAAATATGTACAGCAGGAATATGTTTCTGAGTTTGTCTGTGTGGGAATTTGGGGCGTTTTTACGCCTGGAGACCTTGTTTAAAATTCCCAGAATTACAAAATTACCACTGCAGGGGAATTTTAATTATAACTGAGAGCAAAACAATAGCAGTAAAGAAAGTTTGCTCAGCGTCTCCATCTGTTTATCATCAGCAGAAGAGCTGGAGTTAAAAAAAAACATCTGCTAGTTTAGTTCAGAGATTTTTTTCCTGCTTGTAACACGCAATAACTTGTTCCTCTCGTGGTGATTTGTAATGTAACTCCTTTTCTTACATAAGGGTGTGTGTGAGGAGCTGACCTATGAGGAGATTCAGGAGAACTTCCCAGAGGAGTTTGCACTAAGAGACCAGGACAAGTATCGATACCGTTACCCCAAGGGTGAGGTGAGTGCTCCTTCAATTTACCGACAGTATATATTTCTAAGTGAACTGCAGCTGTATCCCTGAGAGTTTTCAGGACACCTGCTCACACACATTCACACATCAACACTTCTCAGTTCAGCCACGGTCTGATCTGCCAGTTTCTGACTAAGTTTAGTCAGAATTACAGGAATTGTTGAACAATTTGGGAAATACCGTATTACCTTTCTTGCAAGGAGTGAGATGGAGAGATGATAACACCGTGCGGAGCACGGCTCTTTAGCCAGGAGATGGTTAGATAAGCTCAGTATAAACACTTGAATTAAAGGGGAACAGCTCCAATAATAACAGTGTCATGGTTTTATGAGGGGTTATGTCCCGGACTCTGATTACTTTATTGGCAAGCTCACTGTGATGACGACACTCCAGGAAGTCTTTCTGTTTCGGAAAGGAAAACAAGCGCTGGTGTGACGCATACTTCCAGGATGTAGAAATGATCTGTTGGAAGTAAAGTTTTGATCCGAGCACAGAGCCCTCATCAAATGTAAAGTAGGATAAATCCTGTTTAGAAATTGATGAACCCACTCTGTATTTTGTCTCGCTCAGTCCTATGAGGACCTCGTTCACCGTCTGGAGCCCGTAATCATGGAGCTGGAAAGACAGGAGAACGTTCTGGTGATTTGTCATCAAGCTGTGATGCGCTGCCTGCTGGCCTACTTTCTCGACAAACCTGCAGGTACAGAAATCTTCTTCTCAACTCGCATTATCATGACACTTCAGCAGACTAAACAACCTCTTCTCTCTGTAGATGAACTACCTTATCTAAGATGCCCCCTCCACACGGTGCTCAAACTCACACCCATCGCCTACGGTAAGCAGTAGATGCTTGAGTGATGACATACCTGATCTCAGTAAACCTTTCTTCCTGACGGTCTGGTTTTCTCCTCAATCACAGGGTGTAAAGTTGAATCATTTTTCCTCAATATTGAAGCCGTAAACACTCACAGAGAGAGGCCAGTGGTGAGTTTCCACCAGCACACATTTGTCATAATAGACACTTTGGTTTGCCAACCGTCTGTCTGTGGCACATTACTTACGTCTGTTGGCAGGCGGTCTGTTTTTCTACTTGTATTGATGAAATTCATACAGAAACACTCTGGGTTCACTTAAGAAAAAGAGTCCGCTCTGTTAGGGCCTCAAAATCTCAGCAATCTTATTTTTTCACAAAAGCTTGTTGTAGCCCAGTAAGAGATATTGGTGGTTTTGCAAATTAGGATGTCAATAAGATGACATCCTCAAGACGGCAGCTAAGAGATTCTCTCACCTGTTCTGCTGCCGTCGCCTGGATTGCAGGACAGACAAGATCTTGGAGTTCAGTTCTCACATCTGTGCGCCGAACCGTTATTACGTCACTCTCTGTTTGAAAGTAACTTGAGACAAAGCAGGTGAGACTGTCAGCGGTTTGACGGCTGGAAGAGAATTCAGTCAGGTGGAAGTTGGAGTGAGATACTGCTGTCAGGGAGAGTTTGTCAGAGATGCTAGTAAAGCAAAAGCGCTGGGAACGAACACTTTGGTAAGTCATTATAATAAAGTTTACATTTTTTTGACTCAGTAACAGGTTAAAATGCCAGAAATGATCATAAATGTGTAGAAATATTTATAAGTATATAAAAAGGATAACACTGATGTAAACCAAAGCTTGTATGAGACTGAACTGTAGGCTGTATAGAAAGAAAATCACAGTTTATGTACATGAAGATCCCCCTGTGTGTCTTGGGTCGTCTTTTTAAATCACAGTTACTTTATTACCTCTCTGATTCGGCTCATTTATAGCCCTTAAAATGACCCATTTTCAAGATGAATTGGACGCAAAACAGGTGTTGAAATATCTCTTTCACTTACATTTGAATAAAAAAAAGCCACATGCATTTCTAGTGACATAACTCAGGAGCCTGATAATCTGCGAACCTTTCACATCTGCTAGTTATTAGAGTATTTATGGATTTGGCAGATGCAGACGGTTCTCACAGGTTTTTACGCTGATATCTTTGCAGAATGTCGACATCAACAGAAACACGGACGAGGCTCTGCAGACCGTTCCCGACCACGTATAACTCCAGTTCTGTGATATAAAAGGACTACGATCATGTGAGACTTGTGTTGCTACTGACTAATTTATCCTGCAGTTAAAGATGCACTCTAGTTCAGGGTTAAAAGGGTAAAAACAGGAGGCGGGAGGGGCTCAGACTTTACATCACAGAAGGACATGGCCTCCCCCTGCTGTGAACGGAAAGTACATAACATGATGTTCCTGTCAAGTGTTCCCGTGTGTAATCTGACGAGTTTTTTAACACAGGAAATGTCAGGTTGTTTACAAAAAAGAGAAATAAATGCACTTTTTACTCACACGAAGAGGAAAACTTTTAAACCGATGTAGAGATGTTGTCTTTGTAACTCTGGCCTGCATGCACATTTAGGTCATATCTGTACAGATAATTTGATATTAGTAATCTAATTAATAGAGGTGGGAATCAGCACCACGGACAGCACCCAAACAAACAAAACAATTTGTTGTGCATAACTTTGTAAAAATAGAGAAGTTGACTAAATCCAGGTGGTTTTGAATGAAATGTAAACTATCATTGTGCAGAAATAAACCCATTTGTCTGAGAAATACGTGTGTTTGTTAATTTAAGCTCAGAAGTTGACCAGCAGACTAATGTCCTGTTTCTCTCAGGCAATAATGGGTCTTTGTGGAAGAGCACTCAAGTCCAAACTCACAACATTTGGGAGCAATTTTACCGGATAAACTCCAACTGGAGATTTTCTTTAAGGAGGACTTCTGCAGGGGGGAAGGGGAGGTGTTTTGGTAGCGGGGGTGTTTTCCTCAAATAGTCGAGCAGAGGTTAATAATCCCTCATTTTTCGGCTCAGTCCGCGAAATTTCCAGCGTGCACGAGCTCAAGCTGAGAGAGCGGCTTTCTTTGATCGCGGCGGGACTCGCGCAACTTTTCCGCTCGAGCTTCACACGCTTCACCTCACCTGGCGGATGTTCGACTCTTATCGGAGCACGTTTCTGTAGTTTTTAATCTACGATTGTAAAAGTTCGCAGAGGTGGGAGAGGGGAGGGTCGACCCCTTGCAGAGGATTTAGGGGTGTAAAATGTGAGGTATGTGCACGGCGCCCGCTGCACGAGCCGCTTCAGTCCCCGCTGACAACGTGAGACCTCTGGGTAAATTGACTTGAGTTTGGAGCCTGAGAGGTGACCTATTAAAGAGACACGATGAACCTCACGATTCAGTGCATGATAGTTTTCTTAGCGTTTTCCGTGCAGGAGGGACTATCGAGGAGTTATGAGGCACAACTGGGAAGACAAAACCTTTTACAGGTGAGTTTTCTACTTTATTTCTGTTTCTACATGCTACTATGCAAATGTAAAAGTCAGTGTTGCAGCCTCTTAACCCTTCACTATATAATTCATAGTTTTTTAATGTCCTCCTATAGATGCTTTTCACCCTTTAAGTTCCTCGTTTTAGTCAAATTCCCAGCAATGAGCAGGATATGTGGTAATGTATTGACACAGCAGTGACTTGTGTGCTAAATTAACATTTGAGACCAAACCGTGCAGCCCTCAGTGGCCCTGTGTACAGTGAAAGCATTTATTTCCAGTTCCACTTCCCCTCCATTCATGAATGGCTTTGATTCAGACTATTTTGACACAAAATCTCGACCCAACCCTCACAGGCAGATTGTGGTGATAACTTCAAATAAGGGGTCATCTTGAACAAACTATGGATTGATAAATGGTGTTTGCAAAGAGCTGCGAAAGTGGCTTATTACTTGTCAAGTATTTCATAAATCACAGTCTATTTTGAGGAAGAAAGTGGGTTAAAGGTTCTTTATGTCTCCATGACACATATTGTACCATTTTACTTGACATTGGACCAAACAGCGATATTGGTGTGGTTATGGAAATATCAGGATGTGATCTGATAGTCTCTAAAATCCACCTGTAGAGTGATTTAGTGTTGGTTTAGCAGCGGCAGATCCAGACCTGTTTCCCAGAGGTGGCCTGACTGATTTAGATGGTTACCCTTTCTCTCTGATCATAAACATCTTGACATCTTACTTTTGAATATCATAAGGGTCCTGAAGTCCTGCTAAAGGTACCAGATGTTTTCGGTAGAGCCATCACAGTCGGATTAGTTGGCCATTAGACTTTTTACGTTTTTACTTTGAATGTCGGAGACTTTACAGATGGATTTTCACACTCCGGTGTAGTTTGTCCTTGTCGAGTTGCTGTAGTAGTAGGTGGGGCAGCCCAAAATGTCTGATTGTTCATCATATTCGGACCTATAAAAGAGGTTTGTAGGAAAACTCTATAATCCTAAAGTCATATTCAGTCACCCCACATTTTTTAGCAGCTTAAACTCTTGATCTATCCTCCTCTTTTAGTGTATTTATCTAAGAGCTGCCCCTGACCCTGTTTTTTACTTACTTAAATACGTATCGATGTATTCATACATTTCATTTTTCTGCAGAGATGCTGAAACTTCAACCACAAAAATCTAAATGTCTGTTTTATTTTATTACACTGTAAAACTGTCGGTTTTTGGATTGTTAGGTAACCACTGGGGTGGGGAAGCTGGCCACCCATGGCCACCCTTTGGCTTTGCCCCTGTGGTTGACAACACGCTCAGTTCTTTTTGCATGTAGCAGATAAATTATTACTACTACTAGAGACAGTAATAATCCTGTAAAATCAGTTATATCAGCTATAAAACGAATATTATGATTAAAAATCCGTCAACATCTACAAGCAAATACCAGATTATTTAAGGAATTCACCAACAACTGAACCTTTCTGCTCTTACTGCGTGTTATATATGTGATTTTAAACAGGGATATTCATTAAACAAAAATTCTAATGCTCATGATTGACTTTTATTTCCACCTGCTTCTTTTCCAGAGAGGAAAACGTCAGAACAAAGGAACAAGAGCGGCGGTAAGTTTGTGTTTTTTTTGCCAAATTTCATCAACTATCGTTGCAAAATTAGGACTCTACATGTAAACTCTAAACCTCTTTGTATGTAAGTGTCATCAGTATTTCCATCTTTCTTCGCTGTAGTGTTAACTGTGAAGACATCCCCTGAAAACTTGCAGTAATTCAGTTTGAGTAGCATCATCACAGCACTCCTTAATACCCATGAGCGTCAGGGTTACATGACCTCTGCTGACCAGATCGGTCTCAGCAGGCGCCGGCGTTCCCAGAGTAAGCAGAAAGAGGACAGAGACGCCATGCAGGGAACCGTTTTGTGTTGTTTTGGTGACTTATTAGAGCAAAGCATGCAGGGAAAACCAAAGTGTGGGAAACTGTCAGGTGTGATTGTTGGTGAAACTTCATGTAAAATCAGGTCTTTTTTTATATTATTAGGATCAATTTCTGTTTCTTTATTTGTGTGTCATCAGCTGAAGGTGACAGACTACCATGTGAGGTGCAGAGTCGTCTCCCGGTACGCTGTAACCACGGTCCAGAGCTCAGTTTGGAACCAGCTCCCCATCACCAAAGAGGCTGCGTTCGAGGTGGACCTGCCCACCTCCGCCTTCATCTCCAACTTCACCATGTGAGTCAGTCAAACACTTGAACATCCCTACACTACGGAGTATACAAGTGTCCATTTGAGTGGCATAATAGATGGTAGCTTCTTCTTATTTAGGTGAAATCCTTTCCATCAGCCATCTTTGTCTGGGTCTGTCGTCCAATCAGAGGCTGTATTTGCAGGTTTAATCAGAAGCCTGGCTGTTTCGGCAAACCTCTAGTGGACATTTGAGGAACTGCAGGTTTTTACAGTTCTGCGTTGGCTTCATTTTTCCACACCAGAGAATTCAAACAATCATTCTCATCCTGCTCTTGTTTTTAATCTCAAGTCCTCACGACAAACGGACTCTTCTTTCATGCCGCAGGTCAAGCTTTCGCACCTACTTAGTCAGAAGTATTAGGGCTGGCAGAGGAAGATCACTTCTTCCCTGTGAAAATAAGACCTTCCTGTCGCACGGTCAAAGATTTAAATAAATGAAGGTAATGTTCTCGTTTTTTTGGCCGAATCCAGAAATAAAACTTCAGAAGAATTATGTAAGGAACTCGAAGTCCGGTCTTGAGGAGACGCATAATCTGATTACTTTCTAACCACTCTCCTTCAAAAATGCTAAATATAAACAAAACAAAATAAGTCAACACCGCGGAGGCCAAACACAGAGCCTGGAGCTGGATTTGGGAGCGGAAGCAGGTCAGGAGGAGGGGGAACCTGAGGGCACATGAATACCGGGCTTTGTGAATGGAGGGCAGAGAAGTTGATAGAAAAAAACGATGGGAGTTTGCTCGGTCCCCCTTTTTCTCCCCCGCACAGTTTACCGAGGCAGCCGGCCAGTTTAGATACGCTGCACACACACACACACGCACACACACCTACATCTACTGCATGTATGCTCACTCACATGGAGGTGGGTGTCGACTTTTTAAGTACGTGCGAGTCTGTTTTTTTTTAATCCTCCACCATCTCTCCTCCACATTCATACTCTCACATGCTCAGAGCTCATACAGCCATCTGCATGTTACAGAAAAGGGGGAAAAACCTGCTGCAAGTATGTCGTGTTAGTTCCTCAGCATGTCTGTGTGCGAAACTGAGAGCTCTGTGTTCTGTGTGCAGGTCACCGACGTACAGCCATACCTCAACCCCCTCATCCAGCCGCACATATAAATACAAGAACCTCCATTTTCCACCCCGGCCATTCTGCTCTGTTCCTCAAACAAGAGCCGCTTCAAGCCTGCAGGTTTATTTTAGTTAGCCCTTGATGTTTTTTCCCCCTTTGGATAGATGTTTGTTCAAAGGACTTGACCTTAATTTAGCACCCCGTCGTCACGTGACTGCGCCAGGCCCTGAAGTCGAGGTGCGCACTGTGCGATTTAGACCCCGCGGGTTTTGGTTGGGATTTTTTGCAGGGTGTAGCACCCAGCGGCACTCCCTCAAAGCGTCATCGCCGTGCAAGATCTCCCTTCATTAACGCTGTTTTCAGAGGGAAATTGCAACCCTGTTTATGACGGCGTCGCCCCCCTCCTTCACATGGTATGAACTCTGCTGGTAAACAAGCATGGCGCACGCAAGAGAGGCAGCTTTGTGATCGCTCTGGAAATACAAGAAGCAAAATAAAGTAATTCGTGCTAAATACCTCAATGCAGGCGAGGCGTGTTTCTGAAATATAATCCGGCTACTGTGAGTCACACAGAGAGCGTTTTCTTCTTCCTCTTTTCTCTCCACCATCAGCACCTCCAACAGCAAGGTGTATGTGGCCCAGGTGAAGGAAAGAGCCGCTGCCAGGAAAATATACGACGCCGCTAAGAAGCAAGGAAAAACTGCAGGACTCGTCGCGACCAAGTCAGTCCTCATTTTCCTGTGACTTTGGCAAAAACAAACACGTCATAGAGCGTCTGTTTTCCTAACAGTCTTAATAAGCGTGGTGACTTTTGTTCCAGAGAAAGAGAGATTGAGAAGTTTCGTGTGGCGGTGAGCGTGCCGTCAGGAGCTCGGATGTTCTTCTCCCTGTCCTACGAGGAGCTTTTACCTCGCCGACTCGGCCGATACGAGCTCAGTCTGGGTCTGAGGCCCGGGCAGCCCGTGCAGAACCTCACGCTGGACGTCAGTATAACAGAGCGGACGAGCATCAGCTTCATCAAAGTCCTTCCTCTCAAGACGAGCCGGCTGCTCTCTAACGCCGCTCAAGGTAAAATCTCAAAGAGCTTCTACCTGACCTGGTGAGTTCATGTGAGAACAGAGAAATAAAACTGATAGATGGTGTAAGATGAAAAGTGAAGAGCTATAAGAGGAGGACATCTATCTTCTGTAAGTGGGCAGATTCCACAGAACTACTTGACTTCAATCATACTTCACCCTCCTCCAGATGACGCCGCCGCTCCTGCCTCCACTCATATCGAGCAGAGTGGAGGTTGCGCTCGAGTTCGCTACAGTCCCACTTTGCAGCAGCAGAACAGCATCTCCTCCAAAGGCCTCAACGCTGACTTCATCATCCACTACGACGTGGACCTGAAAGACCTCATGGGGGAAGTCCAGGTCGGAGGAGACTTATCGATCTAGCTTTATCTCAATATGAAAATACCGTCTTCTCCTGTTTTGAAGATGTGCTTTTACTCCTCCCACAGGTGTATGACGGCTACTTTGTGCACTACTTTGCACCCAGAGGACTTCCTGTTGTTCCTAAAGATGTTATATTCGTCATCGATGTCAGCGGCTCGATGATCGGCACGAAGATAAAACAGGTAAAGTTGTAAACCTGCTCAAACGTTGAACCAGTTTGTGACTTTCTCTCATCAGTCGTCATGATTTCTGTCAGTAGACTAAACAGGCCATGAGCACCATCCTCGGGGACCTCAGAGAGGGAGACCACTTCAACATCATCACTTTCTCAGACAAGGTTCACACCTGGAAGAAAGGGCGGACAGTGAGGGCGACTCGGCAGAACGTGCGGGACGCCAAAGACTTTGTGAGGAGGATCATCGCAGAAGGATGTGAGTCTTGATTCAGCGGATTCTCTTAAATCTCCTTCTTCACGCAGATTTCTTGATTGTTTCTCTCTTTTTTTTGTTCCAGGGACAAACATCAACGCCGCTCTGCTTTCCGCCGCCCAGCTCGTCAATCCATCATCTTCTCCTTCCTCCAACCACTTCTCAACCCGTCGTGTCCCTCTGGTGATTTTCCTCACCGACGGGGAGGCGACCATCGGAGTGACAGCCGGTGACACCATCCTGAACAACGCCAAGAGGGCTCTGGGCTCGGCCTCTCTGTTCGGCCTCGCCTTCGGAGACGACGCCGACTACCTCCTCCTCAAACGTTTGGCTCTGGATAACCGCGGCGTGGCTCGGATGGTGTACGAGGACGCGGACGCCGCCCTGCAGCTGAAGGGATTTTACGATGAAGTCGCCAGCCCTCTCCTGTCGGACATCCAGCTGACGTACCTCGATGATCAGGCGTTTGACGTCACCCGCTCGCTGTTTCCGAACTACTTCCAAGGCTCTGAGCTGGTGGTCGCTGGGAAGGTGAAACCGGGGGTGAAGGATTTGAAGGTCGCCATGTCTGCCACTGACCTGAAGCAGCATGTGAAGCTGGAGAACAACGTTTTAATCTCCAATCCTCCGGGGAATAATAGTTCAGATTCTCTGACCTGTTCAGGAGACTTGGAGGGGATCTCAAACTTTGTGCACCGCCTCTGGGCGTATTTCACCATCAAAGAGCTGCTCCTCGCCAAACTGAACGCCTCCGATCCTGCAACGCAAAGGCTACTGGCAGAAAAAGCGACAAACCTGTCCCTGAATTTCAACTTCGTCACACCGGTCACTTCTTTAGTCGTAGTCAAGCCGGATGAGGATGAAGCAGCTCAGAGTCCGACCACTGCGAAACCCACCACCGCCGCCACGACAACCACAACAGCAACGCCTCCTGCTGCCGCCAAAACATCGAACGCCGGTGCTGCAAAAAAGCCAAACTCGTCGACTAAACCTGTCAAAACAAAACCAGATCCTCCTCAACCTCCTCCACTGAAAAAAACCTCAACTTCTACGGTTAAAACAGCGACTTCAGCGCCCAAGAAAACCACAACAACAAGTCCAACCCCCGTCAAAACCGCCCCGGCAACATTCGTGGGTAAAAAGCCGTCGCCTTCGAACAATGACTCCAAATCTGCTCTTCCTCCTCCTCCTCCTCCTCTTCCTTCTGGTAAGATACCCACCTCTGTGCTGCATGTGCTCAAAACGGCGCCACCTCCTGCACCTGGAAAGGTCTCCACCCCGCAGCCCACCGCCTTCAAAACAACAAACCCCTCAGCGGTCACTCAGACGACAGCGTTCACACCCAGTCCTGCACCTGCAGCCAGAACCGACCCGACTACCCCTCAACCCAGTCCTGTCAGAGTCCTGATCCCCTCCACCGAGGCTGGAACCAGCACCACATCTGCTCCTGAAATCACCACCGCTCTGCCCAGAGCGTCGTCTCCGCTCACCACTCCCACTCCGGCCCCGCCTCCAGCTGTGGAAGAAAACAACACGAACGTGGAGACAGACCTGAAGATCGCCACCTTCGTTTCTGCCACATTTGCACCCATGCCGGGCGTAACGGACGGGCCGCGACCGTGGGAGGCAGCGGGGCTTCTGGGTAGGTGGTTCACTTAGTTTTGGTGGTTTTTAACTGATGCAGACTTGAGGGTGTTTCTCTCTGACTGAATGTTCTTCATCTCTCCACTAGATGTCTCTACTTTCATTCAGAGGAAAGGTAAAGCTGATTCTTCCCACAGATCATGTTCAGTCACTTTTAAATCTCCTTTATTTGTCAAACACGACTCTCAACATGTCTGATATTCTGTCTCTCGTAGATATTGATCTTGTAAAAGGTGAGTTTCTCCTCCACCCTCTCACACACAGCAACAGATTTAACCCTTCGCTGCTCTAATTGTTTCCTTCTGCTTCTCAGACTACGATGCAACTTATGACTACGACTACGATCTCAACTACGACACCTGTGAGTTTTTTATGTTTTTATAGACACAGTTCTGCTCTTTAGCTTCTTCCCAGGCTCTAAAATGTTCATGTTGTACCTCTATTTAGGGGACGAGACCACAGACACAGAATCATTTGGTAAGTCAAAGAAGGTGCAGCTGCATGTCTCAAAAAAGTACTTAAAAAGGCGGAACTGTCCTTTAACTTGATGTCTTTTTTGGTTTCAGAGCCGTCGTCCAGATTGAGCACGGTGCGGGTCTTCTCCTCATCAGGTCAGAGACTAATCAGGACTCTCCTTCAGCCCCTCAGTTCTCAGTAATCTCTCCACACAGTCGTTTCAGTTTCTGCTCTTCGTTGTTGTCTGTCGTAGTCGATGGAGATCCTCACTTTGTGGTCCAGCTGCCGAAGCTGCATCACAGTCTGTGTTTCACCGTGGACGGACGAGCTAATGATGTTCTCAGGCTGTTAGAAGACCCGGAGAAAGGTATGAACGATGAAGCTTTCATTTTGATCTGACGGGTAGAATAAAACGTTTCATAATCTCTTATTAAAGATGTTTCTCTCTCTTCCTGAAGGGATCATCGTCGATGGTCGCCTGATGGGAGCTCCCTCCAAACACGGCGTAGAGGACAGATCCAGGACGTACTTCGACCAGCTCACCATTTCCTCAGCAACAGGCAGCTCAGGTGACATCATGATCACCCTCTCGCTGGACGCCGTAGTGGTGGAAGGGGAAGGGCGGGACATCCTCCCCATCACTCAGCAGGGATCGGTGACCAGGCAGGGCGTGACGGTCACCGTGGACAACCATCGGAGCTGCTGGATCGAGCTGGCCAGGGACGTGCGCTTCCTGGTCCTGTTCCACCATTACAAACACCCCAGTTACCTGCAGATGGCTCACCTGGGTTTCTACATCACTAACGGACGGGGGTTGTCCGCTTCGACACAAGGATTACTGGGTATGTCCACATCAGGGTATGACTGTATGACTCTGTGAAGTTTGTAATAGATCGACTTAAAATACAGTTTCTTCCTCCAGTTTGAGGTCAGGTTCGGGATTATACGTGCTGTGTACTCGCACAGGTTCTTCTGGAGAACTCACCAAATTTGTTTTAGCTTTTTTTTTGGCACCACAAGCTCAGCATCTCCTTTTCATAGCATCATAATCACTGCATGGATGATGTGATCAGAAACTGAGAGGCTGCAGACCCTCTACAGAGAGGGAAACTGGGACGTCTGGGACGTGTTAACAGCTAAAAATGCAACGATTTGAAACCTTTTAAGCTTCAAATGAATGTACAAGAGTAAAAATGTATTATCTATCTTGACAGGAGTGGGGCCAAAGTTTACAGTTGTACAAAGTTCAAATACTTGCGTAAAGTACAAGTGCTTTTATTTTATTCTTCAGTTCAGCCTAAACTCAAAAGTGCTGTGACCTCAGGCAAACAAAGTCGAAGGCCGACCAGGAACAGTCTCCATGTGGTTTTTGTTTCATCTCATCATCAGAAAAATACTCAGTAGAAATTGGCATAAAAATGAGCCCAGATAGTCTAATGTAGAGACGGCCCATCAAGCTAACTGACAAGTTTCTTGTTCATGTTTAAACTTTCAGATGCTGATAATTGGGTCAACGGCAGTTTCTTGATAATGTAGTTTAATTCAGGAAAATGTCAGTTTGTGTTCATCTGTGGTTCTGATGATAATATTTCATAAATACAGCTTTATTATATCCACACAGAGTCTTTACACTCTTTTCTCAGGTCAAACAAATATACTTAACTGCATTAAAAAAATACACAAAATTTATAAAGTATGTTTTTAGTGCATCAGTTCTGCCAGTTAGTCTTTATCTAACATCATTATAATCTGAAAAAACTACTTTCAGTACTGTTATATAAACGGTCTTCTCATGGAATATGTCTCTGGAGGATCTGCTGCAGCTGACTCTTAGAAAAATCTCCATCTTGTCGATCAGCTGACGTCCACCTGTTGTGTCCTTTGTCCGCCTGCAGGCCAGTTTCAGCTCGCTGACATGACTGTGACCGCAGTGAAGGATTATCAGGATGGAGCTGCTCACAAAGATAACGCTTCAGCCCGAGGGATCCTGAGGTGGGGATCTGAGCACATGGCGGTCTCTTTGCAAGACAAGGCGCTGAAAGACTCGGTGCTAAAACGCCACACAGGCAAGTGCTGGGTAGTTCCCAAAGCAGAGGTAGAGAGACTCCTGGGTCACCCTTACGAGAGCTACGTGGTGGATCATGTGTAACTCTAACCGGGGCGGCTCCACCCTGCTGCCTCTGTGCCGCTCGGCTCAGGTCACAGCGGGTGTCATGGGGAGGCGAACGGACAAAGGAGGAGCTGAAAACAGGGCCGTACGGCGCTGCGTTGACATATCGCTATAATATTCTGTAAAGGAGTGAAAGAGAAGTCCAAAAGAGGACAGATTAGAGACAAAAGCCGCATTTAGAGGATGAAGAAGGACGTTCGATTCAACAGATATAGTGACGGACTGAATGATGGTGCTGTTCTCCTTCAGTGCATTTGAATCAGATTCAAGCTCTGTGTTTTTATATCTGTGACAGAGACGCAATGTTCTCCACGTTGCATGGCAACAGAAAGTCTGTTTGTGCTGCAGCAGGAAAAAAAAAAAGACGCTGACTCTCCTCCAAACTATCCTGGAAAAGTCAGGTTTTTATACGACAGAATCACATTTGTACGATTCTGTCAGGTGTATTTTTTAGTGTAAGTGTATATAAAATATTATTGTATGTATGTATGTATAGATAAGCTAATAACAAAAGGTTACTCGCCTGGATTTAGTGACTGTATATGCAAAAAAAAGAAAAACAAATCCGTCCAGGTTTGCCATGTGCTTTTTATTTTTCTATCATTTCATTCATAGTTTAATTCATTTTATTTGTTACACAAGACATTAGGCATTGTTCACATACTAGTGATCAAACAAGGACAGTAAGTTTTCTACTACTCAGCCTATTTCTTTTGTCAAATTCGAGGGATATCATCATCATCAGTAATAGTGGTTTCCAAAGGCCCAAACTGGATGGAAATTAAAACAGTACAACCACACATGAGGCTTTTGTTTTCAATAAATAAAACAAAAAAAGAAAAAAGCGTACAGTTTCTGATGCTGAGGGAGGGCTTCAAATATATCTATGTTCAAAGAGTAAACAGTATTCCAGTTTAATCAGATATCATGTTTCCAGAATGAAAAGCACACACAATGTTGTGAGACGGACAGTGTGGGAACTGCAGTGAATACAGAGAGTCTGATTTCAGCTCCGTGACTGGCTGTCTGCTGCTGCTGCTATCCTTCCTTTTTAAAACCTGTTTCATAGGAATGCTAATAATCATATTAAATCGTGATGCAGCGCCGGTATGATCACTAAGTAAGATGAAGGAAACACATGACACGGCAAAAAAACAAAAACAGAGACAAATAACCTCCTCCGGCGTGCATCACCTTTTTAAAATCCGGTTTATCGTCGGAACATAAAGCGTAGCATATTCAGCGTTTGACACGAACCTTTCCACGATACGTCAGAGAAATAAACATAAATAGATTATAACATTAAGACATGTCAACACCCCAAACACGCGGGGATTTCGCTTAAGAGTCGTTAGGGGGGGATTTGGAGGATTAAAGTGAGAGTTTCAGAGCTTCTCGTTAGTCTAATGTTGATGCGTAAGGAGCCACAGATCAATCTGGCCGCAGAGATATGAGGAACCGCCCCGGCTCAGGTGTACGAAAACAACCCTGATAGTAGATGATGCAAAACAACATCCCTCTTCGAATATTCAGCCTGATCTGCAGAGCGACGCACACTTCCTGTCAGCAAGTTTCGACCAAAACAGCGTGACTATTTTTGGCACAAGACTTACTAACACCTAACTGTTGAGCGGTCAAATTTAACTTCTGGATAAAACCCCAAATTAAGGCGTAAACCAAATGAAAGCATCTTGGTTCGATCTAGTGGGGCGGCTGTGGCTTCATTTCTCCGCTATGCTACAAAGTCTTTAAAGTTAAGGGAGCGTCCGGCTTCGTCCCCTCTATATCCTCGTCGGGGGAATGACTGATCCAAACGACACACACAAGAGACACAATCTGGTGCTTTCACTTCTAGCTGAAAATTCAGTCTTCATCCCTCGCTTTCTAATCATCCAATCCGAAACGTCCCCCTGCATACATTCCTCGACACTTCCTCACATCTCCACGAGCAGAATTCGCCAAAATCACAGTTCCTCTCGCCCTTCAGCTCCTGTCGTTCCCTTTTTTTTTTTCGTTTGTTTTATTTAAACTCGAAGACCACAGTTTCAACCTCAAATCTGTAAACTTCATAACTTCAGCCAGTGAAATGCGCACCAAATATATAGAAATAAAACTCTTCAATAATTTAAAATGTTAAACTATTCAAATCCAAAAATCGACGTCACAAAACAGAGATGAACAAAAGGAGCGGTTTTTAGGAGGGGTGGGTGACGGATATTAGCCACTGGTTAACTTGCCTGCTAGCACGGGGGGGGGGGAGGGGGACACAACAGCATTGCGAAGTGAGCACTATCAGCTGACAGAACAGCCCATTTATATGTAATTAGTCATCACATTTTTGTTTTTTCAGATTTTGCCAAAAAGGAGCGACGTCTTTTTTTGTCTTTTTCTTTTGAAGTAACACAGGTAAAAGACCGAGAAAGAGAAAAGTGAAAGCAGGGTTGACAGGAGCGATGCGTGGAATGGTCCAGCCTTCATACCGCAGTGTCGTTAGAGTCTATGTACAAATACTACTGTGTGTAAAAGATGCATGCATGTACACTGGAGGTGACCCTTCCAGAGGATTCTACTCTACGCCATTACAGAGATCTCTCACGTCAGAGCTTCGCAGATCGCGCCTCTCTTCGTCCGCCCCGGCCGACCTCTGATATGAGGAGAGAGACGATACAGAAAGAATGAAACGCTCCGAAAAATCTCCAACAACAAGTAATAAATTCACCTCTAATGAGAATAGTTAAGACATGATTATACTGTAAATCCTACGATGGAATGAAAGACCGTATCAACCCTGCTTTTCGGTGACAGAGAGAAGGAGTGTGAGTATTTGAACAGTGTGTGTGTGTGTGTGTTCGTGAGCGTTTGTGTGTTTGAATCAGGAGAGAGAGGGACGTAAGGAGGAGGAGGCAAACGGCTGAGAGCAGGCAGAGCCGAGGAGCAAACCCCCTCGCCCACTTATCCCGGCTCTGCCGCCTCTTTAGCTCCTTTAAGCCCCGCCTCCTCTCCCGGCCCCGCCCTCTCTCTGGAAACCCCTCCCCACCTCAGCTCACTGCTCATCCTCCCCAAACACGTCGTTCTGTTTGCGTTTCATGTTCTCAAAGTCAAAGTCGCTCCCGGTCATACGTTTGTAGATGTCCTTGATGTCGTTGCAGGTGGTCTCGAAGTGCGTGGTGGCATCGTAGGACCTCGAGGCGAAAATCTGGGAGAAACGACAAAACGACAAGACCGGGGGTCAACCACCAGCCAGCAGAGATGGTCGCCTGCTCAAGCGGTAAAGTTCTTACACATATATTTAGGATAATATGCTATTAGCTCATACGGACCTACTATGACACAGGTGTCTCTGCCTCAAATTGCTTAAATCTGTATTTTTTACACATTAAGACCCTCAGTGACATCTACTTTACATCCTGGTGCGGTCATGTGACTGTGCCTTCTCACTTAAGGTCCTTAAGGATTTGATTTAAGTAACATGTCATTTCATATAATATATTTTTTGGAAAAACTTGATATAATTCAAGAAAAGAGAAAATCGATATGACAAATATGACACATCCGGCTTTTACTCTTAAAATATTCATGAAAAATCCCAGGTAGTTCTCTGTTTACTGAAGTTTAGCACATATTCTGGCAGGTTTGTTTATTGTTCAGTTGCTCTTTAATGCAAAAAAATTGGTTTGAGAAGACTAAATTTGTTGTTTAACCATTTGGAATGATATTTTCTCAGTTTAAATGCAAATAAATGCAAATTTTTGTAACTGAACAACAAACATTTATTATTTCATTCATTTTCAGTAAAACAGTAAACGCCCAATGTGACAAATTGTATATTTTCAGATCTTTGACAGTAGGGGGTGCTGTTGAGAAAAAAAGTTTAGAAATGTGTTTTTTTTATTCATTTTCCTATAAAGGGGTTATGGGTGTGGATTCTTTTGGAGTTAAAAGAGAGATCTGTTGCTGTGAGAGTCGAGGTGCAGACATGATCTTCTCTGGAGGTTAAATTAATCACAGCTGCTCTTTCATTAAAATGATCAATCCTCCTGTTAAGAGATCTCTGAAATCATCAGGCCTCGTCCTCACTCCATGAACGCATGTAGAAATATTACAAAAACCCACCAGACCTCCAGTCGTGTCAGAGATGCATTTAAAGTCTCCCCAAACACTGATAAACTTCAGACTCGTTAATCTAAAATTAATTACAAAGGAAGGTAATCTAATAGACTTTGCATCATGAAAATTCAAAGTTCATGCAATTTACCATCATCAGCCTAATGCTCACCTGTAAGTACTTAAAGCTGCGTGTGCAATCTTTTTACATAACCTTCACCGGATACAGAATTTAAGTTTAATGTCGGAGTAAAGTTCTCTCACCTGGCTCTCAGTGCCGTCATCTGTTGGCTCATAAAGGTCACTAATCGCCACAAACCTGTCAAAACAAAAACAACACATCTTTTTTAACTAAACCGCCTTTAAACCCAGTGTTGTTTCATCTTGATGGAAAGTTTTAAGATAAAATTAAAACTGTTAAAAGTCTGACTTTTGGTCGATAGGCTCAAGCAGCTCCAGAGCCGGCTCGATCTCAACCTCAGGCTCGGCAGTTTCCACCGTGGTGCTGACGATGGCGATGTATTTCCCCTGGGCCGCCACATTGTGTGCGTAGGAGATCATGCACACGTAGATGTCTGAAGGAAAAGGATGAAATCAGAGTTAATAACAACTCAGTTTAGCCGTCTGGTTTGGAAATGAAACCTTAAAAAGGGTTTTAAACCTGCATTAGTTTTTCTGACCAGCAGGGGGCGACTCTGATATTTACAAGTCTGTTCTGTGACATGACCAAGACTGTGACATAATAGAGTCCAGGTTAACTAAACCCCCTGTAGACCGGTCCAGGAGAGTCAGGAGAGTGAACCGGTGCAGTTAAGTTTTGGGTCAAATAATCAAAACAAAGAAATTAAAGACGATTAAACTCTGAAACCACAGAAATCTGCTGAGTCAGCTGATTTTTTTTCTTACATATAATCAGTCATGTGATCCTTTGTTAGCGTAAGAGGATTAATCGTAGCTGCTTTAGGAATTTAGTTGCTTTGAACTCGAATTTTCAGGTTTAATTTTGAAATATTCACAAATCCAGTTGTAATCATAGACGTGCTATCGAAGAGAGCGGTCCTCACCTGAGTTGCGGTTCACCTGGTTCTGAGGAATGATGATCTGGCAGGAGTTTGCGTCGTTGGTGTTTTTGATGGGGTGGCTGAGGATGCAGATCACGCGGATCACCTGACCCGCCTTACGGACGCGGTCTGAGATGTAGCTGGGGTCACAGATCAGCTGCTTACAGCGAGCCACCTGCAATAAAGAGACATCTAAGTACACATAGATCTGGACATACATCAGGGACACTGCATTGGTCTTAAAATCCAATTTAAGACTTTTTTAAAGCATTTCAGAAAAATGGTTTCAGACAAAATTTACCACCTCCCGCTGGTTAAAATTTGACTTTTTGTGACCTTAAATTTCAAATATCTATTGTAAGACTTTTAAGACTTTTCAAGGACCCACAGCTTGTCTCATAAATGTTTATTTTTCCCTGTAATTTAAGATTTTATTAATATTGTCATGGTGCCAGTTTGGCTCTGTGATAAAGTTGTACTCAGGCGACATTCCTGGAAGTTGGGGCCCTGGGTTCAGTTCCCTAACTTGGCCATTTGCCACATGCTATCCCCGCTCTCTCATCCCTGTTTCCAACTTCATTCTCACTCCTATCTCTCAAAAAAGTATTTAATATTTTCATGATAACTACAAAACAAATAACACAGTAAAAAAATTCAATAAAAACCTGACTTTAACTCATAAAGAAGTCTCAGATTGACTAGATAGGAAATAAACACACATCACTGTGCTTTAATGTCATAATCATGCATCTGTTCACGTTCATAAACATGTTTAATCCTTTCTGCCTTTTTCTAAATTATAATCAGGTCATTTTCTGTCTTTATTTCATTGGACGGATGAAGAGAGGAAAGAAACCCAGGTGTCAAACCGTTGACCGCTGAGCCGTTTCCTTTCGGCTTCAATAAAACCTGTTAAGTTTTTACGATCTGAGGCACTAAAACAGCGTGACCGTACCTCATCCTCAGACTTTACTCCGATCACATGACCGTCCTCCATCACAATCTCATCCACCGGTTTGTTCAGCATGTAGGTCCCGCCGTAGATGGCGCTCAATCTGAATGAGGCGTAAATGAAAACAGTTCGAATATCTGATTCAGCTCTGAACGGTAACCTGTTACCGATTTAATCATGATCGTGATGAGAAGTAACCTGGCGAATCCCTGGGGCAGCTCTCCCAGACCGTACAGGGGGTAGAGGTAGGGGCTCTTCCCGTACCGCGCCAGTGATTCACTGTACAGCTTGATACGATTGATCGTCTCCAAACAGGGGACGTCAAGATAGCTGAAGGAGAGAAGAAGGAAGAAAGGATGGAGGGTCAAAAATACGCTCTCCTCAGATCTTAAATCTCTTCTAAACTCAGTGTCTCTTTCTGACATGTTCTTACTCATCTGTCCTGTAGAGGGCCAGGGCGTGTCCAGTAAAGTCAATGACGTCCTGTCCGAGGTCAAACTTCTTGTAAACGTCCCTCATCGTCGTGACTTTGGGGTCCACGCCCTCGAAAGTCTTGGGGTCATTCTCATCAAAGTTGGCCACGAAGACTAAGAACTTCCTAAACCTTCTCTTCTCAAACATTCCCATCAGATCTGAAAATCAAACAGAAGACTTTAATCATCATGAACACTTTTGTCTCATGTAATTATTTTGCTGTTTTAATCGGAGAGACTTACTTGAAGCGAGCGCCTCGGTCTCAGTCGACGGCACCTTGTAGATCTTTCCTCCTTTGTAAACGAAACTTCCCTCCACGACCTTAAAGTCCAGGTACCGTGTCACCTCTGTGTATAGCAGCATCTTCACAAGCTGACCTGCATAAAAAAAACAATGAATATCCCTTTAATATTCAGATCAGATTAAAATTCGCTCTGATCACGCTCGATGTAATCTCATATTTCCATTTCCTCACGTTTGTTTTGCTGCAGCTGAAACCGATCACTGTTCAAATTGTTACTGCACGCTTCTTCTTCTTCTTACAAGCTCAATCTTCCATTCATCAAGTTCTTTTTAACCGTTAAAACTTCTCATTAATACAGTTTTTCTTTTAAGCGCACAACGACCGCTCTGTTCTCGAAACATGGCGGTGAAAGATGGCAGCCTTTGTGGAAAAAGATCTGCTTCTTCTTCTTGATATGAAAGGCCTCTTCTAAGTCAACAAAAACACAGTGTTTTTACATTCAGGTGATTAAACACTGATTTCCAACAAGTCTGTTCTGCTAAATGCTGCGAAACACGACCCATTGTACCTTTAAGACTCATCCTTTCCCTATTTCTCTCAAGTTTGTGTCTCTTCATCCGCCTTTTTACTACCAGTAGATCTTCCTTCCTTGTTTTCTCCAGGCTGCTGAGATCTATTTGAGTCTCATGGACAAGCTGCTCTGAACTAATTGCTCCTAGAGGGGTTCATAAACTTGTCTGAATTGAATTGATTCATACAGTACGTGACATTTTGATTCAGAGGCTTCAACCGTGTTATAATCTTCAGTGCTGAGCGACTGACCGTTGGCCATGAGGAACTTGGGGATGAGATCGACGTTCCAGTCTCTTCCTCTGCCCATGGACTCAGGTGGGTTGTCTGGAAGAGTGAAGCGCTTGTACAGCTGCGGGGGAAAAAAGAGACACATGACTATCCAAGGAGACACAGGAGGCATAAGGCCCTGAAGAAATGTAGACAATAAAAACAGCAGAGTGGCAGCAGGAGTAAAAGGAAATGTACTGAGGGATATAAAATATATTGATTGATTTTATAGATCCCAGGAGCTGTTTACCTCCTCCAGAGGGGTGATGGAAGAGCTCTCACCACCGTAGTAGGGGTTCCTGTCCATGTGCAGGACCTTTTTCCCGTTCACAGACATGATCCCGGACAGAATGCATTCCTTCGTAAAAGACAATTTCACACCAAATATCAATAAAAACAGCATATGATCGCTCTGAAACTGAAGGGGCATTGAAGGAAAGGGAAATTTACAAACTCACTTTTACAGACAAGTCGTCTTTTATCTGTCATCTCTTTTACCTCTAACTTATTACTGTTTTTTTTAGCTTTTGTTATACTTGTACTCTTCTCTTTTCTTTCCTTTTCACTATTTTATCATTACTATTATGATCAGTATTATTTTTTATGATTTTATTATTGTTGTTGATACACCACGGAGCGCCACAGGAAATCCTTCCTGTCAGACTCTTTAACTCCTCCCTCAGAGACTCTGACACCCTCAGATTTTACCTGAACTCTGTTTACTGTTTCACATGCATACGAATTTACTATTTGTGTTGTATATAATGTAAATACTTGTATATTATCTCTATATTTCCACTTGTTTTATCTATTTATCTCTATATTTTTACTTATTTTACCTATTTATCGCTTCATTTGACTTATTTTATCAATATAGCTCTATTTTTTTAAGTTATTTTACCTATTTATCTACATATTTTTAGTTATTTTACCTATTTATCTCTGTATTTTTTATATTTTATTTATGTATCTCTATATTTTTACTTACTTTATCTATTTATCTCTATATTTTTACTTATTTTATCTATTATTTATCTCCTCTTTTGCTGTATTTGCACTGGAGTACTGTGACAAAAGCAATTTATTGAAGTATTTCTGATTCTGATATCACCTTCTATATTTACTACCCTTTTTCCGCTTTCTACCCCATTTTTAATTGCACTTTTGCACTTTTTTCTGAACTATTTTGTTTTTATTTTGGTCCTCGTGGTCTAATTTTCTGTTGCATGGTTTTTGTTTTGTCTGGGTTCCTTATGAAAAATTTAATAAAGTATCTATCTATCTATCTATCTATCTATCTATCTATATCTGTCTTTTTCCATGTTCTCTGTCAATGCACTTTGTAAACTTCTGTTTTTAAAAGTGCTATACATATGAATTTATTATCATTATTATTTATTATTATTATAAGGGATTTTGACAGGAGGCTGCGGGGGGAATGGTGTGCGCATGCGCAAATAGATCCGTTCCACAGATGTATCTACTGTCATGATAATAATAATAATAATAATATTTAAATAAGAATTAGCACAAATAGACGTCTCTTGGTAACACACCAATGAATGAAAACCTGTTTATTCTCTCAGGAGAAAATAACATTTGACTCATGAGTTAAAATCACAAACATGTCGACTTTTATCCAAGTGAAAACATTTATTAAAAGCATATTAAACGTGTCTGGCGTCCTCCTGCCGCACTGGGTGTGATAATTGAGAGTAGGTGCTGCAGAGAAAGGCTCAGTCATTTTATTAAACCCGAGCTCAGGCCTGCGCAGACCTCAGGATGGAGGCCTGTCTATGCAAAGAGGACCATGACACACTGTTGGGTTACGCCTAAAAAGATGCTACAGGGTGTAAAACAACCCCAACCAGCTGTAAGACAACAAAAGCACGCATAATGCTGCGTTAGTCTGCGCATAATGCACACCCACATCCACTCTTAGTGATATTTGTCATAATGAGAGCGCATCTTTGATCACATTTTCTCATGTACCAGGCGCACAGGGATGCAGGAGGCTTTCACTTCTTCTGGGCTCGGATACACAGAGAGAAACAGGCCTCCGTAAATAAACACTTAGACATGAATATTCTTCTTTTTCCGGATAAAACTCGACTACTTACTGTGAGTCCGGTGCCCAAAACGATCACATCATATTCCTCATCCATGTTGTATCACCGCCTCTCCCGTCTCGCCCTCTTTCGCCTCAAGAAATGAAGGGTATTGAAGGAAAATGTGTGCAGAGTGAGTCCACAAAAAGCGGGGATTTGGCTCCCGATCTCCGCCCGAGTTCTTCTTAATGTCTCGTTCAAAGTTAAGTATTATTTATTAATCATTAGGCTTTTTAATGACCAATGGAATAAACTGTCCACACTGTCACCGGCGAGGACGACCAAAGATGGCCCTGTGCGTGGAGCACTCTAGAACAATCCGAATGCGCGTCGGGAAATAGTGCGCATCCTCCTTCCCTTTTTTTCCCTCATCCTGCCACACAATGGACTCAAACTGAACAGCAGCGTGTAATAGGACACTTCGACCCGAGCAGTTAGCGATTAGAGTCGATGTTCACTTTGGTTTTTTTCACTTTGGCTTTCTCTTTGACATTTTTATGCACCTTTTGGAAACATTTTGTCCAAGTCGCTTCGATCTCTATTTTCTTTTCTATCCTTCCTTCATTTCCAGTTGTAGGTGCAGCGTTGCGTGGATGCAGGAAGTATCCCTCCGCCACCACAGCTGTGTGGATGGGAGTTGCTTTCACTCACTGACCGTACGAAGGCCTTCACAAAAGAAGAAATAGAGGAAAATTTCACTTCTCTATTTTCTTTCTCATTCTTCAACTTATTCTACTGTCTTGTTAATGTCGTAATATATAACTGAAACATTTAAAAAGGGTGGTTTTTCGCCAAAGCTTGGGTGTGTATCAGCACCATGGACAGTTGCAAGGTGTTCCTGTTGTTTCTTAACCAGGTACAAAGTCCAACTGTTTTTTTTAACACATCACATGTCTGTTTATTGCACATTAATCATTATGAGGACCACTGAAGTTTGTTACTATTTCACACATTGTTCCACATAAGCACTGTGAGCGAGTACACACTTGCACCAATCTTTGTAAACACAACAGTTAATCCTAAAGGTTCAAACTGTAGAAATTAAACTCTCTTTTTATTATTTCAACTGAGCAGAATAAACAAGGAAAAGCTGCAGTCGATCATTGGGTCATGAAAAGACACCGAGGGCAGGGCAGGCAGTGTTGCTCTTAAGGTTTAGAACGATTCAGCCATTTTAACCGACTCCTTTTACAGACCAAGCCAACTCCCAGTTTGAAGCCAATTCAGTTCATTCATTTATTTTTGTTGTAAATATTAAAAACATGGCCGGCACAGCGGTGTAGTGGTTAGCACTGTCGCCTCACAGCAAGAAGGTTCAAATCCGGGTCAGGCCATTTCTGTGTGGAGTTTGCATGTTCTCCCTGTGTCTGCGTGAGTTTAGTGCGGGTACTCCGGTTTCCTCCAAAAACTGCAGTTCCCCAAAAAATGCAGTTCAAAGTGACTCATAGAGGCTAAAAACAACAATTAACAACAATAAAAACCCATAGACCCACACATACACACACACACACACACAAGCACACACAGTGTGAGAATTTAGGATATGTTGTTAAAGAGACATGGCCTGACACCTAGACATTACATGAAGAAAGATCTACCTTTGGGAAACACTGGTGATAAAGATAAAAAAGAAAAATGGTGAAAAAGTAAAATCTGATGGACTAAAACAAGAAAATAATATTAAATGAACAAATAAGTAAGAGCTTTTTACCATATAAAAGGGGTAAAAGAAGTAAAAACCTGTAAGACTGGAATTAAAAGGACTAAGAACAGAGATAATTGATAAAATAAACATTAAGAACTGCGATTAAAATGAACTTTTTCAATATTGAAATTAGTGAAAAGTCTGATTAAAAAGGTTGCATTTGCACTTGAATTATGTATACAATTTATCCAGAGTCAAATTTGGCGCCTCCTGTGGATAAAACAGGACCCAAAAAGACATCAATATTAGTTCAAAGTCGGTTTTGTTATCAGCTCCAATCTTTAGACGGTATTTTTCCACTCCTTACACAAACATTGTGAATAAAAAGCTGTGTTGGAATCGTGTTTCTGTTTTGAGTCAAATGTTCCGGATCACTGACCGGTGCTGAACTTCCCATCAGGATCCGGGAGAATGAAAAGAGCCGGAAGTCCTGTCTCTTTCTCTACTGCGCACATGACAGTCAGCTGGCTGCGGTCACGTGAGCAGAACTTTGCGGAAAAGTAAACGAAAATGGCAGAACCGAGGAGCTCGAGCCGACGAATGTTAATGGCGTTTTTCGCCTTTTTCTTCGCCTTTTTCTACACGGGGAGCTCCACAGCGCAAGTGCCGGTTGTACTTTGGTCCAGTGAGGGGTAATATTTCTGTTTTTATAACTTATTTGTGACTTTTGAGCGTAAGAGTCAACTTTGTCATGCTATGCTAACACTTGAAGCTAACTGTGATTCTGCTGTTAGTCAAACAAGATCAGCTGCTACTCTGTTAAAAACTCATAAAACTCGTTTTAAGTGTTAAAAACTCATAAATAAGCAAACACATTCAGTCTGACCTCTGTTTACCACTGAAATGACTTTATTTGACCCGAGTTAGCCTCTGTGATTAAAATTATCTCTCTAAAGTACTACTTTAATGCAATAAATGTAAACTTATATCAAATTAAACTCTGATTTTTCAACTGTAGTTATTGTAGTGCTTCAAAAACGAGCTGGTAAACACTGTAATGTATATTAATTAATATAAAGGGGACAGAGCCCGTAAACACTAATAAATAGATTTTAATTGCTGGTTTAAACTTTTTTTGATTAATTATTATGGTGTTTTTTTAGTTTGGTTCCTTCTATTAATAAAAATATACATACTGAATGAAGAGACATTGGTTGTATGCAGTAAAAAGATTCCTAAATTGTGCAATAAGCTGCGAATTTGACTGTTGTGTGTTGCAAATGCTTGTATTTAGAGCTTGAGATGCATTGTGCAGAAGTATTAGGAGTGTGATTATCAGTGTAGAGCCAAAGGGAAAATATATAGAGATATTTTAATAATCAGATTTTATTTTATTTTCAGAATTTACACAGAACCATACATCATTTCAATTCAAATAAGGTAGAAAATGACAAGAAAAGGATGAAAAAATGAGGGACAACACAACAGTGTGTCATCAGTTAAATAAATATGTGTCCTTGTACATGGCAAGACACAATGCATGACGGGATGCCCACCACCGGTGAGTGACCATCGGATGGTCACTACATTTTGCAATGCTCTGGGAAATTTTGAGTCACCTATATGGGGCATTGGAATTGATCACTCAGGTTTCGGACACCCCTCAAAATGGCGCTAACCCCCATATAGTCGCCTATATAAGGCAAGTAATCCATAAGGGGCCGCCAATTTGGCATTTAGCCTTTCCATTTGTAAAACTCTAAAAATTTCTTTGTACCACTGAGTTACAGTGGGAGGTTTGTCGCTAGTCCAATTAAATAGTTTACATTTTCTGGACAAAAATAAGAGTTTATTTGGTGATTTGTAAGGACTGCAGGAAAATGTGTTCCTCTTCAAATGAGACAAAGTTCGCCAAACTTGTGAAAGCCTCAAATAAGAAAACTTAAGATTGAGTTTGATGTTTTAAGGAACTGAGCAGCTTTGATTGAGTTTTGTCACCGTTTTCGAAAGTTTGCTCGAGTGATTAAACAATAGTTTAACAGATGTGTGACAGTTTGTTTCTGTCTTTTCTCCATGATTAGATTACCGGCTCTGGCCCCTCCTGCAGCAGGTCACATCGTGTCCACAGACCAGCTGACTGCCTACCTCACCTCTGCCTTTGGCTCCGGCCCTCGCACCGTGCTGTTATTCCTGCAGGACAAGGTCAGTCTGCTCTACATCACATAGAGATAGACACTGTGTATGTCAGGTTGTGTAAAAGAGGATCGTTATGACTCATGTGTCGTAGTAGCGCTGCAGTCCCATGTGACGCTGTGTTGCAGACCTCTCATTCTGGTGTGACAGTGAGCGCTGGCATTACTTCCCCTTTCACAGTTCCTCTTTAACACATTGTTGGGAGTTTTTCTCTGTGGTGGTTAATGATAAATGGAATGAGTTGAATGTCAGAAGTTTGCAGATTTGATTGAAGTAAAGTAAAATATTTTCCACTTGTCTGCTCATGTTGTTAAAGGGATATTCTGGCGTTAAATTAAGTTAGGGTCAAACACAACGTAACACTGAGTTAGACACCCCCTCGAGAGATGAATGTTGCCGACCTCTTGCTTCTCTAGTTATACCAACTTTGGTAACGACCACAGGATAGCAAACGGTGTGTTTGACCCTAAATTAATTTTACGTCAAAATATTCCTTTTTTAAATGATGATATTCTTTCATTCCTGTTTCAGCTCAGCAAAGATGACTTCACAGTTTTTGGCGGTGTGTTTGGAAACAAGCAGGACAGTGCCTTTCAGAACCTGGAGGTAGGTTTTCCTGGAGTGAATTAGTCCTACATGATGATGATGATGATGGTTTAATTCCTATAAAAACACGGTCAATGTTTTCCACTCTCTGCTCTCCAGGCTGCTCTGCAGTCTTCCTCCTCCTCAGTGACTCTTCCTGCTTTCGAGTGGTCGGGCTCCTCTGCCATCCCGGCTCTGCTGCAGGAGGAACTGGGCGTTTCTCCTCTGCTTGTCGACCCAGACACTCTGTCCCATCTCAGCATCAACTCGTCTGCAAGCAATCTGCTGCTCTTCAATCTGCCGTACTGCACCAGGTAAACCCTGTGTTGTAAATTCTTATGCGCAGAATTAAAAAGAAACACAATTTCTGTTTTGTTTAACAAGTATTTCTTCTTTTTTATTGTTTTTGTAGTGTACACAAGTCTTGCAAAGAAGTCCTGCATGACAATGGTAAGTTTTTAATCGCATAAAATTTCTTAGGGCAACATTTAGGTCATTATGACGTCACAATAACGCACAGATTTTTGTCAGTTTGCGATGTATAACTTATTTTTTTATTTTGTTCTTCCACAGATGAGGTTATTGGGAAAGTTCTTACTATTATGAAAGCCAAAAAAATCCCATATACTGCAGTTTACACTGGATCCCAGCCATCACGGGTGAGACACTGTGTTAAAGCTCCTGTGAGGAGTTTTTTCATGTTCATGGAAAAGACTGAAGTTCATAAAAATACCTTTTCATGGTATAAAAAAGCAGCAAGACTGTCTAATTTTATTAAAATGACATACCTCTTAAATTTTTAAGCTTATTGAACGTCATATTCAATAAAGAGACAAACTAAGAGGTCATATGAAGACATGAAGTAAGACATGTATGTGTATTACTCGTCCCTGCAGGTGATCTCAGAGACATCCATGTCTAACCAGCCTGCCGGGCGCTCCCTGCTCCAAGCAGTTGTTCCTGATGTTAAAGCTCCGATCATGTTCAATGGAACTGGAGGCCCGTGTATAATGCTCTGGGCTCAGAATCTCAGCATCAGCCTCTCAAGCACCGCTGCTTGGATCGACCTCGCTGCAGAAACACCGACGATGACGGGATCCATGTGTAACAGCACTAACTCACTGTGAGCGGGGGCGAGTTTAGCTGCTTTTGTTCTGTGCACTTCTCTGTTTTAAAGAAACACAATAACACGTCTTCTTTTATATTCTCTTTTAGGCTCGTCCTCAACTATGCATCTGGATACGTACTAAGGTAAGACAATAAAGAGATTCTACTCTCTTCCAGCAGCCGCTTGTTTGTAGCGAGACCTCAGGCGAGTTCATTACGGACTACAGCGGGGTTTCACAGCTCAAGGAAGAACATTTATGATCATTTCTTTATCATTTCCTTGAAGTAATAATCACCATATTAATCATTTTCACTGCAGACACGGTAGTTCTTCTGCCTTAGCGTCTCAGTCTGATTGTATTTCCATGAAGTAATGATCATAAATGTTCTTCCTTGAGCTGTGAAACCCCGCTGTAGTCTGTAATGGACTGGTGTTTCTAGGTTATGAATAGCTGTTATATATAAGCCATTTATTGCAAAGACCAGAGTCCCTGAACCAGCTAAAGTTACAGTCTGAGTTTGTAATAAACCTTAAATCTCCTCTCAGTACTTCAAATCTTAAAGTCTTTCTCAATCTGTGAAATATTTGTTTTTATTTTCCAGTTTCAACATGATTCAACGGTTCTACTCTGTGTCCGCACGAAACTGGTTCACCCTGGAGTCCGTGCAGCTGCAGTCTAACGGTGTGACTGCATCCTTCAGCGGGAGGCGCGCCATCTACGCCCCTGCAGAGTATTCCTACCACTGCCAGACCGTCAGCAGCATCGGAGACGCTTTGCTCGTGCAAAACAGCACCAACGTGAACGCCTCACAGTGGAGGCTCAATTTCGTCGACTTTCAGGTAAAACTGCAACGCCATCTTTCAAATCCTGACCCTCGAGTGTTTCTCTTTATTATCTAACCGCCTCTTGTTCATGCGGTGTATCTCCTGTCATTTCACGATGCAGATTCAAGGCTTCAGTTTGGCAAATGGAACGAATTTCTCCTACGCCAGTGACTGTGCCGGCTTCTTCACCGCCGGGATCTGGATGGGGCTGCTGACGTCGCTGCTCATGTTGCTCATTTTTGTATACGGCCTGCACATGATCATGCAGCTGAACACTATGGATCGGTTTGACGACCCCAAAGGTCCGTCGATTTCAGTGCCTCAGTCCGAGTGAAGTACTTCCAAACTCTCACACTCCTCAGTCCTTCAGTGCCTCCTTGAAGACTCCCTCTTCATTAAATCATGTTCATGTATTTGGACCCGTTTCTTTGGCTTGTCTTCTGACTTCTCCCTGTAGATTTCTAAACGTTGTTTTTATGCAAGAGACATTCCATATCATCTCTCCACTTGCAGGTGCCACATTCGAAGCACCTTTTTTTAACGCATGTGCTAAAAGATGAATTCGTGCCACATTTGGCCACATATCGTGGATATTGTGCCGAGAAAACAGTGAATTCCTCCTCTCTGCCATCTTGAATGTCTTGCTGGATGCTGTAGGACTGTCTCCGACCTCAGTTTATACGAGTTCCAACTGAACTGTAATTTAAAGACTACTGTTAATGAAAGAAGTGCCTGTGTATATAAAGAGAAGATTGCTGTTTATGACTGTATTTTCAGACTGCTAATACTTCAGTTTTACTCCTCCAAAGACAAATATCCGAGTGCCACAACTTCAGCAAGATCTTTTCTGAAAATATAATTTATTTGTATGAGAAAGAGTTTCTCTGCTCAACTTCCTCCGAAGCTTTACCCCTTAATTCAGGTGTATTGACAGATTTAAAGCTCCTGTGGGAAACTTTTACACTGATTTTTGACTACCCCAGTGGACAAAGTGGTTTCTGTCATCGCTTTGCAGATGTTTTTCTGTACGTGTGTTAGTGGAAAATGCTGCTCTTAGCTGTTAAATATATTACTCGGAGGTTGACATTGAAATTTGTGAATCCCTTTGTAGTAGAACTACTTCACAGCAGGGGTAATATTTTCTATTTTTGCGTTAAATTAAAATTGAATGCAGAAATAATCAGTGAATTTTGCTTTTGAATCCCCTTAGAAGCATCAAGATTGAGTTTTTACAACTATAAAAAAACTTCTCACAGGAGCTTTAATTCCAGTGCCTCTTTTGTGTTTGACAAACTTGTGAATGTGCTGCTGCCACAGTCTGTAATTAAAAATAAAAATGTTAAAATTGTGATTTTGATTTGATTTGTTTTTTTAATTGTTAATGTGATAATTAAAATTAAGACATTTAAACATACGGTAAATACATACATACATACAAACATTCATGCATACTATAATTAATACAAACATTCATTTATATATAATATGTTTGTGTTTTGGTATACATGCACGAAAATATGCATATGCCTAGATGAATGTTGTATGTATGTAAAAATGTGTTTGAATGTATGTATAGTTAAATATGTTTGGATGAATGCATGTAAATTAGTATGTATGTATGCATGCATGAATAAATGTCAGATTGTATTGATTAAAGTATGTATGAATGTTTATAGAAATGTATGTCTGTGTGCAAGAACAAATGTATAAATGGATGTATGAGTTTGTGTGAATGTATACGCAAATGTTTGTATGTCTGTATGTTAACCCCATTACCCTGACCGACCAGTGTATATTCTGCTTTCAGACATCTTTCCTGACTCACACTGTGGTGACTTGATGTAAATTCTCAAGAGTGAAATGAAGTTCACATAAAAGCATTTTAATTGTCTTCAACGCTTTACATTCATTTGTACCCAACTTCAAAGTCTTTTTTCCCGACTGCTCCTGAACGTCACTTAAGGAAACCCCAACCTGCACTCAAGCTGTAATCAACTGTCCGATTGTCTGACGGTGTGTCGTTTTTCTCCACAAAAACGGTCGTTTTGGCCGTAGTTGTATCAAAACTGACCACCAAGGGGCGCCTTTTCTGTATTATGCCCATCGCTTTATCGAAGTCCTGAACTCTATCCTCAGGTGTCTGCAGGACGACTGGAGACTCAGCGCTCCGTGGGACCTGCAGAGGACAGCGTGGGTGAGTTGTGTTGTTGGCTCAGGCTCTTCAGGCTCTTCAGTCCCTGATCGTGCTGTTGATGTTTTCAGCAGCTGACGTGTTTTTTATGTGACACATAGAAAAGTGTGATAAAAATTGAATTTTAAATGTAAAAATGTCAAAGAATTGTATGATCAAAATTTTACTTTTTTGTATGAAAAAGATTTTATAGTGAAGTATGATAAAAATGTCAAGGATATGGTAAAATACAAATGTCATAGAATAGTATACTAAATATAAAAAAATTTAAGTCTGAAAATTGTTTTAACATTTTATTTAAAAAAAGGTCATAGTATACTAGGATAAAGATGACAAAGTATAGTATGATAAAAATTTTATTGTTTTTTTTTGAAGAAAAATATATCACAATATAAGTATATCACAATATAGTATGATAAAAATGTCATAGTATATTATGTTAAAAATTATACATAATTATATATATATAAAAGTATACAATGACCAAAATTTCAGATTTTGGGTGGAAACTTTTTTCAGATTTTATAATGAAAAAACATGCCATAGTGTAGTCTGATCAAATTGCCATAGTATAGGGTGTTGAAACTGTCATATTTTAGCACCAAAAATAAATAAATAAAAAATTTGGCCTGAGAAAAAAAACGTCATAGTATAGTATGACCAAAATTTCAGATTTTAGCATGAAAAACATGCCATAGTGTAGTCTGATCAAATTGCCATAGTATAGGGTATTAAAAATGTCATATTTTAGCACGAATAAAAAAATTCAAATCTAAGCCCGAAAAAAAAAACGTCATAGTATACTATGACCAAAATTTCAGATTTTAGCATGAAAAAAAAAATTCTGATTTTATAATGAAAAAACATGCCAAAGTGTAGTCTGATTAAAATGCCATAGTATAGGGTGTTGAAACTGTCATATTTGAGCACCAAAAATAAATAAATAAAAAATTTGGCCTGAGAAAAAAAACGTCATAGTATACTATGACCTAAATTTCAGATTTGAGCATGAAAGTTTTTTTTCAAATTTTAGGATGGAAAAACATGCCATAGTGTAGTCTGATCAAATTGCCATAGTATAGGGTGTTGAAACTGTCATATTTTAGCACCAAAAATAAATAAAAAATTTGGCCTGAAAAAAAAACGTCATAGTATACTATGACCAAAATTTCAGATTTTAGCATGAAAAAAAAATTCAGATTTTAGGATGAAAAAACATGCCATAGTGTAGTCTGATCAAATTGCCATAGTATAGGGTGTTAAAAATGTCATATTTTAGCATGAAAAAACAATTTCAAATTTGAGCCCGAAAAAAAAAAACGTCATAGTATACTATGACCAAAATTTCAGATTTTAGCATGAAATTTTTTTCAAATTTTAGGATGGAAAAACATGCCATAGTGTAGTCTGACCAAATTGCCATAGTAAAGGGTGAATGAAAAAATAATTTCAAATTTGAGCCCAAAAAAAAAAAAAAAACGTCATAGTATAGTATGACCAAAATTTCAGATTTTAGCATGAAAATAAAATTCAGATTTTAAAATGAAAAAACATGCCATAGTGTAGTCTGATCAAATTGCCATAGTACAGGGTGTTAAAAATGTCATATTTTAGCATGAAAAAATTATTTCAAATTTGAGCCCAAAAAAAAAACGTCATAGTATAGTATGACCAAAATTTCAGATTTTAGCATTAAATTTTTTTTCAAATTTTAGGATGGAATAACATGCCATAGTGTAGTCTGATTAAAATGCCATAGAATAGGGTGTTAAAAATGTCATATTTTAGCATGAAAAAATTATTTCAAATTTGAGCCCAAAAAAAAAAAAACGTCATAGTATAGTATGACCAAAATTTCAGATTTTATCATGAAAATTTTTTTCAAATTTAAGGATGAAAAAACATTCCATAGTGTAGTCTGATCAAATTTCCATAGTATAGGGTGTTAAAAATGTCAAAATAAAATTCAGATTTTAAAATGAAAAAACATGCCATAGTGTAGTCTGATCAAATTGCCATAGTACAGGGTGTTAAAAATGTCATATTTTAGCATGAAAAAATTATTTCAAATTTGAGCCCCAAAAAAAAAACGTCATAGTATAGTATGACCAAAATTTCAGATTTTAGCATGAAAATTTTTTTCAAATTTAAGGATGAAAAAACATTCCATAGTGTAGTCTGATCAAATTTCCATAGTATAGGGTGTTAAAAATGTCAAAATAAAATTCAGATTTTAAAATGAAAAAACATGCCATAGTGTAGTCTGATCAAATTGCCATAGTACAGGGTGTTAAAAATCTCATATTTTAGCATGAAAAAATTATTTCAAATTTGAGCCCAAAAAAAAAAAACGTCATAGTATAGTATGACCAAAATTTCAGATTTTATCATGAAAATTTTTTTCAAATTTAAGGATGAAAAAACATTCCATAGTGTAGTCTGATCAAATTTCCATAGTATAGGGTGTTAAAAATGTCATATTTTAGCATGAAAAAACTATTTCAAATTTGGCCAGAGAAAAAAAAAACGTCATAGTATAGTATGACCAAAATTTCTGATTTTAGCATGAAAATAAAATTCAGATTTTATAATGAAAAAACATGCTATAGTGTAGTCTGATTAAAATGACATAGTACAGGGTGTTGAAACTGTCATATTTTAGCATGAAAAAATAATTTCAAATTTGAGCCCGAAAAAAAAAACGTCATAGTATAGTATGACCAAAATTTCAGATTTGAGCATGGAAAAAAAAATCCGATTTTTGGAAGAAAAAACATGCTATAGTGTAGTCTGATTAAAATGACATAGTACAGGGTGTTGAAACTGTCATATTTTAGCACGAAAAAACAATTTCAAATTTGAGCCCGAAAAAAAAAACGTCATAGTATAGTATGACCAAAATTTCAGATTTGAGCATGGAAAAAAAAATCCGATTTTTGGAAGAAAAAACATGCTATAGTGTAGTCTGATTAAAATGACATAGTACAGGGTGTTGAAACTGTCATATTTTAGCACGAAAAAACAATTTCAAATTTGAGCCCGAAAAAAAAAACGTCATAGTATAGTATGACCAAAATTTCAGATTTTAGCATGAAAAAAAAATCAGATTTTTGGAAGAAAAAACATGCTATAGTGTAGTCTGATTAAAATGACATAGTACAGGGTGTTGAAACTGTCATATTTTAGCACGAAAAAACAATTTCAAATTTGAGCCCGAAAAAAAAAACGTCATAGTATAGTATGACCAAAATTTCAGATTTTAGCATGAAAAAAAAATCAGATTTTTGGAATGAAAAAACATGCTATAGTGTAGTCTGATTAAAATGACATAGTACAGGGTGTTGAAACTGTCATATTTTAGCACGAAAAAACAATTTCAAATTTGAGCCCGAAAAAAAAAACGTCATAGTATAGTATGACCAAAATTTCAGATTTTAGCATGAAAATAAAATTCAGATTTTATAATGAAAAAACATGCTATAGTGTAGTCTGATTAAAATGACATAGTACAGGGTGTTGAAACTGTCATATTTTAGCACGAAAAAACAATTTCAAATTTGAGCCCGAAAAAAAAAACGTCATAGTATAGTATGACCAAAATTTCAGATTTTAGCATGAAAATAAAATTCAGATTTTATAATGAAAAAACATGCTATAGTGTAGTCTGATTAAAATGACATAGTACAGGGTGTTGAAACTGTCATATTTTAGCACGAAAAAACAATTTCAAATTTGAGCCCGAAAAAAAAAACGTCATAGTATAGTATGACCAAAATTTCAGATTTGAGCATGGAAAAAAAATCCGATTTTTGGAAGAAAAAACATGCCATAGTGTAGTCTGATTAAAATGACATAGTACAGGGTGTTGAAACTGTCATATTTTAGCACGAAAAAACAATTTTAAATTTGAGCCCGAAAAAAAAAACGTCATAGTATAGTATGACCAAAATTTCAGATTTGAGCATGGAAAAAAAAATCCGATTTTTGGAAGAAAAAACATGCCATAGTGTAGTCTGATCAAATTGCCATAGTATAGGGTGTTAAAAATGTCATATTTTAGCACGAAAAAACAATTTCAAATTTGAGCCCGAAAAAAAAAAACGTCATAGTATAGCATGACCAAAATTTCAGATTTGAGCATGGAAAAAAAAATCCGATTTTTGGAAGAAAAAACATGCCATAGTGTAGTCTGATCAAATTGCCATAGTATAGGGTGTTAAAACTGTCATATTTTAGCACGAAAAAACAATTTCAAATTTGAGCCCGAAAAAAAAAACGTCATAGTATAGTATGACCAAAATTTCAGATTTTAGCATGAAAATAAAATTCAGATTTTATAATGAAAAAACATGCTATAGTGTAGTCTGATTAAAATGACATAGTACAGGGTGTTGAAACTGTCATATTTTAGCACGAAAAAACAATTTCAAATTTGAGCCCGAAAAAAACGTCATAGTATAGTATCACCAAAATTTCAGATTTGAGCATGGAAAAAAAAATCCGATTTTTGGAAGAAAAAACATGCCATAGTGTAGTCTGATCAAATTGCCATAGTATAGGGTGTTAAAAATGTCATATTTTAGCATGAAAAAACAATTTCAAATTTGAGCCCGAAAAAAAAAACGTCATAGTATAGTATGACCAAAATTTCAGATTTTAGCATGAAAATAAAATTCAGATTTTATAATGAAAAAACATGCTATAGTGTAGTCTGATTAAAATGACATAGTACAGGGTGTTGAAACTGTCATTTTTTAGCACGAAAAAACAATTTCAAATTTGAGCCCGAAAAAAAAAACGTCATAGTATAGCATGACCAAAATTTCAGATTTGAGCATGGAAAAAAAAATCCGATTTTTGGAAGAAAAAACATGCCATAGTGTAGTCTGATCAAATTGCCATAGTATAGGGTGTTAAAACTGTCATATTTTAGCACGAAAAAACAATTTCAAATTTGAGCCCGAAAAAAAAAACGTCATAGTATAGTATGACCAAAATTTCAGATTTTAGCATGAAAATAAAATTCAGATTTTATAATGAAAAAACATGCTATAGTGTAGTCTGATTAAAATGACATAGTACAGGGTGTTGAAACTGTCATATTTTAGCACGAAAAAACAATTTCAAATTTGAGCCCGAAAAAAAAAACGTCATAGTATAGTATGACCAAAATTGTCTTTGCTTTAAATCAATTAAAACACCAGACCTTGTCCTTTATAAAACTTTAATGTGCAGTAGTTCATCGTAGTACTTCAAGTTTTTCAGGCAGCAAACAAGTTATATCAAAACTTCAGATCCTGAAGTCCTCTATTCTTAGTGTTTGATCCTCAGGTGTCTGCAGGAAGACTGGAGTCTCAGCGCTTCGTGGGACCTGCAGAGCTCAGTCACAAGTTTATAAATAAAACACACAAACACACTGTGACTCTGTGTCTCTTTATTCTAATCAGACCCTCCTCCTCCTGTGTCTCTCTCAGGTAGAAGATCCTCTGCTTCATGATGTTGAATTTAGTTCCTGGTTGAAGTGGTCGTTAAGTTTAGAGTCTGAATTTATTATTTCACCTTTTCACTGAGTGTTTTGAGACTTAAGTCAACCTTATCCAGGTCCTGGTGAATTTTCAAGTCCAGTGTCTAGAGAGGAGAGGCGAGTAAAACCTTTCACAAACAGGAACTTCCTATGTGTCCCCATGGCTCAGTGGATAAGAAGACTGACTGGGACTCTTGAGGTCGCGGGTTCAAGTCTTACCTTACCCTGGGTGAGCTGCATTTTAAAGTCTAGTGTCTAGAGAGGACAGTGAAATAGGAAAAAACATACCTGTTCTGTGTGTCCACATGGCTAAGAGGATCAGAAGACTGACTGGGACTCCTGAGAATCCTGGAGGTACGAACCTTATCCAGGAGGTCTAGTTGAATTTTAAAGTCCAGGAGCCAAATGACGATGATAAACGCGCACGGAGCTCAATTCAGTGTGGATGGTATCTTGTAGCGCAGTGCGGAAGTCTACCGGCACCCAATGTGGGTACCCCGGTTCGATTCCCACTCAGGACAGGAAGTTTAAAGTGATGAAATGATGATAATAAATAGAGAATTCTTCTCTAGCAAGAAGAAGTACATTCATCACTTCTGATGATGACAAACAATAATAATAATCATCAATTCTAATGATGATAATCTGATCATCGCTAATACTCTCCAGCAACGAGCTGGGATCAAACCAGCACCCATTGGGTGCCAGTAGACTACTGTGCGGCGCCATTAGATACCATCCACACTAGGGCATGAGGTACGCCCGCTTTTATCCTCATACTTTAACTCCTGGACTTCAAAATTCACCTCGCCCTGGATAAGGATCGAACCCACAACCTTGCGAGTTCTAGTCAGTCTTCTTATCCACTGAGCCATGGGGACACTCAGGAGGAGCCTGTTTGTTCAAGGTTTTTGGTCTGCTCTCACCTCTAGACACTGGACTTAAAAATTACCAGGACCTTCAACCTCAGGAGTCTAAATCAGTCTTTTTCCCTTCTGAGCCAGAAAAGAATCTGACTCCTTAGAGAACGTCATTGGGTGAGGTGACTCCCTCCCTGAACTAATCTTAAGTATTTTAAACTAACTGCTGACTAATGACACCTAAGAGCTTTTAAATATCTCAAATCGTCACTTTTAATCATGACTTCAGTCTCAAAACACTCAGTAAAAAGGTGAAATAATAAATTCAGACTCTAAACTTAACGACCACTTCAACCAGGAACTAAACTCAACATCATGTGGCAGATGAACTTCTACCTGAGAGAGACACAGGAGGAGGAAGATGGGGAGGGTCTAATTAAAATAAAGAGACACAGTGTGTTTGTGTGTTTTCTATTTATAAACTCATGGAAATGCCAGACATCACTTAAGTGCACAAACATTTCCATTTAAAGGCAACAATTTAAAGTCTTGAAATAATTTAAACTAGAAAAAAGTTAAATCTGAACTATTTTAATTTAACTGCTGACTAATGATAGCTAAAAGCTTTTAAGTAAATAGTTTAAGTGTCTCAAATCTTCACTTTAATCATGACTCAAGTCTCTAAACACTCTCTGAAAAGGTGAAATGATAAATTTAGACTCTAAACCTAATGACCACTTCAACCAGGAACTAAACTAAACTAGGCCCCCAACTCCAGGATCCACCGACGATGAGTCCTGAAAGAAAAGAAGAGAGATGATAAGTTTTTTTTATATTTATCCCAACAAAAGACCAAAATCTGTGCTGAGGACGTCAAACTGGACTGTGGTGAGAGCTCAGAGAAGCTCTCAGGCCAAGTGAAAGTTTTACTGAATTTGTGCTGAGATCTGTTTGCACTCATTTTTGAGAGATTGTCAGAGAAGCTGATTTAAGTCTATGAATATCTATAAATTAATGAATGAATGATTAAACCTTCAGCCTTGTTTGGTTTTCTTATTCTTGTGTCTATTAAATCAATAAAGAGTGGGACCTTTAACTCCAGTGTTTATTGTGATTCTTTCATGATTTAGTACAATCGTCTTAATATGCATTACTCTAAAGAAAACAAATACAAATACAGGGAACTAAGAGCTTAATCAGTGAACAAGAGAGGGCTTAAAATCATATCCTTCTTATAGTTAAGTCTCTGGACTTTGACAGAATTTCATATCCACATTAGATTACATTAGTGACATCTGAATTAAAATATTTCTTTAATTTGCAGGTTTTTAGTTGTTGTTTCTGTAACTCACTATTTTAGAACATTATATTTATTGCTTAGAATTTTGGCCCAGGACTTCTAGCTTGTAGTTTTTCCCCCCCCTCAAATAAAAGTGAGTAAAAACATTTATTTAGGTTAGCTGGAGTTTAAGTCAGAATCTAGTGACTCAATACAACTCTGGACTTGAACTTAAAGCTTATATTTCTTAGAATAGAATTATGGAGATGAAAATTAAAAATATGTTTAGATTCACTCCTTTATCAATCATTCTTATAAAACTGTAGACTGACAGTCGATAAAGTCCACTAACTGCTTTAAAAATAACACAATTTAATACTACAAGTATCTTTCTGTCAGATAAAAAGGTGTACTGATTTACTGAATTTATCTAGATCCATACTTATAAAGTGATATTAAATATATTGGTATATGATTTTATGTTTGAAATTAAGTGGAATAATACCGTCTTTATCTACAGCAGGGCAGTTTTGTGTAGAAACGGCGCCCTCTGGTGGACAGTAAGATATGATTGAGCTTTTTTAAGTATTAGTATTAAAGGAGTAAGCTGTTTACTAGCATATCAGGCTAAAAACACGAGTGAGGTTAGCCTGTTAGCATTAGCATTATCCACTCAGCGTCTTCGTGTTTCTGTTCGCCTCTCTTTCACTCACCTCAAAAGTCACGTTGCACTGTGACTCGGAATATGTTTTCCTCCTTTTATATCACCCTCCTTTCTTCTATTTTTCAGTATTTTGATAAAAATGTCGACACACTGCTCCCTGGCGTTGTTAGCGTTAGCACACCTGGACGTAATTAGCAGCGGCGGTTAGCCTCGGTAGGCCGTAGGCGTGACTCAGACTCAGGTAAACAAGCGGATATCCGGTGAAACCAAAACAGAGATGAAACGCCGACATAAAGACGGTGTATTTTTAACGTTAATCTTGGGAAACTTTTCAAATTAAAGTATGTTTTTGTGTCTAAAAACGGCTAACACCCTGTTGTTTTTTTTTTTGGATCAACGAGATAATTCAGAAAAATAGAGCAAATGTTTGAGTTTTTTCAAATTTCTGACAAAGTTATCTCATAAATCAGAAAATAAAGTATATATTTTCTTCTCTTATGCAAACCACATCTGTATTTTTCAGCTTGAGTTTGATCTACAAACATTTTAACTGGAATCGAGGGCTCAAACTAGAGAAGTCAGGTTTGCAAGATGGGTGCTTTTATCAGCAAGTGTTTGGAGAAAGATTTGTTATCACCATAGAGAAATAAACCAATTTAAAAAGAGGTGCAGTTTTTCCTTATCTAAGCTTAAGCAGGAAAAAACTGCATCTTCTAAAATGTTCTAACAATCTTTTAAAATCTTAAATCTGCAGATATAAAAACAAAGTCAGAGTCACATCAGTGAACTCGGCCCATCCTTAATACTGATTAATTGCACAGAGATGCATGACTTTCTCATTTGTGATACTTCTAAAATTAAAAAGCAACATCTAATACTTTGTTTTTATCTTCAGTGACAGAAAGTTCCAGAAGCAGAGTGGCCTACCTGAGTTTGTACGACTGAATCTGATGCATTAAAGCCTGTTGTGACATTTGCCAGTGCCTTTATTGTATTTACTGCCTGAGGTTGTCCTCTCAGCAAAACAGCAGATATCAGTTGAATTTACTGGACTGAAACTGGAGTTACAAAAAGAAACGTACATTTCTTTATTAACAAAAAGACTCTGTTCCTGTTTGGTTTGTATTTCACTGTGATGCTTCTTAGAAAATGACAACACAAGTTTTTAACAGTGTGGGTGCTTTCTGAAAACATGAAAGTCAACACAACACAAACAAGTTCTCTTCAGTAGAAGTCGTCAGTGTACAAAGAGCCAGCAGCAGTCCTGTTTCCAGAATCGAGGAAGGGGATCACTGACTGCCGAGAGCAAAAACCACTGAGGCAAAAGTGAGTCTGTAGGTGAAGGAGGTTTATTTCTTCCTCCTCACTTTGGGCTTTTTGACCGGCCTGAGGTACGGGTTATCGATCATGTTTTCCTCGCTGCTTTTTGTGGAGGGAACGACACCGCTGGGAGGAAGCATGGAGTTCTCTTTGTCAGCTCCTGGATCATCCTGAACGTGGGAAACAAAGAAATCAGTAAGTTCACATGCACAGTTACATTAAGCAACAGTTATAGCTCAACAAGACAATTTAACAGGTCCACTGTCTCTACAAGCACCACCAAGACAAGAGTGTGTCCAGTGGTGGTCTCTTGGGAACACTGACAAGGATTTTAACTTGAAATTTGATTGGAAAAGTTAGGTTGGACATCTAAGACCCAGCTTCAACCAGCTTTCAACTTCGTAACATATGGTCATGGTCATGAAAAAAGGAAAACTGTGCACATGCTAGTTTTTAAGCTGCTCTGGCCATAAAGGTACAAACACTCTGGGTGCTGACATACTATATTTACACCTGATGGACCACAGCTATCACCTGCGCAAGAGCTAGATGGTGGAAGGAGGTAAGAGGTTGTCTTTCTGCAGTGATGTGGGTTTATTTAAGGTTTGGAAAGTTTGCTGTAATTTATACAAAAGCACCAAAGTGAACATCTTAAGAGGAGTTTAGAGCCTTGATTTCAAGGAAAACACTCAAAAATCTGCAAAAAATGTGGATCAAAAAACACACTTTCTGCAAACCCTCTCTGCTGCTGTTTAACTATGCAAGAAGTAGAGCTAAACACTAAAATCCAACCTTGAAATCACACTGTTCCAGTAAAAAATCTTGACCTTTTATATGAATGGATTACTGCTAATTTTTAAGGGACTTTCTTTCTCTGCCACTACAACCAGTCATAACTAAAACTACTGTGCAACTGTTAAAACTGGTGACGTTTAAAGGGCATGTAGAAAATCAGAGGATGAGGTCATTCTGAGTGGTTAACAGAGGTCCTCTATGCCAGAGATGCCACATAATACGACTTTTGTTAAGGACCTGATATCAGTAAAATTATAATTCTGTGATCAATATCTTAAGTTCTGGAAAAAATTCTGCGGAGAAAAACTGGGTCAGCTGAACAGATCCTGAGAGTGAAGACTTACTTGTATGATGTTTCCTGCTGTGTTCTCGCTGTCTGTCTGGTCGTCCTGCTCAGACGAGTCGGTCTCTTCCAGACTCTGCAGCTCCAGCTCTGAGGGCAGGAGGGCGCTGAGATACGGGATGGAGCTCGGTCGAGCTGCGATTACTAAAAAAGGTTGAAAGGGTTAGAATTTAACTGGAAACATGGATTCAGTGGCTTCTGAGACATGTAAACACAGACCCTTAAGAAAAAGAACTTTTCCTTGAAACTGAATTATGTTCGGCAGAGTGACTCACAGGGAAAAATGCTGATGTCGTCTTTGAAGAGGCTCTGGGTTTCTCCGGTCTTGGCCATAAAGCGCGTGAGTGCTCGTTCCACGTCTCTCCTCTGACTTGCCGCCTTCTCTCTCACCACCTGGTAGTCTGACACAGGCTCTCTGTACGTCTGAAAGCAGAAAGAAACACATGCCTTGAACACACTCTAAATTTGAGTTGATATCGTTTATGAATATGGTTCTGCTGTTTGGTGAAACTTAAGTTTGTTTTTTTGTTAATCGGAGAGATCTGACTCACAGGTGTTTTGATGTAGCTGTGCGGGTCGGGGAACTCTGGGAAGTGGCCGGGGATGTAAGATGGATGTGGACGTTTCTGTCCCGCTGACAGAGCTTTGGGAATGACAGGAGGGTTCGTCACTGGAGCTAAAAGAGAAAAATCCACAAAAAGAAAGAGGTTATAACACCGATTTAAAAAATATATATATATCTAAATGTGAATTCATCATGATCAACATCTGCATCTACAGTAAGGGAGCAGAGTGTCCACTTACGGGCAGTTATAACCATCCTCTGTGATCTCTTGGCATATGCAGGCAAAGTATCAGCATTGAAACCTGTAAAGAAACAGACACATTATATAACGTTTTCTCTTTATTAACTTAAAGGGATATTCTGGCGTAAAATTAATTCAGGGTTCAGGTAACTTGAGAGGCAAGTGGTTGGCAACATTCATCTCTGGAGGGGATGTCTAACTCGGTGTTACGGTGTGTTTGATCCTTAATTAATTTTACACCAGGATATCCCTTTAAGTATGGAACATATAAGCCGCTGTGTGTTTGTGTTCTCCAGTTTTTACCCATTTCAATGAGTGTGACCACGGCGTCTGAAAGAGTCGGGATACTTCTGGCTGTGTGTTCACAATAAGCTTTGGCACATCGACCAATTTCAGTTATATCTGAAAAAAAAGAGACGAAGAGACAGTCAGAGAAGACATCTGCTTTTTAATACTGTAAATAAAGAGCAGCACCAAGAGGACAGATGCTGCAGTTTACTTCAGGTTTGACAGTCAAAACACAGATCAATGTTCAAGGATGTAGACCGGACTTACAGCTCTGCATCATCTCAGTCAGAGTCTCCACAGCTGCCTTCTCAGCACTCTCAAAGCCACATTCAGTCAGGAGGGCAGAGACCACCACCTGCAGGGTCCGACGTCTGGCCAGGTGGTAGTTCTCCGCGGGACTGGTGGCTGCTTTACTGCCACTCCCACGCTGAAAAAACACACAGACATGACACGGTTAGACGGCTTAAACGTGAATGTGTCAGAAGAGATAACAAAAAGGTTGATTATCCTTCATGAATAGGTCATGTAAAGCTGCGCAGAGAGGCTCATTTGGCTCCATGCAGCTCAGAGAGGACATTTTAAGGCTTTTTCTTACCCCTCCTGAGTTAAGAGACCCGCCCGTCGACACCGCAGGGTCCGCCATCTCTAATAACTTGTATCCTGTTCGTTTTGTTAAACTGGTTTAGCTGTTTATTGAAAATAATTTGATTTTAAGGACGAAATTTTCACTGCCGTTGGTAAACACGGAGAGTTGAAGTCGTCACTTCCGTCGTTGGAATAAGGCAACACTTTTTCAGCTGCTGCCACCGAGCGTCTGGAAACAGAATTACAACTTATACATTTATTTATTTTATATATATATATATATATATATATATATATAGAAATATTAAATACAACCTAAACAGAGGAAAAAGTATATTTACACAGATTCTGTCAATGCTTCAAGATGAGGTAGATAGTTTATTGTTTTTATATATTAATTTGACATACATAGGTAAAACAATTACTCAAATCTGCTGTGTATTTGAGGCACAGTCAGGTTTAACAGACATATATGTACACGTATGAGGAGTTTGACACCTGTGAACTTTTCTCTCTTTATAAATACATAAAAGTGAAATAATCCATCACTCAAAACACTACACATGTATGTTTGAGATGACAACAGACATTTAAAAATTAACTAACAAAAGTATGTGGCTTTGAGAGAGCTGAATAATTACAATTATATACATATATACAAATGTTATCATAAAGCATCTTGGTTATATACATGAAATGTAGTGTTAAATATATATATATATATATATATATATATATATATAGGTAAGTAGTTAAAAAATATCTGGGTATGAAAGAGTTATTATAAATTATAGGAATAATAAAGAGTATTTTGTCAGATTGCTTTCAGTGTTTTTGTCTCAGGTCATGATAAATTATTTATTTTGAAGGTTTCTGACTGTCAGAGTCCATCAGAGCCACAGCAAGAGGGACAGAACTGTTTTTAAATCAGTTATTGTGAGATCAAACCCTTAAATTCCTCTCATTTGAGTTTTTAATAATGTTGCTTTAATGTACATCGACGCTGATGATCATTAAAGTCTGCTGGCAAAATGAACTAAGAGCGGTCCTGCTTTAAAACCACGACCTAAATCAGCTGCTGAATAAAAAGTCATTTTATCGGAGTAGAAAAATCTGTCACTCTCCTTATTTCCCTGCACACTTATCACACTTATTAAATCATATCAACAAATATTTGCTGCCCAGCAGTATGACGTTTCGGCTCTCTGCAGGTTTTACTTCATCAGAGACTCAAAGTTTTCAGCACATCACCTGTTTGATCAAATTTAACATTATTAAATAAAATCAAAGGAGCCGCTCCCAGGAGGTAAATTAATTTATTCACACCTGGAGGGCTTTTATTTCAAGAGTATAAACGGATCACTGCTCCTCTGCTCTCATGAGGCGTCAGATGTTTGGTCCTGTCCTCCATCCGGCCTGTCTTCAGGTTGTCTTCATCTCCAGCCTGAGCAAAGGGAGGATGTGGCTTCAACGTCTGCTTCTTCTCATCCTCCTTCTTCTCCTTCTTCTTGTCTTCTAAAGTCAGTCCAGTTATCTTCTCCTCATATGTCTCTTCCTGCTCCACAAATGGCAGAAGCACCGTCTCCACCAGTCCACCCACCACTCCGAGCATCGCCAAGGTGGAGCCCAGCATGTAGATCTTCAGCGTGTGCCGGCTGGGCCTCTGGTTTAACATCTCTTTAGCAAACGGGATGATCTCACCGATGGTTTCCATGACGGATTATTTGGTAAATCTGTTGAAAAACAAACAAAAACTTCATTTTTTTAGTTAAAAATGCCAGAAAACATGAATCAACATGCTGATATTTAAAGGCAGATACTCACGCTACCAGAGCAGATACCAGGCTCAGATTCTTTTGCAGTGTTTGACCCAGGCAGGGAAATGAGCACGAATCCTGCCATTTAAACACAACTTGAGCCGGGTCAACTCCCACAGAGTTGATCAACAAAATAAATATTCATGAGGCTGCTGAGAAACACTTCTTCAGATTACAGCTTGTTTGGGTAAAAGGGCAGGGGTTTCCAGGACAGCGAATCGAGCAAACTTTGCATGTGAAATTAGGAGATTCAAACATGTCCTCCTAAAGATGGAGCAAAAATAAAAGTATCTTAATATATCAACAAACATGCACCGGTCCTGCAAGCAGAATTGTGCTAAATCTTATAAATATTCTAATTTGTTAAAAGGTTGAACATTGGACCATGTGCAGCGCCTGCTTTGTGCTGCGTGGCTCCTCGCAGTAAACATTGATCCCCATCAGGAGAGCGTGAAAAGAGTCCAATCACCGCATGAGAAAAGGTGGCGAGGTGGAGGACCTGGTTTGATTTATTGAACGCTGACAGATAAGAGTCTTTAGTAGAAGATGTTAAAGGAAATCCTCCCCTAATCATGCGTCTCTGAGCTGTTCTGGCTCATGTTCAACATCTGACCGTGAAGCTGACAATGAAGCAACGATCCTCACGAGTGTTTTTATTTGTGTTTTCTGACTTTTGACCTCTTTCTTTCTCTGCGGGAGAGCGGAGCGTGGAGTCACGTGGGTTTGTGAAATGTGTCTGATCTCTGTCACAGAGAGGAAATCTGCCATCTGCTCTCAGTGAAAGTGACTGAAGCTGCCTAGACTGGGAGAAGACTGCATGCTGAGTCAACAGCTGCACGCCTGGATATACGTCACATCTGCTTTAATTCAGTCGTGACTTTAGAGATGCAAATATCAGACAACTCCTCAGTGGATGTAAAAGCTAGGACTGGTTTATGAGTTTTAATATGTGATTTCTGCCGAGTTTGATCTGCTGAAAACACCACAAAAATAAAACTACATAATTGCAACACAAGCAGAAATCCTGTATTCAGACACAGAGTGAAGAAAAGCAGAAGTGAGAAACTCTCTCCGGCACAGAAACGGCTCTGATTCCTCTTTTCTTGGTTTAATCGACCGTTTCTTGAACTTTCAGTCAGAGTTGGTGAAATGTGGTTAAACCCTGCAGCAACCTTTCTCCCATCAGCCTTTATTTTCTCCGAGAGCAGACCGTTTGCTGGTAATATCGCGAAAATGACTCCATCAATAACGCTCCTCTTTGAGAGACCCGGCGTGGATTCTGGGCAGTGATGTTTACGGCTGCTGGGAAAAGGTTGGGGCTGTTTGGAGACCTTTGCTCCATATTTCTGGTTTCTTCTGCTTCAATGGACGGTCTGTCTCAGTGGGCTTCACCAAAATCAGACATGTGAGGGGTTCAGAGGGTGAGGAGGGTCGAGGTGGTGAAAAAAACTTTCATCAGGAAAAAAACGTGCAATTCAAGTTTCACATATCTGAGTTTCTCTGACCCAGATTCACTGACTTTCATACCTGCTGGTTGACTGTTATGTCATACAGTGTAAATCTCATCAGCTAAAGACCCCCCCCTCCTCTCTGTAATCCTGACTGTGCTTGAAGAGCTGATGTGACATTTAATCTACTGAGGAAGTACAGAAGGGTTAAGTGGTTTAGGGCTGAGGGGTCACTATAATTAAGGTCAGGTCACAGAGGCAACTATATATATATATATGTATTGATTTTTATTTGTATTTGCGTTACTCTCACTGATATTTTCAAACAAATGAAGTCAAAACACTTAAGAAAACAAAGATAAAGAAAATCTGCAGAATAAGAAATCATAATTTTACTTCTCAGAGTCACTCTGTTTCATAGTCCAGAGCTTTATTTCATAACTATAATATAACTTTATTCATCTTATTTCTATTTCAGGGATGAGGTTAATATATCTGTGATAACTTTCCATTGATTTTTCAAGTTTTAGCAAAAATATTGAAGAGTAATTTCACAGATAAAGGTGCAAGTTATAAATCTAAGGTGACTCTTACCTCAGAGCTGCTCGTGTTCACACAACAAGTTTCTGTGTTTCAGTTTTCAGGGTTAAAATTAAAGTGATAAAGATGTGATTTTTCAAAAGGTGCAGGAATGACAGTTTTAAAATGTTTACTATAGGGTAACACTTTATTTGAAGCACTGATCAATAGTCAATAAGACCTTAAAAAGGGGCTTAGAAACATTAATAATTGTTACAATAGTTAATCAAAGTATAATTGATACATTTATTATTCCTAACAATACTCTTGAAGGCTCATATTACAAACTTTTACTGTTTATATAACTTTTATCAAATTTAACACTGTTTTTAATTTGATTTTTATTGTTATCTATCGATTTATTTACTTCTTTTGTTCATCCCGTGTACATCACTTTGTTCGACTGCTGTCTTTTAAAGGTGCTTTATAAATAAACATTGACTTGACTTAACAGGATGTTTATTGACTTTAATTAGACTTTATAGGGTTAATTTAAGATTAATGGACATCTTTAATATCAGATTGTAACAAACTTACAAGGAGTTTAGATATAAATAAAGATATAAAGATATGTAGATGTAGTGATAGATAACGTGGGTATTTGCCATATTTTGGACCCAGGTGTGCAGTCTTATCTTTTAGGCAGTTGCAGGTTACAGACTTGTTTTTTATCAGATAATCAATCTTCAAAAACTGGATCAGGATCTGCTGCCATGAAAACTGACTGGGTCATCTTTAGGAAACAGATAACTGGAGCGATTCCATCAAGGTCGTTCACTAACACGCATCACTCTAACATTAATCCTTTTAATTTGGTGATTATTTAAGCTTCAAGACTTCCTGTCTCTCCTGCAGAGGAGCTGCACACACTCCTCAGTATCAGCTGTGAGCTCTCTTATCTCATTACTCTGCTGCTATGAACATCTCAAACCATCTAAATAAATAAGAGCAGAGACGACGCAGATTCTGTACAGCTTTATTCATGAGCGCACATTTATTCGTGTATACAGCATAATAAATAGATTCAATTGTAATCTGCTGAAAGCATCGACACAAAGCCAGAGGAAAAAAGAAGCAGACTGTACACGATGAAACACAGACGGTAAATAAACATCAAAAAAAGCGTAAATGACATTTGAACCTCACACAGAGCTGAGTTGGCGAGTTCTGAACATACGTGTCCGTGTTTAAATATGCTTTCACTCACGTCGGCAGAACTTTATTTTACACATTTCACAGAAAGAATAACGTTAGAAAAATAAATCAGTCATAAAAGCAAACTCATAAAAAATAAGAGACAAACTTATTTTAACAGATTACGCGAGTATTGCTCTTTAGAAGTGAAAGCATGCAGTTTTTTCAATGCTCCTTCTATTGCACTTAAAAATACCAGCTGGATAAATGAAGATATTTACACGTGACGGGTCGTGAATACTTTATTTTTTAGATCATAAATGAGAATTGATGAATCTCCTCCAGATCAGAAGTTGGGATTAAACGCCGGTTTCTTCGGCGTCAGATTTCAGAGGTCAGGCCTGGTGCACCATGAACAAACTGGACCAGCAGCAGGTGAGACCTTCAATCCCTCAGTGAATACTGCGTGAAGCCCACCCTGTGTGTGTGTGTCTGAGTTCGATGAGTGTGTTTGTCGGGAAGCTCCTCAGGCACTCGTTCCAAAAGAAAATGTCCCACAGACTGTAGTGGACCTCAAAGACCTCAGAGCGGTCCGTCAGAGGATAAAACCCACTTCTCTCCATTTCTCAGTAGCTCGGGGACCTGCTGACACAAAACAGCTGCATGCTGAGTCAGCACAGCAACACTGACCTGCAGAGGGCGGAAACACACTGAGGTTAGAAACACACACAAACAAACATGTTCACCTGAAGAAAACATTCACGGCTGAATTTATCCTTCAATCAAACATGCAATCAAGTTTTTAATATATGCATTCTCTACATTTTAAAGGGATATTCCGGGGTAAAATTAATTTAGGGTCAAACACACTGTAGAACAGGGTTAGACACCCCCTTGAGAGATGAATGTTGCCGACCGCTTGCTTCTCTAGTTATAACAACTTTAGTAACGACCGCAGGATAGCAATATAGAGTTTCGCAGCTCAAGGAAGAACATTTATGATCATTTCTTTATCATTTCCTTGAAGTAATAATCATCATATTAATCATTTTTCTCTGCAGACGCGGTAGTTCTTCTGTCTTAGCGTCTCGGTCTGATTGTATTTCCATGAAGTAATGATCATAAATGTTCTTCCTTGAGCTGCGAAACTCCGCTGCACAGTGGCTATAGAGTAGCGTTTTGGTTGAATGTGTGTCTCTCTGTATTTCTATCCAGCGGTCGTTACTAAAGTTGGTATAACTAGAGAAGCAAGCGGTCGACAACATTCATCTCTGGAGGGGGGGTCTAACTCGGTGCTACGGTATGTTTGACCCTTAATTAATTTTAAGCCGGAATATCCCTTTAATAAAGAGGTATGGTCTGTAGATGCTCTCTAACACCTACCAAGTAAAATGCTTTTGCACGTAAACTTCATGCAGCCTTCACATGACGGAGCAAACTCCAGTCTGCAGAGTCTTCCCGTTACGGTTTTTCCCGTACCTGCAGAGAGAAGAAGAGGAGGATCCTGCGTCAGTCCGGCAGTTTCTCAGACATTTAACATCTAAAAAAAAGATGAAGCTAAAATACGAACCCGTTAAGGTTGGCGGGCTCAGAGTGGTAGACGTGCTTGCCCTGCTCGGCGATGGTCGGAGCGTGATGGTGCGGGACCACGCTGCTCTGCGTGGCCTTCAGCGTGTGATAGTGACTCTTTGGTTCGATGCTGCTCGTGGGCAGAGTCATGTGATGGTTACCGGCTGGTCTCTCACTGATCTCCGACGACTTGGGGTCGAGTCTGTCGGGATCGAGGTGCTTGCGATTCTTGGTGGGGGAGGACACGTCGATGACTTTGATGTCGGGGATGCTGGCCTGCCTCAGGACCAGCTCGGAGTGGGCCAGCTGCAGCTTTTTCATGTGGTTGATGGCGCAGGCGGCGTTGAAAGCTTGCTGTGAAGTAAACAAATACTCCATTTTCTCTCATTGCTTTTTAGAGCTGCTGCATTTTGATGTTTTTTCCATCTTATTTTCTTGATTTCAAGTCCTACTTTTTATATGACTTGTTTTAAAGGTACTTTGTTTTCCAATTTATGCAACTATGCAGGTAATTTGGCTTTCTCGTTAATGATAACCTGAGTTTTCACATTGATTTTTGTGACTTTAAACCACCCTTAACAAACAAAAAGACATGAATAAACAGAAGTGGATTTAAGGACCATTCAGACGACTCATTGATTGCTCAAAAGGGCAGATTTTCTCAACAGCAGATTCACAGAAAGGTCATTTTTGCTGCTTGTGAATCAAGTTTAATCTGTTTCCCTGACAGTCTCAGCTCCACATCGAGCATCAGCGGCCTTGATTACCAAACAATATCTTATTAAAGCGTCCTTAATCAGGAAGGATTGAGATTAATCTGCTATAAACTGCAGGTCCTTAATAGGATTACCAAACCAAAAGCCAAAAATCAGAGGGCGCTGACCTTCCACTTGGACTTGGCGAAGTTCTTCTGGATCTGGACGCTGACAGAGTAGTAGATGTCCTGGCTCCGCGCCGTCTTTCCGATAATCCTGGAAAACAGATGATGAAACGGAGCGATTACATGATTTTCCAGGTAGAGTTTAATCCTGACCTGGACTCGAATCAGCTGCGCTCGATTCCCATGAGATAAAACACATCGTTATGGAGAAAATCGTACAAATTAAAGGGTTATTACGCTTTTTTTTTACCCCAACACAGTCGATCAGGATATCAAACTACTTTATCAGTCCTGCTTTCAATAATCAGTTTGGAGTGGTTTGTTATGAATGATGAAATCCTTAAAAGAAAAACTCCAGTTAAATAAAGTTGTTTAAATATAAGACGATAAACGAAGTTTGGGTTGTTGTTTGTTTCTTGAACTTTGCTGCAGTGGACAAGAGAGGTTTTATTCACGATCTTTACAAGATGGCAAACATCTTTGGTGGAAAACATGCAGCTATTTCGTGAGGAAATATTTAATCTTTAGACAAATTAAAGCTCCTGTGAGGCTTTTTTAGACATTTATGAAATAAACTGACGTTTATATTCAAACAAGGCGATTACTGAAAGGAATGAGGGTTTTTCTACTGTGATCTTTAATGCCTGAGGAAACTGAGGAAAAAGCAGCTTTAAACATTGAGTATTTAAATTTGTCCACAGGGGGCGCCAAAACTGACACAAACAGAAAAGTTCTTCACAGGAGCTTTAAGTGACTCATGAGTGAGACTCACCAGGGGTGTCTGAGAGCTTGTTCAGTCGAGTATCTCATGCTGGGATTCTTCTGCATCATGTTACGGATGAAATCTTTGGCTGCAGAGATTATAAACGACAGACGTGTTAGAAAGAATGAATCAGCTGCAGGAGGTGGAGGAGGAGGAAAAACGTCACTGCTAACGCTGAGCATAATCACCTGATTCAGAGATGTTATCCCAGAACGGAGAGTCAAACTCGTACTGTGCCTTCATGATCTTGGAGAATAGTCTGGTCTCAGATTCCTCGTAGAAAGGAGGGTATCCACAGAGCCTATAAGAGAAGGAATATCAATGTGGTGTCTGCAGTATCGTAGATTTTCACTAGGTGGAGCTACACCTCAGTCTCAGCCTCTAACTCTGTATTTAGAGGCTTAAATCTTAAAATCCTGCCTCTATATAAAGAAAACGTTGAACCTTATTCACACTAATTTGAGCCTGTTAATTCATGATAATTTATGCTCACAGTCTCTATTGTTTGACACTTACAGGATGTATGTGATAACTCCAATGGACCAGCAGTCCACGGCCTTGCTGTAGGGTTTCTGAGCCAAAACTTCAGGGGCTGAAAAAAGAGGAAATCCACATTAGTGATGCAGAGAAATATTACGACACTGCATCATAAATATTGGATGAAGTTTGCGCCGCCTCACTGCGACTCTCCTCCTCTGTGTCTCAGTCAGAGTCCATAAATAAATCATGAAGCAGACACGTAACCTCCTTACCTACATAACCTGGAGTCCCACAAGCTGTCGACATGATGTCTTGGTCCACCATCTTTGAGAGGCCGAAGTCACTGATCATGATTTTGGAGTCCTCGTCTTGGCTGAAGTACAGAATGTTCTCAGGCTGAAGACAGAAACAGACAGAAACAGACGTCTTTATGAGAAATGGTTCGACTTGGACACACCAGGTGCTACAAATGTGCGATTGTGTCGTCGATTTCCACCTTGAGGTCTCGATGCACGATGCCGTTTTGGTGCAGGTAGCTCACGGCCTGCAGGACCTGCTGGATCACACTGCTGGCGTCTTTCTCCGAGTACATCCCTCGGTCCAGGATGCGGTCGAAGAGTTCGCCTCCTGAAACCCTGCGAGAAAACAACACCACCGTCAAAACCTGATTTATTTCGCTGACCTGCTCATTTAAACGGCGGTTTGAGATCTGTTCAACTCACAGCTGCATGACGAGGTAGTAATGAGTGCGACTCTCGTAGAAATCCTCCATCCCGACCACGTTGTCGTGTTGGATTCTGTGCAGGAAACAGTGGGGGGCTCTCGTTAGAACACTGTTTTTTGTGTGTTCAGCATCAACAGATGTGATTGTTTTATAGAGAAATTAGAGAGGGAGTCTCAAAAGCATCAGCGACCTCCTCAGCACGGTGATCTCGTTCTCCAGGTTGAGGTCCCTCTTCTGCTTCTTCTTCACGCACTTCATGGCGAACATCTTCCCCGTCTTCTTCTCCTTCACCATGTACACCTCGGAGAACGCCCCCCTGTTCGGTGACACACAGACGCATTAGACATGAATTATTGATGAATCAGACGCTAATTGATTTTGGAATGAGATTTTTTTTATTTAATTCCACCTGGAGACTCGTTAACGAGATGAGGAGACTTTAACAGCTCGGAGAAAACGGCCCATTAGCTGAGACTGTTTTCAATTTTTATCGACCCTTCAGGGGAGAGTTTCACCGGCTTTTATTCGTCTGTTTTCTTGTACCACACCGACTGTTACTCTGAGCAGTTAATCTACTGTCAGGTCCTCAAATACAAAAAGGTCATTTCAAAAAATAATCTCCTGAAATGCCCCCTTGCTCTCCCCTCTCAAAAGTGAAACTACGGTGGCCTTTAAGAACAAGAAGCTTCTGTGGTGAATAGAAACGGGATCATTTAGAAATATCTATCCGTCAGCTTCCAGAGTCAAATGCTCCCTTGCTCACTCAACTTGTTAGAGGAGCTACGGTGGCCTTCAAGGACAAAAAGCTCCTTTCATACATAATACAGTGTGAAATTAATGGAAATATTTGGCAATATCTCACTGTCAGATTCTAGACTGAAACGCTCCCTTGCTCAACCCTCCTGTTAGTGAAACTACAGTGGCCATCAAGGACAAAAAGCTGCTTTCATATATTATACAGTGAGTAATCAATAGGAGTATTTAGCAATATCTTATAGTCAAATTCTAGATTAAAATGCTCCCTTGTTCACTCCTCTCAAAAGTGAAACTATGGTGGCCTTCAAGGACAAAAATCATGTTCAATCCTCCATTTGTCAGATTTTTATCACCAAAAATGTCACTCTTTTCTATTTCCAACTACCTAAATGCAAAAACGCTTAAGTTACTATTTTGTCCATCCTGTGCTACCGTAGACACATGGTGACCTCCGTGGAACAAGACTGTCTCCATTATCTTCCACACTTTGGGGACTTCCTGACTTCCTCTAACCCTTGGAAATGACTTATGCCAAACACAGATTTGAGGAATTATTCAGTTTTTATTAAATTTGCTTACAGAGAGCATTGTGAGCTTTGAGTTGGGTCACTATACAAGCATAATATAAAAAAAACACAATTTTAAAGTTAAAAATGAGAGCTATGGTGGTAATATATTATGATTTGAGCTGGTTTTAAAGTCAGGATCAGTACATTTCCTTTAAAAACTTCTTTAAATGTTTCCTGTATCCTCTGTTATTGTTTTAGATTCACTGAGTTCTCCATCTTTTTCTTCTCTCGTGGAGATGGAAAAAGTCTGAACCTCTCGAAAGGCTCTGGATTTAAAATAAACACACGGCAGAAATAGAAATATCATGGGGTTCAATTAAGATCCGCTGTAGATCTCGGTGGCGTAACTCTTCACATGTCCACAGCTTATTATTCAGCCTCTGCGCGGCTCCGTGTCCCCGCTATCTTCAGCCCTGTCTGGGAATAGTTGTTCCTCCCGCTGGATTAGGCCCTTTATCCCTGACGCAACGGAAAGCGCGGCAGGCCGAGGGATGTACACGCACAAAGGTCAGAGACTGAGCATATGCAGAGGGGAACAATAAGCTCCCGCACAGACCAGGTCACAGACGGACAGGGTCAAGGTCCAGGAGCAGACATGAGATCCCACTGCCCCGCTGTTTGTCTCAAGGTTCTGACACTGACCCCTGAGGATGAAGGAGTGTGGACTAATGAGGAGAGACGGCACTTAAACCTATCTGCATGTTGCTCATAAGACAACAGCCTCATTAAGGAGGTAATATTCCTGTCACACACGTGCCAATGAAACTCCATCAAGGAGCCAAACAGGAACAATCTGCCCCCACAACATCGTCACCCGTCTCATCCCTCAGCTGCTCTCTCCTTGGTAACCGGAGCTCATTTCCTTCTGACTACGTCCTCCAAGCTTATTGCCGCTCTCCTGAGAAATCACCAAAGATGCCGCGAGCATCAACAGAGAAGGACTCGTCACAAATCGCAGGCGCTTTAACTCGAGTGAGTGGACCCCTCGTGAGTTTAGATTGTGAAAAGTTGAAATTGCAGTGTGATTTTGAGGCTTTCTGACCCCTGAAGAGTCTTATTGTTGTCCTGATTGCCAGGAAACCATTAAGATGTTGTTTACTCTGGTGATGAGGTCTAATGGGGGAGACCGCATTAATGGTTTCCACATAATCTCCTCTCCCCTCGGGGTTGTCTCGCTTTTATTGAAGAGAAAACTGTGAAACAGCTGTGTTGACACTCCCAGCAGAAATTACACTCAGACACGATCAGAAATCTTTTATGTCTCTCTTTCGTCTCTTTAAGTTTATAGCCGACTATCGTTTACAAAGGAAACACGTCTGAGAGGAGTTTTTGGTTCGGCCTCGATCTAACCGACAAAATTTTACAGCCGATTTTAAGTGTTTTTGCAGGATAAGTGTCCGACAAAGACATTAACAGCATCCTGTTAAAATAGATTTTGTTGTCTATGTGAAAATAGACAAAAAACTTCTGCAGCTAATGTGGAATCTAAAAATAGCGCAGTTCCATCGGTGTCCACTAGGGGCTGGCTCCAAAAAGGCAAAACTCTCCACTAACTCTCATGTTAAAATGGCGTTTTTTTTTACAGCAGGATTTTACATGTTTACAGCCTGATTTAAAACACAGTTATAAAGAAGTTTAATCTTGCAAAAGTCATCTGTTCTTATAGTTACGACAGTTATTAGTAACGTTTTAAAAGATTTTTTAAAGTCGTTTCAATAGGAATAAGTTTGTTGTTGTTATTTTATAATCAGAATAAAGTTGTTGTGTGACCTAACAATATTAGAGTCATTTTTTGGGGAAAATAAAGTCATTAATCTAGTCAACAATTAGCCACATTATGCTGTTTTTAAGGGGAAAAAATGTGGAGCTGAGGAGACAAAACATTAGGAACAGTTTCATGAGGCGCTCCATGTTCCTCATTTTGGAAAACCAAAACTACAACTTTATTACTGCTTTATTTTTGTTATATTACGACTTTATTTCCTTAAAAATATTACTTTAATCTCATTAAATTGTGACTGATTTTCTTTGGACTTGAAAACACACATGGTAAGAGGTAATTTCATAAATTTGGACGATTAGATGTTTTGTTTGATTAACAAGTAGATTGTTGCTGGTTGTCCAAACAGCTAAAAGATCATCTCAATTATCTCCTACATGTTTCAAAGTTAAGTCGGCGTCTTTAGTTTGGCATCAAAATGTCCCCCTAAGGACCAAAATGTGACACCACTGAGATTCTCTTTGTTTATTCGAACATCCTGATGCGTCACTTATTAAAATCTCTGCTGCAGAACATCTATAAAAAGTTTGTTTCTGTTTGCGTTTGGTGTTGCAGAGATCTAAAATTAGCACATTAAACTAACCTACTTTCTTGAAGAGTCATCAGAATTAATTAATAAGTTAATAAAACTCCTCACAGGAGCTTTAATCCGATGACAGATCTGTTCCTTGTGTGATGGTTTCGAGGCCCTGCTGGTTAAGTGAACTCTGGGGGGTTATTCAGATATCTCTGATCCTCCTCCAGCTCCAGGATTGTTTTTCACAGCGTTTGGGGAAATCATAATAATTGCTGCAAACTAATTGCGCCCGGTTCTTCACCGCGGGGCGCCTCATCTTCGTCACAACTCAATCACCACATTATGAGTCCACAATAAACCTCTCTGCGGCCTCCTGGTCCCGCAGCACGGACCCACCCTCCACCCTGTTGTCCTAAAACAAACGGACGTCACTCTGGCAGCGCTCCCTGTACTCGCACCTTTATTTACCGTTGGCCTCTGATCCGCTGTGTTCCCGCCGCTCACTGAGCACACTGTGAGTACGAGAACACCTGCTGACGCCGGGTGAGCGAGCGAGGGAGCGAGTGAGGGAGCGAGTGAGGGAGGGAGGGCTGACCTGACAGGAATTAGGCCAGCATGAGAGACTGCTGACTGAGTGTGTGCACAGTACACAATGACAGGCTGCAGAAACATCGGCCTTATGATGATTATTGTTATTATTTTCTCTCTGAGCATCAAGATTATACATCTAGGGAGTGTATTTACTGCTTATCTAATAATTAACTTAATTTAGGACTGTAGTGCGTTATTATTAAAGAGTAAATCAATGGTTTTCTGTCTGTTTTCTCTTTAAAAATAGCAGATAAATGAAAATTTCTCATCTGCATTTGTTAATTTTTGCAGAACTGGACGTTAAAACCAAAAACTTTTCTTTTTTTAAAATACTTTATCTGAGCAAAGAGCAAATTCTCACCTCTGGGAAGCTAAAACCAGCCAAAACAATGTTACATATTTAGTTAAAAAGTAGGTGTTGTTGTTTTAAAGTCTGTTATCTTTTCACTGACTTATTCTCTATCAGTTTATATCATAAAACTTTCTTTTTGGAGTAGTTTTTGGCATTTTTGAGTGATGCCACACACCTTCACTTTTATTATTAAAGAAATTTATTGTTTAAAATACTTAAATTCACAGAAAATAGTTCAAAATACAAACATGATGATAAAAAGTAAATAAAAAGGAGAATTATTTAGACTAAACAGGAAAATGACAGCTACAGTTCGCCTGTTTGAGGCTCTATTTTACTTTTTTCACAGATTAATTTAGTTGTTTTTTTTAGATATGCAACCTCTTTTTTTTCCTGGATCTATTTTTTGCACCACAGTTCATCAAAACCATGTTATTTTAATAAAACTGAGTCTTCTTCATGTGTTTTTTTTTTTTATGAATGGATGGTTAAGCCGTCTCCATCAGGACAGCCAGACTCACTAACCCTCGAACAGCCCGGGTGTCTTGTTGTCCAAGACTTGAGTAAAGTCGTTCTCTTCATGTCAATCCAATCAAACTCGTAATCTGTTCTTGGACTCAAACAGCACACGGCGCGGCTGCTGAACAGACATGTGCACGGAAAAGGTAAAGGTAAAAGGCTGACTCGTGTTTCCATTGATAAGAAACAATCATTCAGACAGAAGTGTCTCTGTTTGCAGAATAAATCAAACGACTTTCTGGATTTTGTATCTTTGGTTTTCTGGGTTTTCTTGAATTTGGACTTTGACATGAATAAACCTGCAGGTTTAAAGGAGGATTAAAGGTGCATTTTGGATCAAATGGAAGAGTACTTACGATCCCAGTTCATCGATGACATCGAAAACCTCCTGGATGTTTTCGGTGTCCTTCTTCCACACGTTGTCGGCCTCTTGACGCCCCATGTTTGCAGACTCTCAGTCAACTCTGATTTCTTTGAAAATTAAAGACAAAAAAGAAAAAAAAGAAAAGAGAGAAGTCAGTGTCTTTGTCTCCCTGACGGCGTGTTACTCCTGCTTTGTTGTAGCTGACTGAATGTCCACACACCCTCTTCATTAATAACATTAAGTCCTTTTGGATTACAGAGGAGTGGGAGGAAAACAGATGTGCAGGTCTGTACGTCTGTCTGCTCTGCTGCTCAGACGGCGAGCAGATGACACTGACGTCTGTCTTTGTCTGACAGAGGAGTTAGACTATTAATCTACGCCGTGTCTGGTACACAGGTAGATTCACCTGTCCACGCTCGATCAGGGGTGGAGAGAAACTGAGCGATACTGCAGTGAGGAATGAGCTCGACTCCAATAATCCATCAGACAGGGAGAAGAAAAGAAGAGGATTTTCTCTCTGCTCGACTTACTGACCATCAAAGAATGACTTCAGCTCCTTTGTTCGGCAAAGTCCTCATCTTTGCTCTAATATAGAATAGTCTGAAAGGGATTAGAGAGTCAGGAACAATCAAACTAAAGGCACTCAGAGGGATTAGGAGCACTGTAAATGAGCAGGTTACCCAGTTTGTTTCCTGCCCTCCTTCCTCTTATATAAGGGATTAGAAAACTCTTGATCTGAAGACCTGGATGACCTTGTCTCAGATCCACACCTGAGAACAGCCTTAATGAGACGCTTTAAATGCAGAATAAAGGAGCTAAAGCCATAAAAATATTGCAAATTAACAGATCTGAGATGTTAAATTTGCATAGATGTCTTTACACTCTGATTTGACCACCAAGAGTTCCTCTTTCTGTCATTCTGCAGAATTTGCACGCATTATATGACAATAACACGCGTGCAAATCCACGCACAACTCCAGAGCTGCAGCAATCATTCACAAAAATTCTCCCTCCGCAGACTCTGTCGTCCAACCTGCTGGTCTACAGTCACGCCACGCGTTCAACACTCATCCACGCAGGGGCAATAACAACACTCCACGGTTGATGGAGAGCAAAGATGAGGGTTTAAGTGACTGTAACTGGCGCTGTAGTCTGGCACCACTACCAGCAGCACTGAGTTAACTGCAGCAGAGAAGGAAAAATCACTCTGCGGCAAAACAAGAACAGCCGATCAGAACATTTTTACATCGCTGACACATCCGATCAAAACCTGTATTTATGACCTTGAAAGAACAGAAATGATGGAGGATTTCTCTTCTGAATTCACGGTGAGATATTTAGATATATTCATATTTAAAACTTGACAACAAAAAACAAATTCCACCCGGTTTGGATCCATAAAACGACTCACTCTGACGCAGATCAGCCAAACGAGCCAAATTACGCACAGAATACTAATGAGGTTACAGCAGCACTTCTGTACTTCAGAGAGAAACAAACCGTGGTCCTCAAACTGACATTAAAAACACGGTTTAGTCCACGTTTCAGACATTAATGAAGAAGATTTTCAGTCATCATCTCACTGAGTCAGACTCACCTGGACGCTGAGCTCTGGAAGTGGAACTCTCCTGTCGGCAGCTCGCAGAGGACTGGGAGGATTACTTCGTCTGGGACCTGACAAATACCTGTTGCCAAATTAGAGATTACAGTACGTCCAGTGAGAGAGAGAGAGAGAGAGGGAGGAGAGGGAGAGGAGAGAGAGGAAAAGAGAACAACCAGAGAGGGAGGGGTGCAGAGAGTCTCACAGGTGCTCAGAGGAGGCGTAAGAAAGGCGCAAACTCTCTGGATCGGTCTGCTGCAGCATGTTTGCACACAGCTGCTGCTACTGCGGGTTTACGTGGAAAACATCACATATGGTGCAGAAAAAGAGGCTTTACTCTAAACTCCACCATTCAGTCAAAACAAATGACCGAGTCTGAGCACGTATAGATACGCACTCATGCGCCAAACCTTAGCGGGTGGCTTCCTGTGTCTGTTCATTCAGAGAATGAACGGGAACCACAGACTCCTTAAAGGATCAGAGAGGGAAAAAGAAACGATTTCATTTGATTTCACTTTATTTTATGAGTGTTTAGCATTTCTAGTATCTGTTTTCATTTAAAATATAATATGCTGAGGGAAAATTTAAAGGTCCAGTGAGCGAGTTTTTAACAAGTCTCAAAACTGATTAAAACTGATACTGATCAGATGATTGACACCCAGTGAAGACACAATAATATTTGGTTATTAAAGAAAAGAAGGATGAGATTCAGTAATCTCTAATGTATTTTCACATGTTTATCTTTCCAGAGGACCACAAATACCTCTTTGAGGACATTAAAGCTCCTGTGAGGAACTGTCAGTTTGTGTCAATTTTGGCGCCCCCTGTGGACAAAGCAGTCTTTGCTTATCTTGTCCTCTTTAACCTGAATTTGTGCTGTCTGACAACTACCCCCTTCAAAACGGTTACAGGGATCACAAATTTAATTAAAAAAATCATCAGTCCTGTCAGTGATCGTCTTGTTTGCTTTTGTTTGTCAATCTAGCGTTATTTGATTGGATGGATGATGGATGATTGAGCCAGGAATCGATTGCTCTCCATGATTATTTGGATGTTAAGTCAGTCTGTTTACATTGAATTTTTTGACAGTGAATTTTTTGACATTGAATTTTTTTTATGTTGAATCTCCTGACACTGAATAATTTGATATAGAATTTTTATTATGTTGAATTTTTTGACATCTAATTATTTTTATGTTAAATTCTTTTTCAAAGTTTTTTAAATTGAATTTTTACTGAACATATCTTTTGAGAGACTGATTTTTTTTACACTGAATTTATTTCATAATTGTGAAAAAAACAGGCAGAAATAAAAATGCGTGCTTGAAATTCATGTTTTGTCAAAGTCTGATTTGATGTAAAAAAATTCAGCTTTAGACATTCAAATTCAAAATCAGATGGCACAGATTTACTTCCATAAGAAGCTGACCTACATAAATCTGTTGTCATGCTCTCCACCCATCATTCAAATAACTAATCATTAAACCTTAAAGATTCCCCTCTAAACAGTGTTATTGATGATCTTCTGAATAAACAGGTAAAATGTGTGAACAGCCACAGCACCTGTTGTTATTTAACACCTGTGTCTCTGAAGCCTGCGGCTCTAAGCTCTAGGTGTGTTGGACGGAGCACACTGTGGTGTTAAGAGGCGACCTTTAACAGGCTTATGTATTAATCTGCATCAGGAGCTTATTTTACCTGCTTCACACGGAGACATCCAGTATACACCGAGAGAGAGACGGGAACAGGTCACGTTTAGCCTGCTGTGTGTCCACTGCACACAAAGGAGAAGGTCATCAAACGAATCCGTGTGCGGCCTTCATAATGACTCCGTCCACACGCATCAAAAGGAAGTTGTTTTGATGGCGTCTGTCTCACTGCAGCGCCTGGTGGGTTTAATTGCTCTATAACGCAGCCTGCTTGGGTTTCATGTACACGTGCTGCAAACAGACACAGACAGAATATCAATAGCTGGACTGGCTCATCATGTTGTCATGGATACTGGTTCAAAAGGTCGTCTCGGTCATCTCCCATCGCAGGTGTTTGGAGATGAAGTCGTTCCCAATCAGGAGAGGAGGAATCATCATCATCATCATCATCATCATCAGGCCGCAGGAAACGGCAGCTCTGTAATGGAGGAGTGAGATTTAATGATGAGGTTAAACTGCACAAACACACATCAGTCCCTGAATCACTGTTATTATTATTATTATTATTACAGGCTGTTATCAGAGTCCAAGCAGCACTCAGCTGGACTGATCATTGTTATTGTCATCTGCCCTGATACGACATATTATCACAAAATTCAATCCGGACTTGGAAATAATGTTTTCCTCATTTTGAAATGACAGAATTAGACTCTAAATTTAAACCCCTCCTTACAGTGTCTTACTGTATACAGATAGACAGCAGGCTCAGTCTGAAAGTATCATGTATTATAAATGATTTTGTTTTCCCATATAATTACTAAGATGCTTAAGTTTTCTAAAGATCATTTGAGAGGCTGTGTGTAAATAATATAATCAGACACACCTGTTAATGTTAAAACTAGTACATAAACAGTACATAAATTAAAGCTGAAAACAAAAACAACAATAATTCAATTAATTCTGGATGAGATGTAAAAAGATTCAAAAAGCTTTGATTGATAATCCTTTACAGTAAAGTACCTTCATTAGATCATAATTACAGCAAATGAAATAGAACATATTTTAAAATTATTTTCTTCTTCTGGAAAACATGACAGAAAAAAAATCTATTTACTCCTGATCTAAATGTTTTAATTTTCTACAACCCGTTAAAATTTTACTCCTACATAGTACAGGAACTGGGAACACATGGTAACTCATGATCTGATGCAAAGGGATGGGATACAATGTGAAAGGATAGGATTTATATGGATATGACACTAAAAGATTTGATATGATGAGATATGATACGATACAAAACAATATGAAAACAACAAAACATGATATGTTTCTGGTGCAGTTTAAGGAATACATTACTAAACTTTATAACAGTATAAGATAGAATATGACAGGATGCCACTTGATGCGAAAATATATGATATGATATGAGATGAGATATGATACAGTGCGATACTATATGATACGACTATGATATACGATTACGAAACAATACAATGTATTACAATGTGATAGATTACGATATGATGTAACAATACAATATAACATAATATCTGATTTGATACCTGAATTTGTAACAGAGTCTGATAAACTGGATACGATACAATAGAATGTTATAGGCGATGATACAGTTAGGACTGCGACGATACGTTTTTCTCCCGATTCGATTCTTCTACGATTTCTTGGATGCAGATTCAATTTAAATTGCGATTCTACGATTTTTCGATTTTTAGTTGAATAATTCTGATTGTCTTCTGACAATTCCAGGAACCATCTTTCCCCCAAAAATACACGTCACATGTAAGTCAGTTTTTAAGATTTATTCTTAAAGATTTTCTACCAAAAAAAATTTATTTAAAAATTGCAAAACAAAAAATTGCGATACTTATGTAAATAGATCTTTTTCTCCCACCCCTATTAAATACTGTAGGTTAGGACACAATATGATTTCAGTATATGGCTCACAGTATTGATAATATCACTACACATTGATTCTGTTATAGCTGATAAATTGAATGACATTGTTTTATAACTAAAACTAAAGAACACAAAAATGCTTCTGAACTATTGAGTGTAAAAACTGACGTCATTTGCAGCAGCTTCAAGTTACAGCAAATAGGAGGGAAAACCTGAGCAGACCGCCTGAATATTTAAGGTACAGAATCTTTACCTGATGCTTTTGTATTGCAGTGTTAGTCTCATATTTCAACTCAACTCAACTGATCTGAAAGCTCTTGAAAATGTATACTCTATAAATGCAATCCTCTCATTGTACATGTGTAAATATATTTGTTAGGATCTGAATATTAAAACATTCAAAGCTTTAAATTTTACGCAGTTGTAGTGATGATCTTGTTTTCTGATTAAAGTAGCAGTCAACATCATCTTCACTTTAATAATCCGTTTTGCATGCAGGACTCTGACTTGCGTATTTTTACACCCACGTACTGATGCTCTTACTGCCGGATCCTGCAGCCTACTTCCTCCCAGCAGATCATTACAGCACGGTGTCGTGTCCACAGAGAGCGGCTACAGCTCTGACACCGGGCCTGACTCGTGTGGCCTTACATCATCGACAAGCTTACAGAGGAAACAGTAGGATCTGCTGAACTTTTTCACCCCCTGCCGCTGAGATTACCCAACACTCCCGCTCCAATTATGTCATTAAAGCGAGGTGAAACAAAAGCCGTGCGTGGTCCTCTGCAGGGAAACAGAACAATTAAGCGTGCCCAAGGATCCTCAGATCCATATCCACCTAATGAACGCTCAATGGGATTAAGCTAAAGAGATCAGGTGCATGTTCGGGGCCTTAAATAAACTAATCTGCTGCTGAAAAGTGGACGGAGAAGAACAAGAGTCAGAGATGACAAAACACTCCTGACTCATCACATCTGCAGACCTTCAGATCGATGACTCAGCAGCAGAGAAGAAGATCCATCAAAGAAATTGAAGATATGACATGTTACATAAGGGGCTTGAGCTAAAACAGTTCAACAGTCACATAACCTGAGATTACACTTCAATTAGTGTTCGCATGAAACAGTGACCCACATCTGAACATGAACGTGTGAATAAAATCAGATCAATCGATTTGACCAGAAATCCTCAGAGCGCCCACTCAAAGACAAGAAGGCAACGACTCCAAACTACTCCACTATTGCATGAATTCGTCTCTCTATAACTTGTATTTAACAATATGACTTAATGAGGTGCAGCATGAGTGTTTATTGTTAATTAAGGGCAGGAAAGTCAAGCTTAGCCCAGAGTACATCACCTCAACGATTAAAATCTTTTAAAACCAGGTGGGAAGTCTTCTTCAATTTCTTCTCCTCTTCACACACACACACATATATATATATATGCATATATACAGTCAGTTAACAGACATGCATGCGTGAAAATGAGGTTAAATGAGGTAAAACTATAAACACGCTCCATGAGGGCGCCCACACACAGTCGGCTCCTGAAGTTACTTTTAAAAACAACCCTCATATGAAGGCCACACAGTTCAGCCTTCATTAAAGTCAGAGCTTTCTATTAAAAAAGAAACCTTCATCTATTTTAAAAGCAGTGAAGACTATTATTTTAATTCTGAAGGATTTTGTCTGTAAAGGCTCAAACCAAAAACAGCTTCAGCTCTTTATGTTCATCGTCAGAAAAATCAATTGATCAGATTTATTTTGACCCGAGCTAACCCTCGATTAAATGTAGAGGAAAAGGAGAAAGACTGATCTGACTAAAAGGGATTAATTCAGGATGATTACTCTCAATTATTAAAGCCACAGTAACATAAAAATGAAAACAACTTTAGGTCTACAAGCATCAAATCATATCAGGAAACCGGTACTTTAATTAAAGCTCCTGTGAGGAACTTTAAGTTTGTGTCGATTTTGGCGCCCCCTTTGGACAAAACTATCTTTGCGGATTTTCTCTTTAACATTTGGAGATTTTGTTTCTGGACGACAAAATCTCTCTTTGCTCTCTTCTAAGAATCTGTGCTGTGAAACAAAAAAACGTGTTTCAGCATACAACTTTAAAAATAACAGTAAATAACCGCTCCCTCGTCTTGTCTGTACCACTAAATTCTGTACCAAATTCATTCCTGATTATCAATTTATGACTATGAAACAACAACTTAAATAAGACTGGGAAGTACTATCTATACCTCTAGATTGTATACTGTTAAATCTGTGTGTTAATGTTATAGAAATGGATGCTAACTTTCCTGTTGAGTGCATAGTTTTTTTAGACAAATAGGAAATAGTGATGTCTTTTCTTACTGCATGAGCTGCAGTTTTTCTATATCTTCCTGTTCTTGTTACTCTATAATAATGTTAATTACCATGTTATTATCAGGGAGTCACAGGGTATAAAAAGAGTGAGAGTTATAACCCACTGACCATTTTTGGTCTAAAAGAGGTCTAAAAGACGTCTAAATGTAGCCTAGAGGACTGGTCTAAAATCAGGCTATCACAGGTCTAAGAATGAATTTTTTAATTTAAACCAAGTTTAGACCAAGTCTAAATCAGGGCTATATCTTTACTACACTGTATAATGCTCAACGGCTATCATAATTATTTTGGTTAAGTACTTGGAGATCAGTTATGCAACTCAAAGTTACTTCTTGAAATAAATAGTTATTAAATAATGGATTAAAGTGCAACATCTAAATTCCGTCTAAAAATATACAGAATCTAGACGGTTGAAATTAGGTCCAAAAAGAAAACAAGATGTCTAATAGCCATCTGTTGCTTAGTGGGAAGTTTGAATTAAGCTTAATTGGTGGGTTTTAGTGGAGGTTTTTCTTGATAGTAAAGCTGTTGTTTCTCTTTAATCACTGATTTCAACGTAGTGATGTGTTTTAGTTACAGTGTTATTAGTTTTTTGGCATTAGTCTCACTTTTATCCTCTTAGTTCACAACATTTGGAGGAAAAATTATCCCATCCATGTAACAGACAGTTACGGTTTCATTGCAGATTGATATGTTCTTAAAAATGTGTGTGCAACCATTACAAAAACATCAGTTCTAATAACATGTAATCTAACTATGATAGTGGAAACCTTAATTGGGTTTCTATGAGTTAATTTGACCAGATTTATTATCCCAAACTATAATGTAAGCACAGCCCAAACACCAGAGTCTTACCTGTGGATTTAAAGCTGGTGCATCGCTCTTCTTTATGGGTTGAAGGGAACTTGTGAGGAGCTAAGAGCTGCTTTTTGCAGTCGAGAGGGACAGGTGTGCACCCTAGAGGTGAGAGATCAGAACAGCAGTTAAAGGATTTTTATGTAACTTTGAGTCACAACACGGCCAAGGTTACAGCAGCTCTATCGAACAAAACAGCTGAGGGGAACGAGCTTCAAAGTGTGTCATTAAAAAAACATGAGGACAAAAAACATCAAAGTGCGTGATCTTTATTTGATATACTGTGAGGTGCCGCTCAGGTGGCACAGAATGGCAGCAGAACAATAAAAGACTATATAAGGCTCCTTTTAACAGATAACAACAAACCGCTCTGTCTTCATTTGAAGAGGAACACCTGCAAAATGAAAAATGCTGCTTAGAAACAGATGAAAACCGGTCCTTAAAGCCCGTTTCAAGCACCCTCCCGAATCCCAAAGTGTTCGTATAATACACCGACGTTTAAAGAGCAGCTGACTGTGGAAGGCCAACAGTGAAAATCCCCGACTCTGATCCAAGAGGACTGAACCCCCCCCACCCCTGAGATCCGACATGCTCACAGGGAAGAAGCAGAAGTGCTACAAAATCCAGAAAATTCATCAATAAACTGCATTAATAAAATGAAAGACTAATAACGGAATTTTATTATTCTAATATTTTCACTTCCTCTTAGTTTCTTTGAAATTTTCTATAATTTATTCTGTGTACAAATACTAAACATAGTATATGATATGTAAATAAGTATGTCATTGTGTACAGAAGCACTTTTTCTTTATGTAACGATTAAAATCAACATGAACATCAAAAACACCGCCGATCCATCCCCCCCAACGCCGCTCATTCTGAGCTTCCCAACGTAATCAGAAGTTTCCAGGCCAAATCCCAGGATGGGTCGGTGATGATCCGCCGAGCGAAGGTTGTTAAATAGTGCAGCAGACACTGGGAGTCCTGTCTCATGGATGTGGTCTGCTGCAGTGACGCCACAGTCCCAGCAGGCAGAGCTCAAAGCGTCACATCTCCGGGCTTATGTCTCCCTCTAGGGGGCGGATTGTGGCTCAGAGCCTGGGTGATAATCAGCCCGGATTCCTCATCCTGCTCGGATAAAAAGAGACCGCTTGTGGCGGGTCACCCTCAGCGATGTTTCATCTTTGGCTTTCAAAAGTTTCTGGTTCAGAGTCTGAAAGCAGCAAATCTCGTGTGCAGTAGATGATAAAGAGATCTACTGTGCAGTTCATGAAGAGAGTGGGTGTGTCTGTCTGTCTGTCTGTGTGTGAAAAAGCCCTACGCCCAGTGAACCTGAGATCCAGCCTTGGAGTGACGTTTAGCCTCCCTGAGGCAGAAGGCCTCCTGCTCCTCGCTGATCTCCTTCAGCCTCTTCTCCTCCAGGAACGACACCAGCGAGTCCCTCATGTCCACCACCTCGATCATCTGCTGCAGGACCTGCTCCTCCTCCGCCTGCTGCTCGGCCGTCTTGTCTGCAAAACAAAACCCAAGTGCAGAGTGAAAAGAGGCTTTAATCTTTATTATTTTAACAAGAACAAATGAATTAAACTGTCAAAAACGTAATAATGTAAGAGAGAAGGTTACAGCCGTGTTTTGACTTATTTCAGTCCGCAGAAATTTGAGCTAAGGCTTAATATTTCTACCCTTTTATAGTCACAAGGACTTAAAGAGAGTTTCAGCTCGATAAAAATGTTTCTTTAGCGACCTTTTAGTGCAGAAAACTCCCACTGTGCACCAAATGGCAGCACAAAGCATGACAAATATTGATGTACATCTTTAGAGCGGCTGAGTACAAACATCCAAATGAACGGCAGAGACAGCTCAAACGTTTAAAAGTGAACAAGATCAACTTGAAAGAAGACTGCATGTTACTGTCGTCTTGTTTGAGTGTCCTCTTCTGAACAAAATCTTAGAATTGAAAAGAAAATACATGATTCATATAAATACAGTTAACGTATTCACATTGCACCACACCTATATCACACCTTTAGTCACCTGACAGGCCTACCTATATGTAACATCCCTCCTCACTCTGTTTGTTACCCGTACTTCCTTCATTCACCCTCCTTCCTCATCCTCTCCATGGGTTCTGGTCTAATCAACAAAACTAACTCCAATAAATGAGATTTAGCTGCAAAATCACTTTATTAATAGTCATAAAAAAGTATCTGTCTGTCTTATTGATTTTAAATTGTTTTGTCTTTATGATTTTAAATCGTTTTAATCTCTCCTTTTTTAATTTTTTTATGTTTTTCCTTGCATCTATAAAGCACTTGAATTGCCTTGTGTATGAATGGTGCTATACAGATAATCTTGCCTTGCCTAATAGTTTTGCATCTCAGTGCATTTTGCTCTCGTTTTGTGTTTCATTGAGGCTGAGATGAGCTGTAAGCATCTCCATGTTCTCCTGCACAGAGCTGCGTTGTGCACTCTCATCCTGACGGCGCAGAAAAACATCCTCATATATGATGATCTCTCTGCAGATGGTAAAATTGTCTCTTTCTCTGTGTGTTTGTGGCTGTTGGCACCAGTGTCAGTGAATAGGATTGCTATTTGTAATGAAGCTTATTTGTTATTAAGGGGTTTATGTATTTCTCCAAATGAATTCATAACTGCTCATTTAAATGCATGAAATCAACTCAGAGACACGGCTCGCTTTCCCTTTAACCCTTCGCACACACCATGTGAATCGAACAGTGTCTTTGTGTTTCGTTTTAGCAGCTTCAGCAGGTGTTAAAGCTGCGATATCCTTCTGTGAATCAGACCCTGGATGTCCTCAGACATATGGTTTATTGTCGTACCTGTCTGTTAAAGCGTGACTCATGAGTGAGTGAGTCACGCTTTAACAGACAGGGACAGGTTTTCAGTGAGTCTCACTCTGAAAGAAAAACTTTAAATGATGTAAAAAAAACAGAAGGACTTCACACAACACATAATTCAACAGTTTCTGTTCAGACAGAAATAAACGATGGTAGAATTAACCACCAAGCTCCACCTCGTTATCAATCTCCTCCCTTCTTTCTCAAAGATATAAAGGCTGCTCTGTTTGGGGGTCATGCCCACTCACGATGGCAGAAGGGGGAACTTTCTGTAACCATGGTTACATGTAATACAAATAATCATTCAGCTGATTTACTAATTTCTCTCCACGGTATGAGAAATATTTCCAGTCTCATTTGGCTTTTCTGTTTTTGTGGATATTCAATTATTTTCAATCTTATACTTATTTTTTGCTTCATTTACAACTAATAATAAAATAAAACCTGCTGTTTCAAGACGATAAAAGGTGATTATAATTAGGGATGCACCAATCAGATATTTGGATCGGATATCAGCTCCGATATTGACAAATTAACTCGATTGGATATCTGATGAATGACGCAGATCCATTGTTTTTTCTTTTAATTGATATCATAAACAGAAACACAGCGATTCTGTTCGCTCTATATTCTATGTCTGTCTATCCTTTTAACAAGGCTAATGTCGAGCATGATGCCTTCAGTCACAGGGCAAGGTGTACATTCATTCATCAGTAGTATTGGATCGGTATCGGATATCGGCCGATTCACTCAGCCCAGGTATCGTTATCGGATTGTATCGGATAAAAATGGATCTGTGCATCTGTAATTATAATCATATCTTTCAGGTTTTCAGATCTGTGTGATTGTGTCGTTTTTATCTTGTTTGTATCTTTATCTTGTTTCCATCAGGAACAATAAACGGCGCTGCACTCGGTCAGTGAGCCGGCAGAGGTGCAGACTCACTGTTGGAGTGTGTAACAGCTCACTCTCACTCCACACTCGGAGGTTTTTGGACGGCGTTCAAAGTGGCGAAACCCTCCGTGTGAGCGCACAAACGGCGGGGAAGTGTGTGGGCAGAGGGTGTAGGAGGTTTTTGGAAAGGCCCTCCGGTTGAGTCAGCATTTCCAACATTGTGACAGAGCGTCAGGACTTCTATTCAGAAACAAAGACTCGATGTCTCTGAGACTGCAGCTTGTTTCATACTCTTCGTATTTGGGCTACTGTTGCAAAACACACGGATATGTTTGCAGGATTGGATCAACTTGAGCATAATATCAAAGCAGTGATGTTCTCATTACAAGAGGAAACACGCAGTAATCCTCTCAGTTTGCGCTGCTCTCTTTTTAACTGAGCAAACATCAAAAAGCTGCCAGAGGAGCTTAAACAACAAAGATGATTATGATCGTGCTCGACGGTCTACGCACCGTCCAGCTCCATGTACTTCCTGAGCTCCAGCTCCAGCGTGCTCTGCTTGTCTTCCAGTTCCAGCTGCCGAGACCTGCGAGGGAAACAAACATCAGCTGATTCATGTCAACATTACATCCTGCTGGAGCTGCAGGTCACCGTCAGGACAAACAACAAACAGAGTCCGACTCTGCAGATGACGACTGGCTGCTGGCACTGCGACCAAACAGAGACCGCAGTGTTTCAGAGAGGAGCTCTGCTGTTCTGGACCTTCTGCACACTTTGTCGCTGCCACTCTGCACAAAAGCTGTGTTGTCCTCCCACTTTGGCTGCACAGGCTTTTACTGTGTCTCACTTCATGAAAGCACAAGTGAAGAAACAAACGAGCGCGCACTTACGCCACCATGAGGTCGGACTCCTCGGAAACCAGCGCGTTCTTCTCGTGGACGAGCTGGATCCAGTGCTCGATCATGTCAGAAGAGCCGCAGCTCCCTGAGGAGAAAATAAAAAGAGGAAGACAGAGATGTGTGGAAACTCTGGATTAAGTGTTCAGATTTATGTAGCGTGTGTGTGTGACTCAACGACCATGTGAGTGAGTAAGAGTCCCTGAGGAAAAACCAGGAGCCCTCAGGCTGGAATACATTTCTTACAAAATAAACACCCTGCGCTTGTTTATCATGTAGCAGCTTTATTTATCACTGAGGACAGCCGAACTCTTCTTGCTTTAAACTGAAACAACTTCTACTTAAAAAAACATAAATAAAATCGAGCGGTCGAGTATGTAAATGTGGTTCTTCAGCCTCATTTTTCAACCGGCTCAGTGTTTCTTAAAGCAATGCGATATAAAGAAGTCAGGGTGAGAGTTAAACCTGCGAATTGCAACCTTATATGTCAACAATCTGTGCTACCTGTATGAAACAGAACAACAGCTGTCCCAAGTGAGCCATAACTTTGCAAAAGATCAGTTGCATCAGCCCAGGGCAACGAAGGAGGAGGGACTAACCACTTTGGTTTTGGTTACAGGTCTCCTCAATTTCCCTGTTAGAGACTTCTGTTTGTTTGTTTTCTGTTTTGTTTAGTTTCAGGTGAGACAATACTACAGTTGTGTAACTTAGCAACGCCCAATGTTGGGAACTTGCATAAGACCAGGTCTAGCTGCAGCAGGTCTAAGTCAGGGTAAGCGCACTGAGTCGAAGTTCATGTCAAAGAGCAGATCTTAACTGAGTCTGATGTAAGAGATACGTTATTTTTATCCCCTTGATGTTTTTAGTTTTTCCTTTTTGAATAAATAAATAAACTTTATTCTTAAAGGCTAACTTGAGTGGATGTTTGCAGGCGATCACTTTGATTTGGCTTCTTGTTCCTCATTCAGGAACAAAGGAAACTCTCATCTATTCTTGAAATATTAAACACTGCAAACAATCTAAAAATCTACATGAATTAGATCAGGTCCTCGTTGGTAAATAAGAAATGAAAAACCACACGTCTGCTCTTACCGGCCTCTCCTCGCAGAGTCCGCTCCAGCACCACTCCTTTGTCCTCCAGGTCTTTGAAGGTCACCTCGATCTCCTCCAGCCTCCTCTGGATGGACTGCAGTCGACACAGAAGAACAGGAGTTTCCATTATAGATAGAAGAATTAATGTGCTGCTGAGCAGAGACAGAGACTTCTGTAACAGTTACAGAGACTCTTAATGTGTGCTGCCTGATCGGGTCAGATATGACTGAACTTTGAGCTTTGATTACAGCAGAAATACTGTCAGCACTTTACAATCAGTTCAAGCCCGTGATCATTCAGTGTTTCATCAAAGAATCACATCTCTTTTTACATAACTAGTCTGTGAATTTGTAAAGAAATAAAGCAGAAGTCAAATCGTCTTTTGCAGCAGCCTGTAGGATTAAACCAGAACAAACTTTGACCCCAAAATCAACCAGAGAGGAAATACTGAGGGTCACAAAAAATTCATCAACATTACTTTTTAACTACTAGACTGTTTTTAGCACGCCTAATTCATCATAACTCCAGAAAACAGCTTATAGCTTAATACCGTAAAGTTCGTTGTAGAAGACACACTTTTATACTTTTTTTCGTAAATTAAAAAATAAACTGTCTCCTTTGCAATGCAAACGATACACCAGTATAAAATGCAGATGTCTTTTACTATGGTATATATCCCAGCAGATGGCGCTCAAAGATGCAAGTGCCCGCCTTGTTTACAAAGGAAGGTGGTTACACAATGAGGAAGACGGATGTAGCATCATAATAGCGTCCCCCATCATTATCTTATAATCATGCACTTAGAAAAAATGTGGGTATATTGTGTAATAAAGACGGAAAAGACTCCTCAGTTTGAAAGGATGATATAGGACTGGGGGCATTTTTTTTTTTTGTAGGATTGTAGATTCTGATTGGCTAGAAGTGCTGGGCTCTGATTGGCTATTCCTTATGGCTGTGAAACGTCATCATCTGTCGGGTTTGGGTTAGGAGATTCAGAGTTGCGATAATGTTCTGTTCGATGTACAGACAGCCCGAGTTTGGCTTGAGCGTGTGATGGCGTTTCCAGCTTTTCTAGCCAATCAGAGGCAAAGGAGGCGGGACCTTCCCCTACCATCTACAAAAAAAAAATATTGCGAGCGGGAGTAACACGAATCTCATTAGCGTGGCTATCGATAGCTAAAATAATGCACCTGTTTTATAAGGTTTACGGTAAACTGTTGGACCTCACGATCCGCTCGTAGTTAACTTTTTTTAAACTGTCAGCCCTCTTAATTATAGTCATACTTTGTAGTCTAGCTCACACAGCTGCATGTGTTTTTATTTTTTTGTCCATTTAATAATCGGAATAAACTCCAAAATGTGCTTCAATTTGACCCTTTCTGCTCCATTTTATGAGCCATGAACCTTTTTTAAATTTCCTGTCCAAATTAAAGGTTGAAATGAAGGTTGAATGTAAAATATCATTTAAAAAAATTAAGATATCAACAATTTAACCGAAAACAGACACTGACCTGGGCTTTGCGCAGCCGCTGTAGTTCACTCATCTTCGCTCGCCGCTCCAGAGTCCTCATCTTCATCAACTCTAACTTCTCCGCCTCCAGAGGGTCATCTGGCACCGTCTGAAACTAAAGAGGAAAGTGTCACTCACCACAGGAACTGCTGCTGTAAATGAAAACATCAGCGCTGTTTCTCTTCCTTACTTTCTCATCAAATAAGTCAATATCATCATGTCCAAACATCTCGTCATCATCGTCGTCATCGTCGTCTCCGTCCACGCCTTCCTCTGAGGCGCTGTGAACATGTCTGAATGTTGTTTCTGCGGGAGAAATGAGAGAAAGTTGTTGGAGCGAGTGTGAAATCAGACTGACGTGGATCTAAAAAACTCCACATCAAAGAGATTCCTCCTCTGCAGATGTTTCCCTCCGTTAATGATGAAGCAGGAGACGACTTACCCACTCTCCCTGGATGGTTGACGTGGACGCTGAGCCGCGTGTCTCTGCTGATCCTCGGAGACGACAGGTTCCAGGGTGAGAACTTGGACCTCACTCTGGTCTGCCCGCTCGGCATCTCTTTCCTCCTGAAGCAGCGTCGGTTCCTCTTTTCCCTAACGTGCCCGGCTGTGCTCCCGCTCCAGTATCCCTCCTCCTCCTGCCCGTCCAGACCCTCTGCTTTCGGGGGGCTCGGGCCTCCTGCGGTCGCGGACGAAGAGGAGCAGGAGGAGGATCCACCGGGGGTCTCGGAGTCCGAATCGGCGCTGAAGCTCTGCAGATTCACCAGCTGGCTTCTCTCCTCGTCGGTCAGCTGGAGCTTTCGCAGGGACTGCTTTGGGCGGGAGTCAGGGGTCGACTTGGACGTCTCTTTCGTTGGCGTTGGAGATTGATTTTTCTCCGGGGTCAGGGGGTCGAACAGGTGGATCGTACGAGGTTTTGCTATTGGAGGAGAAGGATGAGGGCAGGGTGAGGTCTGTCGAGAGAAGCGAGGTTTGGGGACAGGGACAACCTCCTCAGTCTCCTCCTCAGTTTTAGAGGAAAGGTCCACTTTTGATGGTTGTTTGGACTTTCCTGTAGATTCAGGTACGTCCTCTCCTTCTGGTTTATGTACGTAGGAAGGTGGACCAATATCCAGAGTGTGCTCGAACTCCTCATCAGACGGGGAAAGGGTGTACTCGTCACTTGAAAGTCCGTTCTCCTCATTCGTCTCTTTGTGATTTCCTTTGCCATCCTGGATCTGGAACAGAAAGAGCACAAATATCTTAACACTCCCAGCTTTATTTCGCTTTTTATGTAAAATAAATGTGACAGTAGATTCAGAACCATCAAAGTCGACCAAACAACAAAAACAGAAATTGATCCCAACTTTACTTTGCTACAAAAACACATAAATCAACAGTGACCAAGCCTTTTCTCACCTACACATCATCCTGTTAAGTCTTAGTTATCAGAAGAAGAAATATTGGGATTGAAACAAAAACACAACAGAAACTATTGACATATTTACACTCATTCTTCCAGGCATTTTTGACTACTACTACTTGAACAGTTCCTGTCTGGGATGAGACAGAGGACCACATCATACCGCTCAGAATCTCTTCTTTGCTTGTTTCCAAACATTGAGGACCATTATTTCTTATTTGCAGACAAGCAGGGAACTTTCTTGTCTCTTATTGGACACTACCGTCAAAGGAACAATAGAAGAAGAATATGAGACATGAGATAATCCTGTTTTCACCGGTACATCACTGCAGATTTACCATCAAACGTCTCTGATCAAACTCCTGTTTTTGTTGCTGGATTTTAAACTTTGTGGGATAGCGATGGGCAGTTCTTTTAGATGTACTGAATCACTAAAATCAGTTCACTAAAAAGATTCGTTCAAAAGATTCATGCGCCAAATAACCGAATCGTTCAGCGCTTGGTGGGAGAAGCCTGCGACTCTGACCTCCTGAACTGATTCACAGCTGAACGGTTCAGGATTCAGTTCAGATCAGAGCTTCTGGGACCAGGAGACGAGAGTGTTTGTCTGTGTTACTTAAACAGATTTGTAAAAATGAACTTGTTTATAAGTCATGATGTTTTAAGTGTCCTATGGTATGATATTTATCAGGTCTGCTCGGTAAATTAGGCTCAGTAAGTGATTCGTTCACTGAACCTTTGGAAGAATTCACACTGAACATGAACCGTTCCCTCGCAAACCGCTGCAATGATACGACATGCTGTGTCCTAGCGTATGCAGGTTGTTGTTGTGGCAATTTAGCAGTAAAAAAAAAAAAAAAAAAAGGTAATTTTGTCCGACAAAAATGATTCCAGAGAGTGTAGTTCAATGCGTGATTCGTTCATGAAGTGATTAAGGCCTTGGTGCATGTGGTCCCTCGTTCGCCTGTTTCTCCCTTCAGCTCAACTGAAGTAAGAAACGAAAGAATCACTCGAGGCCGTGATTGGGTTCAGCACGTTCACTCAAAAGATTTGGTTCTTTCGAATGAATCGTTCGTGAATGACACAACACTATTGTGGGAGGTGTAGAATTGCCTGGAAACCCTCAACAGATCGCCAAAAGGGTGAACTTTTGAACACTTTTCACCCCACAGAGAAACACGGTATAATTCCTGAGAAACTGTAAACAATATTAACGGAGTAACATGGGAACGCCGTCAATCCAGCAGAGTTCTAAGTGTTAATAACTTTTCTCTTTGGTTCACAGACGACATATGCTCCGACACTAACGCTCTCATTAGTGGTGCGTGGCTGCTGCTGCTGCTGCAGGCTGACAACATCAGACCAGGCAGCAGATGAGAAGATACAACATGCAACAGAGGATTGTGTAACAGGAGAACAACAAACACAAGGATTCGGCGTGCAGTCTGGAGCAGCAGAGCGATTTACATCATCTGCTCTGCTCAGTGACCCACCTCACACGGCGTATCTGCCCCGATTCCCAGCTCCAGCTCTTCAGAGTGCAGCTCGCAGTAAAACCTCCCTGAGGGGACAGAGCGGCAGATGAAAACCAAGACGGGGTGTTGAATGAAGTGAATGCTGACGTGCTAAAGAGGAAGACCCCCCCGCTGCTTTCTTTAATGATTAATCTCATTTCAGTCTAAATGGAAGCCCTTTTTTTCTGAGACATCTCTGCACAAATTATTAATAAAGAAATAAATAAGTGCTGCTTCACTTATCGTGGCAAATCCTGGCTTTGAGGGAACATGTAATACAATGAGTCAGATAACTGTAGAAAACCAGAAAAGACGAGAGCTCTGTGCTCAACAGCTCAGCATCGAGTGCTTCAGTGGAGGGCTGATAGATAAGCAAACAAGAGGCTGTTAAAAAGGATAACAAGAGACAGAATATCACAACAGCAGGGACAGACATTTAGGAAACCCTGAATATACAGACACTTCTGATAGTGATGATCAGAGCGAACATGATGGTTCAGATTTTAGCTGATAGCCTATTCTTATATTCATGTTTCTAAGGGGTAACTTTCTATCTTTACAACTCAGCGATCAGATTTGATTTATTTGAACTGTTGCTAACCTTTAAACGCTCCTGAACCGTCTTACAGATGTTACTGATATTTGTGGTTTTTAAATCTGCGTTTTTCGTGACTCTACTTTCATAGATGATATTTTCTTGATGATGCTCTATTTTGTGCCTCATTTGTTTCTGGAAGAGTTTTTCATGTCAAACTTTTCTTCAGAGAACTATCAGGTTACTGCTGACCTATTCCTGCCTCAGATACAGAGGTTATGTTTAAATGGTCGGCTCAGGTTCATCTCCAGCCTGTGGGGCAGCAGTGTTCTTTTCTTTTCTATCACATTCTATTATATTCTTTTCTATCCTGTTCTACTCTATGCTCTTCGATTTTTTTCCACTCTATTCTATTCCATCCCATCCTATTCTATTTTATCCAGTTCTATTCTTTTCTATCCCAATCTACTCTATTCATCTCTGATGTATTCTGTTCTATCCTGTTCTATGCTGTTTGATTCTTTTCTACTTTATTCTATTCCATCCAATTCTATCCTGTTCTGTTCTATTTTATGTACCTCTGTACTGTTCTATTCTACTATGTTCTATTCTATTTCAGTCTTTTCTATTCTATTTTATTTCTATTCAATCCCATTGTATTCAATTCTATTCTGTTGTATCCTACTCTATCCAATTAATTTCTATTCTATTGTACTCTATCCTGTTTGATTTTCTACTTTATTCTATTCCTTTCTATTCTATCCTGTTCTTTTCTTTTATATCCCATTCTATTCTACTCTTTTCTATTCTATTTTTATTTTTTCTTTTCTATTCTATTTATTTCTATTCTATCCTTTTCTATTCTGTTCTTTTCAATTCTATTCTATTCTATTCTATTCTATTCTGCCCTCTCTTTGTTTAGTTGACTCGTTAAACCACAAACAATCTTCGGTCTTATAAGTAGATAAGAAGTTTATTATTTCCGTCTCACTGGTTCCCGTTTCCTCTCGACCAGCTGAGTCCCCTCGCTGACCACATGGAAACACACTCAGGTAATGAAATATTCATAAATATTGATAAATTCTGATGATTAATAAATGTTCGTCCCACAGACTCTGCAGCTGTATTCAGAGGTATCAGGCTAAATGAACGATCTGCTTTGTTTGATCCTGAAGGACTGAGGTCTGTTATAGAGACTCAAACCGAACAGGCATCACTCTCACTGCCGAATAAAAAAAGAGTCTTTTTTATTTTTGATTATGTAATACGTGAGAACATGTTGGCCCTTTTATACAATCAACTCAGCTGGTATTTTCACAGCCTGTGACTTTTCTGTTTTATGATTCGGCTGCTTTCATATCTGATTCTTCTTTATCTTAATCTTCTTTAATTTTCTCGTTAACCTCTGCAGATTCCTCTCTTGGTTTTACCCTCAAAGCAAACTGCACATTTTTCACCGTTTGGACCTTCGAACTTCAGCCACGCGCTCTTTTGTGCGCTCACGCTCGTCATGATATCTCTGCTGCTGTGTGGGATGACAAAGCTGTACCAGTATCAAAGGATATCTGCTCAAATCTGCTTTTAAAACCCAAAAGCTGTTGAATATTAATGCGGTGAAATTACGCCTCTGAACATTTTCAATAATAACTTCGCTGTCATCTCCTTTTATTGTGCGAGTGACACAGAACGACAGAGGTAACAGTTAGAGGAGTTAACGCACTCAGAAATGCACCGTCCATCGCACATGTGCACTCTAGGGTCTTGACCTAATGTTACCGGCGTCATATGACCAGAGGAGGTTAACGTGATTGGCTGGATGTTGTTGATTCCCTGATGGTAAATCTGCATTTTATGTTCCTCTATTCAGTGGAAATCAATAATAATAATAATAATGCTCTGACTCTGCAGATACTATTCTTTAAGTTCAGCTCTCACATCCTCACCTCTCTGCTTGTTTTCATTTTCAATCACGTTAAGTAACTTCCTCATTCTTGTCCTCCTCACTTACTCTGAGCTGAAGTAAAGGTCAAAAAGGTTGGATAGATGTCGGTCGAGCTGGGTGAGTTTTAGAGAGACAAGCAGAGCGACCGCAGAGCTGCGATTCATTATTCATGCGGTGAATTCAGATTTCCTCAAAATATAGAAATCTGTCATCTTTTTCAGAGTATTTTTCTTATTTTAAGTTAAACTAACATTATTTTTATCTGTAGCATTAATTAAAAAGGTTAGATATGGAAAATAAAACCTCGTACTGATAAGGGTCAAAGCTCTGCAGGTGGTTCACGCAGGGTGAGAGGTCACTTGTAGTTTTTTTTTACAACAGTGGTGGGCCTCTTTAGGGACGACAAAGACCTCCTAAACTATTCCACAACAGGGCCGGTGTGGCTGCAGGTTTTTCTTTCAACCAAGCAGCAGCACACCAGACTTGATTCATCTCATCAGCTGATCTCAGTCTTCAGACAGCTGATTGGTCAGACTGCGTGCTCTTGACTGGTTGGAAGAAAAACCTGCAGCCACACCGGCCCTTTGTGGAATAGTTTGGACATGCCTGTCCTACAGAGAGGAGGTGGAGCAGCTGGTGGGCTCCAACCTGATCCTGAAGGTGGATAAGTTGACTTTAGGAAGATCCAGCTCAGTCCTTCTCCACTTCTCATCAACAGTACAGCCGTGGAGGTGGTCAGAAGCGTCACAGACGACCTCAAATGTCTGCGAATATCTAAAATTTCACTGCTGCACTGTAATTGAATCTGTAAACTGAGACCTAAGCAAATTAAATTTAATTCTGTATTCACCTGCTGCATACTGAATGACAATAAAGCCTATTTAAAGTCTACTAGAGTTTATATCTTAATATGACATAAGTAGAGGATTGCCATGAGGAGTGTAATAATCCTCCTGAAGTATGACAGCTGCTGTTAAGTCTGTGTTGTCAAAAAGGTTGTGAATCCTCCAGACAGACTAAAGAAACTCTGAGGGTTTCTCTTTAAGATGAAATTAAAATGCTTTTACTGCCACAGCATGGTCCTATCGAGCTTCAACGCAAGGGTTCTGAGGTCTTTCTTTACACGACAGAAGGATCTCCTACTTTTAAGTATTTCCTGAAACTCTTTCGCTGAATTTATTCCTTCCTGATAAACTCTTTCAGCATTTTTGAAGGTGTGAATTTGAAAAACTAAGATGTCAAGGCTGGATTGCGATGCGTGCATGAATTAATCAGTGAAGTCTGAACTCGGGTTGAACTCTGAAAATCAGCAGAAATGCCGCTCGGGGTCCCCTGTGATTTCAGGAAATTGTGGGTCTTGCAGCTTCAGCGCTTGTGAGTCTGATTTCATTTGTATTCAGCGCTCACCTGTCGCCGGGTCGAAGGTGTACCCTCCCAGTCTGAGCGTGATGCTGCACTTGTGGCAGGTGAAGCAGCTCCGGTGGAAGAACTTGCCCTCGGCGCTGATGCGCTCCAGCAGGTAGACCCTCTGACCGCAGAAGTAGCACTCCTCGCTGTTCGTCATCGATGCGCAGGGACCAGAATCAGTTTCGGGCTCAGGAGCGGGATCAGGATCAGGCGTGGGGCTGAGCTGAGGGGACACAGGAGGCTCCACCATCTGAAAAGGTGAACTTAAACTCAGTTACGCAACAAAACAACAGAAGAGAGGAGAGAAAAAGAAAGATGAAACTCACTCTGTCCTCATCTCCCATCCTTTTCTCACTTTCTCTCCCTCGTTTCTCAGATGCCAACTTTTCCTGCAGAGAAAAACAAGACCTCATTTATGCTGATTATGTAAAATAAAACAGGAAAAAAAAAAACACTCACACCATCTAATGACCAGCCAAAAAACACTTCCCTTGACCTAGAAATGTGTCCTGCAACCGAGAAATCACGGCAAAAACAAATGTGAGTCACGTCTGAAGGCTCAGACGTGAACTCCAGCCAGACAGCCGCTCCGTGTGTTGGAAAATATCTTTATCAAACATTTCTGGGTGCTGTGTAAACACCCGGCTGTAGCCTGTCACAGTGGGCGTACCTTGCGTCTTTGCAGAGAGTTGTGCTTCACCTTGTTCAGGAAGAAGACAGCTGACTGTGTCTGGGAGAGAGTGAGCGGCTTGGACGATGGAAGGGAGACTGCAGAGTCTGAATTCAGCAGAAAATAAAGACAGGAGGATATCAGAGAGGGAAACACTAAAGGTAGTTTATCTCGCTGCAAACTCAAAGTGCTGCTGATGGTGGTGGCCTACTTGCAGGCTTAAAATACTCTCTTTGGTCCTTTTCTTCATATCTTCAAAGTGTGTCTTTCTATGTTGAATTCTCTGTCAGGAATATTAATAATCCGTCTTATTTGTAATTTTCTGTAACGCCAGAGCAGCAGCAGCAGAATTTAACTTGTCAATCCTCACAGAAAGTCCTCAGCCTCTCCGGCTCTGACTAACACTCCCACTCTTTCATCACTGAGATAAGGTAACCGGAGACTGACAGCTCCCCTCCTGCCTGCACATCAGTCAGCGGCTCCCCGAGCAGAGCAGAGCAGCGCAGCATCACAGACAGAGAGAGAGCGAGCGAGCGAACATCATCACACCCACTTCTGCTCATTCACTGCCTCCAAACGCCGGGGTATTCGCATTCAAACTCCTCCTGCTGCAAACACGGTGAAAATACCTCTGCTGCAAAGAGCCGGGGGAAAATCCTCCTCCAGAGCAGGAACAGTGGATCCCCTTCCAGAAGAAAACCAGGTCCTCGGCGAGCCCGTCCGCTCTGCCTGCTGCTGGCTTAGTGCAGGAGAGCAGCAGCACCAGTACAGGCTGGCTCTGAGCACAGCACTGGCCACTTAAGCCCAATGAATTCTGGGTAATCAGCTCTTAAAGAGACAGCGGCGGTTTGATCACTCCTGAACACCGAACACATTTCAGTGGGAGGACACCTGACCCTTTTAAGGTGATGATAATGCCGAGCGTCGTCTTGGCAACAGAGTTATGTAAGATGGTTGCAGAAATACATCAGAGGAGTCGTAAACTCATAAACCGACACTAATCAAGAGCACTTTACCGTCTAACTTTAGATTCAGATTTTATTCTCATGAATTCTGACGTTAAATCTCATTTTTCCATCTGAGGCGTCTGTCAACAATATTTAAAGAGACACACGATTTTATTTCTACCTGCTTTAATGCACTTTATGTCGACATTAATCAGGCCTCTCTGTCAAACCTTAAATGCTGCTGCTTGTCTCTTAATTGGCGCTCATAAATGTGATTACATTATCTGTGTTTACTGTCTCCCTTCTCGTTTTCAGATTTTATTCCGAGTATCTTTAAATAATTTGTATCTTAGTGACCTCCTTAAAGTCTAAACCCTCTCAAGGTCTCTTTAGGGGACCTCTCTTTCTCCCTCTCTCTTCGCTGCAGGACAGAAAGATTCAGAAGATCTTTCGTACCCACAGCCGTCAGACTTTAAAACTCTTTTATAAATAGTAGATGACGTTTTAGACATGACAAATGAGACTACAGACGACTGAATTCCTTTTCGAGGATAAATAAAGTTATTCTTTTTCTTATCTTGCTGTTTCTGCTCGGGGTGGGAGAAAAAAATCAATTCATATAAGTATTGCGATTTTTAGTTTTACAATTTGAAAATCGATCTTTATGTTCAAAAATCTTTTTTTTATTTAAGAAGAAATCTTAAAAACTGACTTACATGTGATGTGTAATTTTTCAGGATATATGGTTCCTAGACGAGTCAGTAGACAATCATAATCATTTAACTGTTTCACTGGCGTAAGAAATTCAGACTGAATATCGAGAAAATAGACAATATTGTAGAATCGCAATTTAAATAAGAATCAGCATCCAAAAAATCGTAGAAGAATCGAATCGGGAGAAAAGCGTATTATCTTAGCCCTAGTTTCTGCAGTGGCCCCAAAATATTTTAATCAAAAGTCTTCACATGCAAGTTCCTGTTCCCAAAAGCTTTAAAATCTCAGATGACGGGTTCAAACAAAACTGCCTTGAAATGAAATGAAATAAACAGTAATTTATTTAAACCAGCAGTTCTCAACTGGTGGGTCCCGACCCAAAACTGGTCGAAAAAGTAAATATTTAACGTAATATTTATTAAATATTAGATATTTTCTGTATATGCATCTTGAGTAGTTCACGTGGATTTTTGTTAAAGATTAGAGTCTTAATAAAAAAATAATTTTCTTAGTTTGAATTCTATAAAAGTGGGTCGCGACTTAAGGACCTTAGGAAAATGTGGGTCCCAGAGTGAGACCAGTTGAGAAACACTGCTCTAAACTACTGAACATGCAACTCTTGTCCTCCTGGACCCCCATAATCCAAAACTTTTCAGTCTCACTCAGAATTACACAAAAACCCAAATCGTAACATTCCCTCCTTTTATAATTTTACTGATTTGTCCTAAAAAAAAGCTCTTTTGACTCTCTATGCAGCTCATGGACATCATGTAAGATCTGCTACACTAGATCTGTATTTAAAGATGCAGGTACGGGTCTGAAATTGACAGTAGAACTTAAAACTATTCTGCAATAATCACCCCTACATGGTTTTTAAGGCCATTATTCTCCTACGATTAATCTGTGATAATCTATCAAACAGACCCGGACTCGTACCTTTCTTCGGTGGTGCGGTGAAAGCTTTCTGGACCTGTGTCAGATACAGGACCATGGACAGCTTGTCTATCTGTCCGCTGTTTCCTAAATCTGCCGCAGACATGACGGGCGGGATGCCGAGCTCTTTCTCCAAAACGCTGAAGGCCAGTTGGTTGTTGTGAACGGCGTTGGACTCCTCCAGAGAGGACATATCTCTGTGGAGGACACCAGCATTTCATATTAGTCATCAGGATGAATCATAGATGATCATAAAAGTGAATTTTTATGGCTGTTTCAGTCGGTGTGAGCTCTCCAAAGTTCATCTCATCATATTAATCTTGGTATTTCTGTGTTGTTTTCTCCTTCGGTTTGCTTTGACACACTTTTAGACTCACATAAGCTGAGGTCTGAAGTGGTGGATCAGAGCGCACAGAGCCAGTCCAGACCTCCAGGACTGAGTGAAATCCTTTACATCCACGTTCTTATAACCTGCCGTGTGTTTCTGGCACCATTTCAGCAACTCTTCAAAACCGCTGACTGAATCTGAGAGAACAAACAGAAAGTATTCGTTCGTACACTCGCTGCGGTTTCCTCCTGAATATTTTGATGAGTTAACACCCATGAAACCACAAGGTGTTCCCTCCTCGGCTCAACAGGACTGAACAGAAAGTGAAAGAATAAAAAACTATCCGACCTTGACGCATCGGGGTCAAGTTGCTCTTCTGTTTCTTAATGGATGGATTGGATTTATCAACATCGTACAGGTGCTGAACCTGCAAACAGACACAGATAACTTAGACATTCACGGATTAAATAACCCACATGTCTCTGAATAACATCCATGGAGATTAGACAGACTGTTAAAGCTTCTGTTGGGTAAATAAAGGGCGACGGCGGCGGCGCTGACCTGGTGGCTGAGGATGGAGGACAGGTTGACTCTGGTATAGCGGGTTTTGGGGTTGATGCTGTAGCCGGCGTAGTTCTTGCTGGTGTTTTCTGGTGTGGTCTGGGAGAGGACCTGGTAGACGCTTTCTCTGCGGGTTTTAGAAGAAGTCCAACAAGGTCAGTCAGCTGAGTCAGCTCGCAAAGAAAGAGAGACGCATCGAGTCGCAACAAGAAAAAGATCAGACGCAGAATTTCTTCTCAGTTGGAAACTTGTGCAAACAGTTAAAATAACCGATTTACTCTGGCACATTAAAGTTTAATATCAATCAAGAACTGTTTATTTATTTATTGTTTGTTTTGTGGATTTCAAGAGCTCAAAATTAACTGCAAATGAGCATTATTCGTTTATTTTTATCACATAAAATTATGCAGTAAAACACGTCCGTAAGGTGCAGCTTCATTTTTCAACACTTTCTGCAGAAACTTCCTCATAGAGACGAAGATGTTTCTGACAAATCTAAATAAAGCGCCGTATCACATCCCTTTTTTAATTAAATCTAAAAACACGATATCAGATTTATAATAAAAATTATAATTTGGGTTTCGTCTTTAAGAAACAGGAAGCAACCCTGCCTCTTTTTATAAGTTGCACAACTTGAGTGAATTAGCAAACTCTCCAGGGCAGGTAGTGAAGAAACAGGAAACAGTTGCATCACGCCGTGTCTTCTGCAGGATGTTGCTCATGATGTCAAGATTAAACGCCGTTTCTCTCTGTGCTGTGAGACGCCTCACCTCTCTGCCAGAACCTTGAGATGCGGGACCCCCATTCCCCAGCTCCTCACCATCCACGCTGTGTCGAAGGCAGCTAGAAACCCTCGAGCGATGCCTGTACCCAGAGGCCAGAAAGGCTGCAGAGAACACAGAGCAGAGGAAAAGCCGCTGTAGCACATTAAGATGGTCTCACTATTAAGAGGAAGTGGAGCAGAAACATTTCATGCAGCGTTCGAGTATCACATTAAGAGGCGTATTAAAACTTACAGGAGCGAAAAACAACACAGCTGCCCTGCGTTTTAATCTCTTCATGAGAGCTTCTCAAATATCCAAACAGCGACGATCTTAAATAAACAAGAGTTCACAGCTGCGGGCGAAGACACAACGGTGCTTTCTTTATAAGGTTATCATCAGGGTGGACTTTGTAGATCAGAGAAAAGATGTTTTGGGATAATATTTTTAGAGGAAAGTTGAAGTAGTTTGATAACAGGGTGATATTTCTGCATTTTCTAGGTTTACTCTCTATCAAATAAAGGCAACCCATGACTTCTCCAAGGTTAACTCGCTTTTTTCATTTAAATGGAGTCTAGCGGCTTTGAAGGAGGTGATATAACATCTGCTCTTCTTTAAAAAACTACATTTTACTCCTTGATAAAACGGTCATACACTCTGTAGAGGTTCTTTCTTTGTTGAGGGACTAAGAATAGCGTCTGAGTCTGTCCTTGGATGAAAAAGGAGCAGTTTCACTGGACCTCCTTCAATTGGCCGCATTTTCCTTTAAGGATTATGTTATCGGAGAAATTTCAACGCTTAATTTAAATATTTCAGATGCAAAATAAGTGACATAGATCATGGATTTTAATTAGCGATAGAAAAGTCTTAACACATCACCTCCAGTTTAGTGTGTGTAGTGAAACCCCTGACCTATTCAGACCAGAACGGCTTTCAAATTGTCTATTTTGTTTAGACCTTGAGAAGATTAAAAAAAAAGGTTTGGGGAAAAATTCAAAAAGGTTTGTGGACCTTTTCTGGACCACATTTGGAAACTCTCATCATTTTGAATCCGCCCTCTCCTCTTCTATTTGTTGTCTTGTTGAAAAATATATCTGTGATATTTTATAATCATACGGTTTATATTTTATCTCTTTTATGGACTTTTTCAGTTTTCAGCTATTTGTCCACCTTTGTATTTCTCTTAACATACAGTAGTTCTTTCAACTTATTTTCTTTTAACTTTTTATTTCTCGATGTCCTGTATTTCAGGGCTAATAAAACCTGAATTCCAGCACTTACTAATAGGAACATCCAGAAGGGGGGTGTTTGTGATTACTGTTTCCTTTGTATCTTGTTCTCTTTCAAGATCTTACTGTACTGAATTAATCTGTATATAACTCATAAAAATGTTGAGTAAAAAAATTTTATATTTTTGCTCTAAAATGGGCTTTTCAGAATGAGTGTGTGTGTGTGTTTGTGGTTTCTGGTGCTTCTACAGCAGGCCTCAAGTGGACACTTAAGGAACTGCAGTTTAAAAACTAGAGGTTTCTGCTTGTCAAGACAAACGTTTGCCTCGTTGTGACATACTCAACACAAAGTCCTTATCCTCCATTAATTTAATCCTCAGTTCCTGTTAATTTTAGCTCCATCCAGCCTACTAGGGCCCCAAAACGGACACGCAGATAAGCGTTCATAAAATAATTATTTTTTAACATTTTTTCTGACTTTTTTCGACTCATATCTCTTAAACAACTTCAGCCCTGACCATTAAAAAAATAATAAAGAAAAAATTCGATGTATTACCCTTTTTATGACAGTTTTTCTGCAACATGTCGCTGTTATTTTTAATGGTAGAAAACACAAAATCACTATATTTTCCATATAAAATGACCTAGATGAAATTTTTTTTTTAAAATAGTCTGGGCCATGTCAATGATGGTGCCATAAACACACGGCCAAAACTGGAAGTCTATTGTCCAATTTGTAGTAGGGTGGATGGAGCTAAAATGCGGCGACAGAGGACTAAATTTGGACCAAATTTGATGCCCCAATCTTTAAAAACGTGACTGTTAGCTCAAAAAAAAAGATGAAAAAAAATGACAAATGTCCTCAAACCGAGGGTTAAGAGACCCTTACTAAACTGTTCACCTAAATAAGGTTTGATGTCAGGTGTGTAGTGTTAGTCCAGGCAGGCCACAAGGTTCATCAGCTGACTCCTCATTTAATTACCTAACAGGTAAATGTCAGATTGGTTAATTTCTTCATGATGGTTTCAGTTCGCCCTCCTCTGAAGCACCTGTCGCTGAGTCAGGTGTTCAGAGATTAAAGCATTTTAACTTTCTTCTTCGTGTTTTTATTTAAAGGTTTTAACAGAGGGTGTGGTGGGAAACTGGGATGTCACAGGACAAGGGGCCATGACTTCAACCTGGACTATGACTCAGCACTTCAGACTGAAGTCCACCAAAACAAACACCAAGTTTCTCGTTGTTTACCTCCACCAGGCAGTCTCCCACCAGACCCATCAGCAGCTTCTTCCCCCTCCTCTCCCTGACCAGAGAGGCGTTCTCGGCTCGGTGCATGCAGGTGAAGTCGAACATGGCCACGTCCGGCTGGCCTGACGGGCTTTTAGCAAACTCCAGGTCAGGCAGTTTACCCCCCGTGGAGAAAAAGGCGGCGTCGTGGGCGTAGCGGCACAAGGCCTCGTGATCCACGTTAGCGGGAGCCAGCAGCTCCTCTGCGTCGCTGAAGTCCTGCAGACACAGAGCGAGCCGAGAGTTGCAATGTGATGAGTCATGGCGGTTTTTCTGACTCTGAATGACTCTTCTTATACTTGAGTTGACTGCAGCAGTTAATAGGCCGCGGCGGCAGAGAAAGGGAGGATGATTGACAGCACATGCGCGGCCGTTTCATCCATCTGGTTTGTTTCCTTTTCTTTGCAGCCGCTGCCAATAAGAATCACACTTTTCCTCAGTAATAGATGTGTTGTTCTCACCTGTTTAATGACCCCCTTCTTCAGCAAGCTCTTCTTCTTGGCAGTCATGACAAAGTAGTGGGTGTCGTCCTTGTAGTAGACAATATTCTCCAGATCGATACCTGGAATGGACGATAGAAAGAAAGCAGTGTAAGAGCACGGGGGATTCAGGGAGGCCGACCTCTAGAAGATCTTTTATTTGGGAGCGATTTTAACTCTCTTTTATGATCTGGTATGCAAATGCTCCTCTTTTTAAGTGTGGGTGAGCACACAGAGTTGCAGACAGGTCAGAGGGTGGGTAGAAGTGAGTGAATCACACAATGCCTGTAATGTTAAATCAAAATTAAGGTGCAGTGAAAGCAGAGGAGGTCAGAGAAGAAGGACGGGCTTCATTATGGTTATACTGTCACAGGAAATTAACTTTGCACCAGAACATTGCTGTTTTTTTTTTCACACTTCACGTCGAACCCGACCTGACGGTGCGAACATTCAACTCCTGCCTTCAGGGCTGCATTCGGCAGATACAAGAGGAGGGCGGTAAACAGGAAACGAATGTGCTCACGGTCTTATTAGAAATGTTTCGCCTCTGTGACTCTGCTTCATAATTCATGCTCTCGCTCCCTCATTGTGTAATTTAGGCTGATCTGGAGAAACTAGTTTACTCTTTTAATATTTAAACAGCAAACTCAACTACAAAGTGAGATATCCACTCCATGCAGCTGGCTTTGAATATAAAGTAGGTTACTTCTTTGACTTTGAGAAATAAAGCAGAGATGAGCGCTAAAGCTGCAGTTCCTCAGGTGTCCACTTGAGGCTGATTAGCCCAGGAATCACTATTAACACCTTAATGTCACAGAATAAACATGTTTACTCTCTGGTACTAGGGCTGAAACGATTCCTCAAGAATGATAGTGGAATTTTCTCTGCCTCGAGTACGCGTGTATAAAAAGATATCGGCACTGTTTCGCAAGGATAGATTTCAACGTGACACAACGCACTTACATCGCTACAACAGAACGAGGAGTAAGCGTGGTTTTAGACATTGTCAGTTTTATCATCATTGGTCCCATTAGCTTTTGTACATAATAGAGTTGCATTACTGTTCGTTTAAGCTCATTTTATAGCCTATTAAAAACTCCTCACAAGTTTTCGCTTAATTTAAAGCCAAAAGATTTAGAGCTCCCCCTACTGACCAGCTACAGTATAGGTCATAAACCTTGAGTCCTTTGTGTTAATCAATATATCAGGAGTCAAGCTTGCAAATTAAAATACGTATCAATTAAATATAATTTTATTTTTCTAGGTTTATTTTTGATTGACAGCTCTGTTGACGAATGGGAGCTCCTGAGACATGCTATACCAGATTAGCAGTCGAGGAGCAAAAGAGATAGACCAAAACAAACAACAACGCAACAGTCACTGAGCATAACTATGAGTGTCCGCTATGATTCAGGAGGAACCTGTTCTGCAGTGGACTATACCGACCTGACGGGTTTTCTGTTTTATCACTAAGTTTAATGACATTAGTTTAATGATAAGCTGAAAGGTACAATAACTATGCATGCTCATGCTCCACCAGCTCCACACGTCAGCATCTATCTTTGGCAATAAAGACATGTTGTTAAATCTGTCTGAAATCAATGACTCCGCCTCTTTGTCTGATTTCAAGTAAAGCTGAGTCAGCATTTCCAGGAAGACCTCTTTTGGTTTCAATCCTCCTCCTCAGAAACCAGCTCGTCACTGAGACCATGTTTGTGGTTTACAAGGTTGAGGATCAGGCCTGGTTTCAAAAATGAAGCTCACTCCTCTCCGTCACAACCGTCTAGTCAAAATACTGTGACTCCTCCTCGCTCCAGAAAACCAAAACAGTTTCAGTGAAGAAGCAGAACTCAAGTTTCCACACAAATCGCTGACGTCAAAGTGGGTTTTTCTGTTCCCACCTGTCGTAATGAGCAGCTCTTGGAAGAATTTCTGGTTGTAGATTCGGGCGACGCCGCTGATTTCCGCCACCTGAGCCTCGGCGGCCGTGTTTCTGTTGATGAAGTTCGTCGTGATGCCGATGGCGAGCTTGCCTCTCAGCTCCTTGTGTTTGAAACCTTAAAGCGGACAAAAACAGGCTGATGAACGCTCACTTCTCCACAGAGGAAGTTTGTGTTTTCATTCATGTGCAACAGCTGCGTCTTGCAAAATATCTGACGCCTTTGTTTGCGCTCGGTGTTACAACAGTAGTAGGAGTAGTGACTCATTAGTACATGTGCGTTTGTCTCACCATCGGGGACAAACCTGCCTCCTCCAGCAGAGATGAAGACGTCAAACTGGAAGTTTGCGGCTGGATGCGACCGAGGCTGCAGCTTCGCCGTCCACCCTGTCAGAAACACATCAAACTTTCATGTGTCCCCAGCCTCCTTCTGCAGATTTCATAACAACCCCCCTGTTTGGCAAAGTCTTATTCTTTCATGGATATTATTGGTCGACAAAACAACAAGCCATGACGATGATGAACAGCAGACGGGGAAATGTAATTACCGTTGTCTCCTGAGGGCTCAATCAAGCCCTGAAACTCCACGCCGGTGTGAACCTCCACCCCGAGGAGAAGTGACACTTTTAATAAAATGAGCTGCAGCTGACGGATGCCTGAAAACACACATTTATATTTCAGTGGGAGTGTGTGTGTGTGTGTGTGTGTGTGTGTGTGTGTGTGTGTGTGTGTTAGATAACAAAGACGCTGGATGTACAGCCAGTCATGCATAGAGAAGTCAGAATGAGCAGGTTCGAATTATTTCGATTCTCCCTGCAGATACAGAGAAACAAAACCTGCGATCTCGAACAAAACTCATCTCAGATGTTTTAAAAAAGAGAGACGGAGAAAACTTCAGGTTATTAAATAAGAACAGCACATCGGTCGAAACTGAGGAAGAGTATATTCATCCTCTTGTTAAGTTCAGGGTCATGGAGGAGATGGAGCTAACTCAAACTCCAGCCCGAGTTGATCAGATGAAACTCCAATCTTGGAGATTTTGTCACTTTTTCAGGGTAAGCTGCGTTATGTGAACGACGACTTTAGCCCGCTTGAGTCGATAGTTGATGAGAGACAGGAAAACCCCCATGAGCTTGTGATAAAACATGATTACGTTTACATAAAGCAGATTTTTGCTTTCTCCTTCTTGTCGGTCTGTTCTTTTAACTCTTACTGTAGCATCAACAAAAACGTCCTCATGGTATCAGACTTTGCTCGGACGTCTTCAAAACATTTCAGTAACCGTGTTTACGAGGGCAAAATTTCATGATCTGATTAAAAATTTGAGGGATCAGATAATCTGAATCCAAATATGAGCGCAACATGTCCATACACGCACCAAGCAGAAGAAGAGTTGTATTTACGCCTGTGCTGTCAACAAACCAACAAACCAACAAACCAACAAACGTGGTAGTGGCTCTCTCCATCCAGTTCAGGAGTTTTTCCTCTGTTGAATGTTGTCATTAGATGGCGCTCTTGCATACTTACTTTACTGTTCTGTCAAAGGTTCTACTGTGCGTGCAGATGTGAAATTATTATGCTGTTTGTACGTGTAATGATGTTATCAGAGAGTCAGATACGGCACCTTCGACACCTGCGGTTCTGTTTTATGCCAGATTGTTAATAATGACACCTCTTGTACTGACCTCTATAAATAAATAAAGATCGAGTCAGGTTAGAGAGATCAGATTAAGTGTTTACATGGACGCGCTTTGGAGTAACGATCGGCACAAACCACCCCTCTCGATCAGAATCTTCCGATCGACATGTAAACGCAGCTACTGTTACCATCCCAGCATCGTTTCTACAAACTCTAATTCCAGTCAAGTTGAAAACCTGAATAAAAACAGAATATTTGCAAATCCTCTCCAATTAAATACAGATTAAAGACAAGACTTAAATGTTCGAACTGATAAACTCGATTGTTTTTTCTCACAATAAGCCTTTGTAAACTGAGTAAATCTGCAGATCTAACGTCACTCACTGATGTGATCCAGAGACCCGCTGCAGAATTTGCCGTAGAACTTCTTGGCTCCGAGTCCGCGGAGGTCGTAGATGGTGTAGGGCCACAGGTGGAGGACGTTGTTCCTGGAGAAACACTCTCTCTTCTCCAACACCACCACCTGCGCCCCCAGCAGGGACAGCTCGATGGCCGTTCTCAGCCCGCATGGTCCGGCACCCAACACCAGACACTACAGAGAGAGACGGGGAAGACGAAGTAAGAGTGGGTTACAAGACTACAAGTACAGGGATTTATCATGTTAGGGTTATTTTAGCTTTTGTGCACCTTTTATTTATCTATCTTAGAGTCAAGGATAATAAAAGAGACAATCCTCAATTTTTGTCGTATATGCGTCTTAAATCACTCAAAATTCGTTTAGGGAGACGTTATCAGACACAGCTCATGACTTTAAACTAGCAGCACATGCAGCAGAGCATACCGTGGAATAATATTGCCACTTATCGATATAAGTGCTGTTTAATCAGATTAAGTGGTGGTATTAATCACGTTTAGAGTTACATTATCTCGACTAACAGCCTTGTTATCTGTCTAATGTGTTTAAAGCGAGAAAAGAGAGACGTCCACATCTCCTCACCTTGTTTTTGGCGCAGGCTTTTCCTTGCTGGTAATCCTGGTGAGACGCTCTCTTGTCCAGTTTAGTCCACAGAGCTTTGGCCTTCCAGTAGTTCAGTCTCTCCTTCAGCTTGCCGTAGAAGCTCCTGAAATCTTTAGGATTGATTTCCAGCTGCTTGCAGAGCTCAGCAAAGTGCTGCTTCACATCCTTACAAGTCTGGGCCTGGACGAAGCCGTCAAAGGTGGCGTGCGAAGGGTTGACCGAGTCCTGGCTCGCCATGCTGGAGGATGATAGAGGAGCTGGTCCTCGGGTCTCTGGGTTTGTGGGTAAACTGTGAAGGAGGGGGTTATATCATGGTGTTTAGAGCTTCCTATCTGGAAATAACCAGGCCCTGGGGACAGGTTTACTGTAAATGATCAAAGAGCTACACAGTCCTTGTTATCCTGGCGGTTCAGGTTTATAGAGGTGGTCCTATCTTCCTCGTTTCCTACCCTTTGAGCCAGACAAAGTCCCCTCCTCATGTTCTGCTAATTATAGCCCAGATGTTCATTCGTCACCTGAGCGGCTGAGTCATTAGTTACTTCCTCACTGTGGTTTCTGCGGTTATCTTCTCTTCTTTTTTACTACTGCTCCGCTCTGCAGCCCGCCCACCGCTCATGTGTCACTCTCATACCGCCTCAGGACGTTTGACTGTCGTTAGTTTCAGTACGTAGTTAAATGGAAACATGCCGCAGACACACAGAGGGGAAGTCCAAGTCTTTCCATGAGCTTGGATTAGATCAGCTTTACAGGAATACAGCACCTCTCCTTGTTGAGATTGGTGATATTACGCTGGTGTTATCTGCCAGATAAAATGGATATGAGCTGGCTGATGAGTTTGGCAACTCCAGGCTGTGGTGATACGGTTGAATATTAACATCAGATACCAGGGAGACTGCGCCATAAATATAAGACTATTGGAGAGTGGTTTTGTTTCCAGTTAGAGGCCCTGTGAGGAGATTTTAATTCACAGCGATGTTTTTATATAATCTAAAAACTAAACAAAACATTTCTACCTTAAATTGCTGCAGTAGGGGAGGTGTTGGACAAGATGATTGAAAGAAAACTACCTTTTCTTTTGCATTTTCAATAACAAACATGTAGTTGAAGTGACATATCTGGCTTCTAGAAAGAGCAAAATATGATATGAGACGGGACGAAACAGGTAAAGTAAAAAGATGTCCAACTTATGGTGCCAAAGTTCACACTAACTGAAAGTTCCTGACAGCAGCTTTAATACGAATCAGAATAGGACAAACAAGCAAAGTTAAAGAAGATTGTTTTTATAATCTGTTATAATACTGTGGAAAAAAGTTCCCAGATTAAAGCTTCAGTGAGGAGTTTTTTTTATGTTTATGTAATCGACTGAAATTGGCACAAACTGAAAGTTCCTCACTGGAGCTTTAACTGATGATTTGATCCACAAAACACCAAAATATGTGTCCATTAAAAAACGAAAACAACTTTGATTTTTAATCGTTTTTGTAAAGATAGAAGAAAGAAACCAACCCGTTAAAATAACTGTACTTATGACTTCCTGTGCGGGGTTTTTCAGCTGGTTATAAACAGACTGAAACTAACACTGACACTAACACCTTTTTTTTTAATCTGCAAAAGAAAACAAGATAATCTGCAGAGAAATTAGCTATTTCTGTCATGTAATTTTGAGAGTCTAAAACCATCGAGTGAGGGTGGGTGCAAGACAAAAGATCAACATAGCCGCTGCGTAAAAAGAAGACGGGTATATTTACTCTCACAAAGATGAGTAATTCTCAAGAGTAATAAGGTTTTAAATAACATGTAGGACAACTCTGTAAGGCAACGGTCAACACCCCTCATCTTTGAGACGTAAGCAGTACTGCTTTGTCCACAGGGGACACTAAAACTTCCTCACAGGAACTTTAATTCTTTGCCCTTCAACTAGTAATTTCAGCTCAAGTTTCGTTAATTTTCATTGTATTTTTCTTTTAATTATACAGACTGAACAATGGAAAGTTGATGCACCAACAGATGCTGATACTGATCCAATCTGATGCTCTTTTGTTTCATGGTGTTGGTTTAGCCTTGTGGTTACACTGTGTGCTTTGAAGAACCTCATTATGAGGTTAAGCTCAGTTAAAATGAGCTCATAACAACATTTTACATCCTTTAGTCAATATTTACTTTGAGGTGGGTTATTTAAAACAATAGAGACACCACAAGCAAAATGCTAATCTGTTATGTAAATAAAATACTTCATGCGTACAGGACGCAGCGACGCTTTAACACTTGAAGTGCGATAACAGTAAGCTGTGGTCGACGTTTCCTGTAACTAATGTGCACGCTTCACTTCCTGATGATAACATTAACCTAACAGCAACTCCTCTCTGCTGCTAATTCTGCAGCCCCTGCTGCTCTACCTGAGACACAAAGGCTGTAATTACAGTCAGAGGGGACTGAAACATGCGTGTGCAGGTTTGTACATGACTGCGTGTGGACCTGATGAGAGCTGCACAGACGCTGCTGCTGCTGGAACAAACAATCCTCTCGCACATATTTTAACGGTGACTGTATGCAGATATTTATCGAAATAGGAACATGATTTGAGTGAGCATGACAAAGAGCTTCCTGTTTGTTTCATAACTGCCTTTTTCGCTGTGTAACATATGGGCCCCATCACTTTAACAAGCCTCAAACAAACAGAAGAGGTGTTTCATAAGGCTGCTGAGATGCAAAACGATGCATATGCTTCAAAAGAAACATGAACTTCTGCAGGTTTAGTGAATTCAAAGTCAGGATATCTGCACTTTGATCCCACCCTTTGTTTTTTGCAATACAAACTTTACAAGTGTACGCAGTCCTGCCCTCTGACATGCCTTTTTTGGCAGTGTTACCATAGTTTTGAAATGATTAATCAAGATTACACTAAAGTGAAAAGTCCGCTGTTATATCAGGCTGCAAATGGCGCCGCTTTTCTACCAGAGAAGTGAAACGGCTCAAAATAAAGACAAGAAAACCTGTCAAATCTAAAAATAGCTCGATAGATCATCTTGAAACTTTTATCTAATTCCCAAGAGGCGGTTTTATTTATATCCTGTGCTATTTCAAACGTTTCTAACTGGCCTGAAGATGCACAGGAGCGGTGGAAATATCTCCCAGACTTGCTTCCCATGGTTAAAAATCATCTTCGTGTGACTCTGATTAATATAGCTCATGCTAAATAGAGGTCATCTGTGGCAGAGGGTAAACACACACACACAGACATAAAGTCATCACCACCTGACTTGTGTTAAGTGATTCAAAACCGAAGAGGCGAGTTTAAGCAGGCATGCGGCGAAACAAGATCAGACAGATGCGATTGGGTATAAAGGTGAATTGACCTGATTCTCCTGGGAGTAGAGGATTGGATTGGATTGGATTGACCCACCTTATCACATGTGTAAGCCCTGCTGCGTCCTGTGTGAGTATCTGGATGTTGGATCAGGCTCTGATCTGCAGGCTGGCAGAGGGGACACAGAGAGAGAGAGATAAACCAGATGGGAGAATGAGAGGGATGAAGAAAAAGGAAAAGGTGTCATTCATTTCCTGGACTTATCAGGCTCAAGCAGACACCCATGAGTTTGAGAGGGATTAAATCATAACCTTTGTAAGAGGAGAGAGAGAGAGAGAGAGCACAATGAAAGGAAGCTGATAAGTGAGCAGGAAGGTGTGGCAGAGTTTTAACATGAAAATACTGGTGGGAAACTGAAGTTACATCCATACAAACACACATAAGAGCTTTAGGACACTGACTTCTTCATTTAAATCGAAAATAAAGTTAAAGAAACCTTCACTATCGTCTAAACCCACCAATAAAACCCACTTTAAAACTAAAAGAGAGCTTTAAACTCACACAAAAGAGCGATAAAATCAGAGACCCTGATAAAACATCTCTCCTGTCAGAGTACCGAGTCTTCAAACCGTCTGAAAGTTACATACCTGCTCTGAAGTCGACTTTAAAGCGGGTATCTGTGAAACTGCATCCTCTTTGTCCGCTTACAGGGTTTGTTGTCTTTGTTTACAGGTAAAAGAGAGCGCGCGTAGGCTCACCTGCGACTGGCGCCCATACAGCACGAGCGGAGTCTCTTCCGGGACTTTCTGGTGAAGCTGTAGAGGCAGCGCGAGCACCGGCGCACGTGATGAGAGGACAAGAGGAGGTCGGTGTGAGTGTCTGTTTAAGGTGATATGGTTATTATCCTGAGGGCAACACACGGGGTACGGTGGCCGAGAGCAGCCACTGCTGCCAAAATAAATAAATAAATAAATAAATAATAAAGAAAAAAAGAAGAAGTCACAATGCAAGTTACCAGTGTAAAAAAAAGAAACCAAAGCCTGCTGCAAATAACAATAATAATAATAATAAAAAAATAATATTAAAAAAAAACACAACGGAAGTTACCGATGTTAAAAAAAAGTAACCAGCTACAAAAAACACAACAAAAAAGAAGTCACAACGGAAGTTACCGAGGTAAAAGGAAGAAACTGAAGCATGCTGCAAATAAAAAAAGAAATGGTGCAGAGAAAAAAAAGCCACAACAAAAGTTAACAATGCAAAGTAAAAGGGGGCAATTGAAAAAACAAAAAAAGTTACTTACTGTGAAGATAAAAGGATGGAAGTGAGCAGCCGGGGACCAATAATGATGATGCACCAGTTCATTGCAGCAGTGGTGGTTCTCGGCCACCGTACACAGGAGCCATCAATGAATACGAATGATGTTTCTCCAACAAAAGAAACAACATTAATGATAATCAATATAATAGGGTACAAGCAAATTATTTCTGTAGGATCATTTTTACAGTTTACAAACAAATTTACAAATTTTGGATTCAGGGCGTCTCGTAAGCCCCTTAGGCCTGACATATTGTATATGCATGACACTAAAATGAATCAATCAAAATAAAAGATTTTATCAACAAACCTTTAAAAATAAAATAAAATAACAGAAAAAAATTACCCGCAGCTTGAAGCTTCATGCAAAATAATAAGTTTCCTTATTCTTCATATTTTTTAGTCAGCTCTGACATTTACTCAAGTTAATATTTCTACCATTCGTACAAGAGGGTTTGTATCATAGTTAATGACGTCCAATTTGATGAATGTGTACCTTTCATTGAACATATGAACGTATTATATAGACCTTCAAAATTCACCAAGAGGTGGGCAAGGTAAGACTCAAACCTATGACCTCAGGAGTCCCAGTCAGTGATCAGACAGAGTCACGGTTACCGATGGCAATATACAAACTTTATTCAAATGTACTTTCAAATTTGAACAATATTCAGTAGGATTTTACAAAGAGCATTTATATGAAAACTCCCATTGAATACAGTAGAAAAGAGTATATATGCTGTTTGAATATCACAGATTTATAAAATATCTGCATAGCCAGAAAGAAGACCCACAGTAACCCCACAGAAAACCGTCCTCAGCTTCTCAACGAGGCTGCATATACACACAGTTCGACCTTTTTCGTGCACTTTTTTCCATATTTTTGCTCAGTGAGACGGGTCAGGAGGAGAAGGACTAACAGCACGACTACACACACTCAGGTCAGTGCATTCAGGACTTCTTCCATTCACTGCACTCACACCGTCCTCTGCGTGGAGTTACTGAATCATAATCAGTCATGCTTTATGGAATCAAAGCTGGGAGCAAAGATGACGGCAGCACACTCACACGGCGTCGACCAGGTGAATGATAATTGACTTCCTGCTCATTTTCCAGCCTCTGAAGCAGCATCCGAATGATTGGAAGGTGATCAGATGTAAACATTTGTGGCTTTGATTGATTTATGAGGAGGAGTGATGCTGGTGGATGATCAAAACATGAGAGTATCGCGGGATAAGGAGCATTTCTGCGACTCAAACTGAAAATGTACAACCAAGAGAAGTTTCACAGGAATACGTGCACAAAAAACAAAATGTCAAATTTGTCTAATATATATTTATATTACTGTTGTTGGATGTTATTTATAAGTACCATAAACATTAAAGTTTGATGATGATGATGGCGAAAGAAAAAAATAAACAATCAGGTTATTTTTAAAGGAATAAATTATAAAGATGATATATACACAAAAATATAAGCATTAAGGATATTTACAATTACGTTTCAAGATGCCAATTCATTTTCTACACATGCAGTTTTATGGGAAACCTCTCTGGTCTGCCCCCTGCTGTCCAGAGGAGGGCATAACCATGATCTTCACTGAGAACAGAAACATCGCCAGTGTATGATCGTGCTCAAAAACGCACCAAACACCTGAAATAAATACAACCCCAACTACACAGAAAGTGAAGACAAACAGATTTTGATGGTTTGTAAATAATTTAAACCTGATATAACATTGAAAGTAGTGCAAAAACAACATGTACATGCTCCTTTAACATCTGAAGTTGGCCCAGGGAGAACAAAACAGTGAAAAAGCATGCAAAGGGATTTATTCTAACTAATTTGGTTTATTTGCAGCAGGTTAGAAACACGACAGAGAGACTGAGGTCCTAAGAAATGAAGCTTTACTTTGTGAGAGACTATGTGAGGATGAGTCAGTGTTCCTCAAAATAAAATCACAAAACAATAGAGCTCAAAATATCGTGAAAATAGTCAGAGAATCTGGAGGTAAAGGCTGAAAATCAACACGAGATGGCAGTGATCTTTGGGTGCATGACTCTGTAGTGGAAATCACCTCGTGGCCTTAAAATCACATCCAAAAACTATTATTTTTGATAAATGAGGAAACCATCTCTGAACATGATCAAATAAACTGACTTTCTTTTTGGAAATCATGGACACCACACTCCTCAAGTAAGACAATGCCAAACCATATTCTGCATGAATTGCTGTAGTAGAAGAGTCCTGCTAAACTGTCCTGAAATATTGAAAATATTTGGTGCACCATGAAACAAAAATACGACCCAAACTGTCGAGGAGCTGAAATCTAACATCAGGCAAGAATGAGGCGACATTTCAGAACCTTAAAACCTCTTCATGGTCCCCAAATGTCTGCAGAGTGTTGATGTTGTCTTTGCTCTAGTTTCAGTCAAATATCGGCTTTAATGGATCTACAAGCCATCCAAATCTGCTGTTAGTAACATTTTACACATGTTAGAATCGGGGTTGTAAAATAAAAACTTTCCAAAGAACTTAAAAGACACGAAAAAAGGAGATTCACCTGATTTTAATTTGAATCTTTGAAAACAAATCAGCATCTTGAAACCGCGCTGGTGATCCGGTTGGTTCTGTACACAGGTGCAGGATCTTGAAACAGTGAATTTATCGTTTTAGAGAAGAAGAAGAAGAAGAAGAGAGAGAAGAAGAAGAGAAGAAGAAGAAGAACCTCTGCTTACAAAAGTCACTGTAAGAAAAGTTCAGAGTATTAAAATACACTTTTACAGCAGTAGAAAAGAGATTCTCATTGGCACTAAAGTCCTTGCAGCAGTCGTCGTCGTCTCCATCCTGAGATGACTTTTAGTGATCAGTAGCCTTTTGTTTGTAAGAAAAGTCACGTTTAGAAAATAGAGAGACAGACTCTCCGCCTCTTTTCTTCTTTGTGTTGAGCTGTATGTTGGTCACAGCGATAAAACCGTTAATCCGACGGGCGTTCAAGACTCACTCTGATGTTAGTCTCATTCAAAATCTCACAGCAGTCAGGAGGTGGACTTAATGATGCAGAGGGAAAGCGTGATTATTGAGAGGATAGTGACATTCCAGTTAATCCAGGGAGAAAAGAAACAAAACTGACGTCCCAAAAGCTCCTCGTAAAGTTTTATACGTCCCAAATAGTCTCAAAGTGGCAAAAATGGAAGACAGAGTGAGTGTTTGTTTATCCCGAAGAAAAAGAAGAACGAAAAAAAGATTTAAAGTGGTGTTGTCAGCAGGAAAAACTCCCAATATTCACCTCCAAAGTTTGACCTTTTTTTTTTTCTTGAAGCTTAAAAAAGTACACGATGCAGTCAGGCGGATAAACACAAAAATAAAAGTGCACGGGGAATGTTTGTAATCAGGGCGCCAAAGGAAGGTAGAAACACCTGCTCGGATGTGCAGGGAGTTGATTTGACGAACAACATGACACAGTGCTGAATGATATAGTCAGAGTAATACCACATCGATCCATTAGAGAGTCCCTCAGAGGAGAGCACGACTTTGGAAAGTGGCAGGAATTAAAAGTTACTGATTGGTTTGACGTCCCGCTGACACTCCTAAATGTCACAGAGTTATTGATTGTACCCAGACTGCAGTCGGCTTTCTGCACTGATCAACTGTACACACACAAACCCTCACGCACACACATACTCGTCCATGCACTCTGAAGTAGATGCACATGCTCAGTTTTGCACATGCATTGACACATGCATGTTTTCCACAGTCGAGCCAGAGTTACAGGTTCTCTCCCGGCTGGTACTGAGGCTCCGTGGAGGTGAAGTAATCCTCCAGGAAGCCCTGCAGGTACTCGAAGGTGGGCCTCTCCTCGGGCTCCTTCCTCCAGCAGGTCAGCATCAGGTCGTGGAGGGATTCAGGACACTCTGCCGGGCACGGCATCCTGTAGCCGCGCTCCACCTGGTCCAACACCTCCCTGTTCACCATACCTGAGAGAGAAAAAGGCACGACGTGAGAAATCACATGATTGCTGATGATTCAAAACCCAGGGATGGGAATTGATAAGATCTTATCGATATCGATGCCATTATCGATTCTGGTTAACGATTCAATTCTTTAACGATTTTCTTATCGATGCCTTTCAAGGCAGGAATCGTTAAGGGAATCGTTAAGATAAAATGTAAATGATGTTGATGGATTGAACTATTTGGAACCGGTTCTCGATTCCCATCCCTAAAAAAAACCTCCTCACCTGGATACGGCACCCTTCCTTTAGTGGCGAGCTCAGTCAGCAGGACCCCGAACGACCAGACATCCGATTTAATAGTGAAGCGCCCGTACAGCGCGGCCTCAGGAGCCGTCCACTTGATGGGAAACTTGGCTCCTGCAAGAGGAAACATTCATCAGCGGTCTAAAATTAGCCCGTCGCAGCGCAGAGTGAAACAAAAGCACATCCCATCAGCTGCATGATTCATACGCTCTCCTGGAGGCTAACACCTTTTAACTGCAGGTACTACATCAGAGGCTTCAGGATGAGAGTCATCATGAGACGAATAACAGGAGGGGAAGTATAATGCTTATCAGTCTTACATGAATTCATATTAGTTTGTTTTAATGTTTCAAAAATACTGATTTTGACACTTGAAATTTAAAAAAAAGCAAAGATTGAGAACCCCTCAAAGATACCCCACAGGATTTAAGGACCGTCAGCGATCAATTTGATCTAATAATCAATGAATCTGATGGTTAATTATTAAACTTTTGAGTCTAAAAATGTTCAAATGGATCTTATTGTATCCAACATGTACCCAACTGATCTCAATTTGAGAACCAAAGAGCAAAAGTTTATTGATTTTGCCGTATTACCGGCAAAACGCACATTGGCCTTTAATTGGATGAAAACTGATGCACCTATCAGATTTTGGATCAAGAACATGGCACAATGTATGTCAATGGAAAAATAACATATAAATAAGAGGATCTCGAATATACCATTTGGTAGCTATATTAAGAATGGAGATATCGAAGGGCTTCTCCACTGAATGAAAGTAAATAAATGTAAATAAATAATAAATAAAAACTGAAAATGTATGTATTACAATTTATCCCAAACAAGTAATTATTGATTGTAAAAAGTACTTTATGTTTTGTGTGTTCTTTTATATTTAGAGAAAGGTTAATGTTTGTGTTTGTTTTATTGGGAATGGGGAAAAAAATAACTTTTGTAATACATAGTTACATTACAAAACTGTCTGTATAATGTGAAATGAAAGTCAACAAAGATATTATTTAAAGAAAAAAAACATAATTTCCATCACTAATTCCCCTGAGTTCAATCTTTATTTTTAAATATCTCATTTTTGATCTGAGACCAAAGATATTTAACAAATAACAAACACAAACAGCGTATTATCACAGTAAAGACGCTGGGATTTTAAATTGTCTGACTGGTTTATCTTGAAAAATAACTGAAAACAAAAGTCATCATAATGAATCTGATGTAAAAGGCTCTCAGCAGAGTCGTGCGGTCGTACCTTGCCTGGCGGTGTACTCGTTATCCTCGATGAGGCGAGCCAGACCGAAATCGGCCACTTTGCACACGAGGTTATCTCCGACCAGGATGTTTGCAGCTCTGAGGTCTCTGTGCACGTAGTTCATCCTCTCCACGTACGCCATCCCTGAAGCAATCTGAGACAGAGACACAGAGAGGATTTATGATGATCTGGATTTAAGAGACGTTATTTAAGATAAGAAAATACTGAGTCATGCTGACCTGTGAGGCCATGTCCACCAGCTGAGGGAGGCGGAGCATCTTACCCATGTCACCTTTCAGGAAGTCCAGTAAGCTACCTGTTGGCGGAAACACCCACAGCAGGTTAGTGTGACCTCGACTAAACTTGTTTAAATCAGTGTTTTTTCTCTGTATAAAGGTGTTTATTCCACACTGACCTTGGCCCATGTACTCTGTGACGATGTAAATGGGCTCCTCAGACACCACGGCGTACAGCTGAACCAGCTTCTCATGCCTGAGTTTCTTCATGACCTGAGCCTCCTGGAGGAAAGCTTCAGGGGACATGGTGCCGGGCTTCAGGGTCTTTATCGCCACTCGTGTCGTCCCGTTCCATGTTCCTGAAAAAACGTATTAATAAGAGTCATTTAAATCATGTCGACTCAATCAAGTGAAAGTGATATCCAACAAACGTCTCCTCAGACAGAGAGAGAACAGCTCCAGAAACAGATCAGATCCCAGCTTACCCATCCAGACCTCTCCGAAGCAGCCCTGTCCAAGTTTGAGGTCCAGACGGAGGGACTCTCTCGGGATCTCCCAGGCATCCTTGGCTAAGCCCTGAGTCTGAGGCTTCAGTACGGGACAGATGTCTGTTAGACTATGACAGAGGCCGTCAGCGTGCTCTGAAGAGGAGGAGGAGAATGTGATTATTAAAAAAGATTTCAGTTTCTGTCTCTGTTAAGTGTGTGTACATGAGACTGAGAGAATATATATTTCTTATCAATCATAAACTGATTTCTATTTGGAGGTACACCAACACAAAAAAAACAAAATTTATCACAATTTAAAAAACAAACAAACAAAAAAAAAACATTGCGACCCCTCCCCCTTGCAAAAGACCTCTCTATATAGTACAATAATATGTTAAAGATACAAAAAACACACCAAAACCAAACAGTGGTATACTCAGGTCTGTTTGAGGGGCAGGGGAGGAAAACAAAATGTACAACACCTGGAAGGGCATCTAGAGTTCACTAGTTATTATTATATCTGATTTAGGGGTATCTAGAAGTCACTATGTTAACATTGAATCTGAAAGGGTGGTATCTAGAGGTCACTATTTATCATTATCAGAGTGTAATATTTTACCCAATAGAGGGGCATCCAGAGATCACTTTTTACTAATATATCTGACAGAGGGGCATTCAGAGGTAACCATTTATCATTAAATCTGATAGAGGGGCATTGAGAGGTCACTATTGATCATTACATCTAATAGAAGGGCATCCAGAGTGTAATATTTTTATATTTTACCTGATAGAGGGGCACCCAGAGGTCACTATTTACTATTATATCTGACAGAGGGGAATCAAGAGGTCACTATTTGTCATTATATCTAATTGAAAGGCATCCAGAGTTTAATATTTTTATATTTTACCAGACAGAGGGGCATCCAGAGGTCACTATTTATCATTATATCTAATAGAACGGCATCCAAAGTGTCATATTTTTATATTTCACCTGATAGAGGGGCATTCCAGAGGTCACCTGAGCATGTTTAATTTTTCTGCAGAGCAGCTTCAGAAGCAGTTTTTTCATACATTTGCATTTGCATGGACAGAGCATCACAGCAGTGTGTTTTTTAAGTATGACTCAGTGTAATTTAAGCTGCAGTCACCTGACACATATAAAAATTCCATCTGGAGATTTTTTTACTCATTAGAAGTAATTCAACTCTTATTATTTCATACATTTCTCTGGACTTGTTTAGTAAATGTTTGAGTTTTTCACAAAAATACTTGTAAAGATTGAAGTTTACTGCGGGGTCAGAGTTGAACTTACTGCGATAGTGGTTGACGAGCTGCTGCAGGCTGCTGAACTGCGTGCGTGACGTGATGTAAAACCCCCCGCTGTCCAGCTTCCTGATCTTGTAGTGCTTCACATTCAGCCCTTTGGTGTTGTCGTAGTCCAACACAGACAGACAGTAGGCACCTGGAGGGAGGGAAACATGATAACGGGTGAAACTGAGGAAAGAAGATTTGGTTTACAAACGGATGATCCCACAGTCTGAACATGAAGCTTCTCCCACATGAAGCTTTTATGATTTATTCACTTTGTTGTGTTTCATGTTTTATTCCGCTTTATATCTTTTGTTGACGTATTTTTGATTTTTTATTCTCTTTGCAAGCCTAACAGAGACGCAGCAGACGGCTGGTCAACATGAGTCAGGCTCTGTTTGAAGTTTCTGTCTGTTTTAGGAACTTATTGTTACCGCCTGCTTTATTTAATGCTGTTTAGTGTTTTTGTTTTTATCTATATTTTCATTACTGCTGTACACATAATAAATAAGCCCAGGGTGTTTTCAGTAGATTTGGAGACACAGCAATGTGAATTATACTGATGAAAATAACTGGATGTTGTTCCATGATGTTATTCTTGTGTTTTCAGGTGTTAAACTAGGTGAGCTTATTCCTTTGAATCATGTTTTCATTTTCATTTGATCATCCCCACACTGTTTCCTTTAACACTGTTAGATCTGCAGCTTTATTTTAGGTTTAAACCAAAGTAACAAATAAGTTTCTGCAGTTAAATATTAGACCTAAAACTCATTTAGATGCCATGAGAATAAATCTGAGCTGCTTTACTGTAGATGTTTTTAATTATTCCCATAGTTCTTTCTTTGTTGTGCAAATGCAGATGAGTTAATTTGATGTATTTTGTCACATTTCATCACTTTAAGTTTCTCTGTGTTGGTGGGAAACTGGTTCATGGGAAACTGGTTCATGTCTGTGATTGGGCAGATGTAGCTAAGCTCCGCCCTGTTCATGCGAGTAACTCTAGGTTGACTTTTGACCTTTACGGGACATGAACCGTGTCAGGGTCGGTGAAGACGGATAAACGAAGATAACTGAGCCGTGTTGAACTCGCTTCACACTGAAGGCCTCTACTCATAAGTTAAACAAGAGCGACATATGACTGAAGACTGATTGATTTAGGGAAAAGGTCTTTTTATGTTTTAGAAAATCGTAATCTGAAAAGATTAAAATTAGGAGGGAAATAGTATAAATTTAAAAAAGCATAAAAGGTTAATTAGCAATCAAAAAAGTGTGATATTCTTGGTATTTATTTTAATAGAAATTATAATTATGATTACAATAATAAAAGAATAATAATAATAATAATAATAATAAAAAATAAAATAAAACAATGATGATAATAATAATGATAGTTGTAGTAATTAAAAATAATAACAGTAAAATAATGATAATAATAATATAATGATTATTTCAAAATAACAATTATAATAACAAATAATATGAAATATAACATTTGGGGACATTTTAAATCTGTATTTTGGTGTCTGTGTGTCTATTTCACCACCAGAGGGCAGCACAGTCAGTTTAAAAAACAGAGTGACTCACTAAGTCTCACAGAGGAGCCCAAGGCGATGCCTCCCCCTTCTCCAAATGTTTGAACTGATACTGCCCGTGGCGGTACAGTCCTCAGCTCCACGCTGACCTAATTCTGTCGGGCTCACCCACCTGGTACCTCTCCTCCTCTCCTCCTCACTCATTCACTCTCCCTCCCTTCCTACCTCGTCCCTCTTTCTTATTCATGTCAGGGCTGCAAACATATCCGATCACAGGAAACAACGTGAGTCCTGCACTAAATCACACAAACACACACAGATATGTGGATCCTTGGAGACTGCAGGAGTCTCAGAGCAGCTGACTATCAGAACTATCTCTAGACTCCAGAGTCCCACAGGCGCCACATCCAACCTTTCCCATCTGCCTGATGCGTCTCTGCTCTGTACCCATGATGCACGGCGGGCGCTCACTGAACAGCAGGGTGTCATGTCTGACTGTTGGGGCAAAATTCACTTTCTTCTCCCCTGAATTTCAGTAAGACGTCACTGAATCCAAACTGAGGAACTGAGCTTCACGCTGAGAATCTAAAAATTTTACAAGTTCAGGAAAAAGAGCGCAGAGAAATCCAGGAAAACAGACCCTCATTTAGAGATAATCAATGGTGGAGGAGTTACAGCGAGTGTGTTAGTTTGGATCTCCAGTGTGAGGCTACAGAATAATTAGGACGACCTCCTCAGGTCCAAAAACTTCTCTGCTCACAAACTCATTTTATCATTTTCGATCATATCTGCGTGGTATCCTCAGGAAACCTCTGGGCTGTTGTTCAAGGATGCTGAAAGTCATTACACCGCTGTGAGTCTTAGCTACAGGTGAAATACTATAACTTACAGGGAAATACACAAGAGAACTTTTTAATCAAACTTTTTTTTTGTTGTTGTTGCAGGCGATCAAACTTTAGTTCAGCTCTGGGAATTTTCACACATTTTTAAACTCAAACTTTTTTTTTTTTTTAACCTAGATAAAATGTTTGTGCTGAAATCAGAGAAGTCAATAGTTTCAAACTCATTCACGTCAATAAAAACGTATTTTTTCCATCCTAATTGCGATTAAAGGTCTCTCCTGTGTTGACACTAAAAGTGGAATAAAAATGTATATTTCTAAATGTGAAAGATCACAAACTTAATCCTCAACAAAAACTTTATATCCATCTTTATCTTTACAAGTTTGAGTAAAAGCTTAAATAAAAAGACGCCATAAAGACAAACAAATGAAGTTTTAAATCTGTCTTTGACAAACCAAACTACTAAATATTGTTTGTAGTTTGTAGTTAAAATCACAGAAAATATAAAATCATGCATCATATGAACATAACTTTTTGCTTAAAAGTTCATTTAATATTTAAACTTTTTAATCTGGTTACAGGTTGAAATTGAAGCTGGTGTTTCAGTACGTCTCATAAAAGCAAACAAGACCATCCACATGAAGACTGACCATAAAATAACTTGAATTAAACATAAAACAAACATCTTTCAAACTAATCTGTGACATTTGGATGGATTTAAATATGGTCACATGTCTAAATGAAGCACTTGTAGTATTTCTATTTTAATTAAATTTAAATTAAAATGACTTTAAGTCCAGTGGGAAGATGTCAGGTCTGAAAATAGACCGTCTTTTAATCTATTTTTCATCATGGATCTCTGAGGTTCATTAAACTAAAACCTTAAACTAAATCCCGACATGTCCGTGTATACGAGGCGATTCTCAACTTGCTCCCTTTTTATTTATGTAAAATTATGGACATGAAAACTGTTGGAAGCTACAGTCACAAATCTTACTTTTACTTTCTGTCCCTGGGGCGTGTCTTCAGATAAGTAATGAGAGTTTTAGGTTCTCCTGCGGACTGGAGTTTGCAGCAGGAGTCTCAGCGTCTCTCTACATGTTTTTAAAAGGAGATTAGAGGAGGATGCATCAGGCTGTAGATGCTTTGAAAGTTGATTTTGCAGGTGTGTGTTTTCTTTAAAAAGATCATTTCTAGACCCAGAGTTTGAGACAGTCAGACTTTTTCAGATGCAGGTCTCCGATTTGGAAGTTATTTTTAACATCTGAGGTTAAAACAATCCGAGCAGAAATAAAAAAGCACCACATTCCTAATATTTTGACATCTTTTCTCTGAGAATTCAATTTAGTCATGACTCCGCACACAGTGGTCTAACCCCAGCCCTCTCCCGTGAAAAGGCAGAGTAAATGATGAGTTTGCTTTTAGTGTATTTACCTTTGGTGGTCTCACTCTCTCGCACCAGGAAAGTCCCTCTCCTGTTCTCCAGACTTAGCAGCAGTCTCTCGGAGTCACGGCGAGTGATTTTCCCAAAGTACCACCTGATGGTTTTGAGAGAGAAAAAACACATGAAACACACCGGAGCAGGTTGAGAAGAAGAGAAGAGGAACAAGGTAAGGGAGTTGTAGTGTGTGGTTTGAGTGTGAAAGTGCAGGGAGAGTCTTTGTGCGTTTAAAGGTGCAGTGCGTGTTCATGCATACAGTGCGACAGCTGCTTACCTGGACTCCAGAGTCAGTCTGACATGACTGGAGGAGGAGCAGGAAGCAGAAAGTGAGAGATGGAGTCGATACAGGAGGTTAGTTTGTCAAAGCAAGCAGGTTAGCCTGTGCATGTTTTAAAATTTACATCAGATATTTACACTTTTCTGACTTTAGCTTAAATCAGCGAGTGGAAACACGCAGGACGTTGAGAAGTTTCTGTTCCTGGTCAAACTCAGGTGAAGGATCTTTGAGTTTGACTAGTAGATCTATATTCACACACAGTTTTGCTTATTTCCTCTTTTAACTCTCCACAGACTGTTCCCTCGTCAGAGATAGACATCAAATAACTTCAAAAGCAGATTTTTTCACACGCAGGATGAAAGAAAGAGACAAGAAGAAGAAGATGAAGAAAAAAAAAAAAAAAGGGTTTACTCTTCTGCCTGGATGGAGTCGGATGGAGCCACGTAATTGCTGGGGATATAACCGCTTTCTCCGGTGGTCAGGGAGCGCGCCAGCCACCAGTCCCCCTCCCTGCACAGATGAAACGATAACACACAGCTTCACACACCAAAACACCAAACACAACAACAACAACAAAAACAACAAAATACTGCGTCTCTGAGTTCAAGGGCTGCTGTTTTTTATCAAGTGTCTCAGAGTGTGAATAAATTCAGTAAAAGTGAAGAAAATGCGAAAAGTTCAGCCTGATTTAGTCAAAACTTTTGCCTCCTGAAGAAACTTGATAAATGACAGCCAGGATATTTAACATTTAAAATACTATGTGGGAGGGGAGTTGTTTTTAACAAACATGCATCGGTGCAGGTGTGCGATGAAGCAAGATTAATTGGTTAGAAGGGTTTGTTAAGGGTTTTCACTCAGGTGACTTTATCCGACGTGCATAAAAAACTGATTTCTATGTTAAGATTTGGATTTTAACCACCTGACTGGTCTAAAGTGGATTCATTTTGATCAGGCCTTTGTTGGATTTCATCATGTCCTTTTCTTTTATTGTACCACTCTTAAATCATGTTTCATTGGCCTTGACTGTGTTTATTGTGTATCTCGTGTTGAGTTTATGTTTTCTGGTGTCTCCATGCTGTTTGTTGTCTGTATGAGTCTTCTTGTCCTGGTGGTGAAATAGTTTCCCCCCATGCAGGATCAATAAAGTCTACCCTACCTTACTAATTTTATGGTCTAAAATAAAAAATATTCAGTCATATCAGTCATTTGATATTAAGTCATATCAAAAATCGTCACTTTTAAATGGTTTTAAAGATGCTTTTCTGCATTTTAAGCTTTTATCAAAACTTCCTTTTAATCAGTTATTGGTTGTGTCCTAATATGAAGCTCATAAATATCTGTTGAAGGACAATAAAGCTTTAAACTAGACTTGAAAAGAGAACTGACTTTCAACAGTCGCTGTTTTGGTGGTCACAAACTAGATACAGAAAAGGGGAAGTTAAAAGTTTGACCTTTCTGTGATCCTGTAGAAACAAAAGCAGCGCAAGATGGTGGCCCTGCTTCTATGTAGGTTTTGTTAAAAAGACAAATTTATTGTTGTATTTAGGGGATTATACGCTGATTTAAATAAACTCAGGATTAATACACTTAGGGCTCTATTTTTGTGTCCATCGGGGACGCGGCAAAGGGTGGCGGACCCCGCGCAGTGGTATTTTTGTCTGGCGGAGCCCAGCGTACAGCCAGTTTGGTATTTTAATTAAATATTTAGTCAATAGACACACATGATGTGGCATTGTTGTCTTCAGACATCTCTTGACCTCTCTGACTACTTCACGAAAATTGTAATACGCCTCATTGGTGGCGGATTTAAAGGCGAGGAGAGTAGCTGATGTTATTGGTCAATACAGGTCTCGGCTGTGTTAAACCCACTCCACACCTTCTCTCCTCCCTCGCTACGACTTACGCCGCTGGGAGGGGATGAGTTAGGGAGGGGGGATAATTGTGCCGGGCTGAGCCGCTCAGTAAAATACCAAATTGTGCTTGGAAATGCCTAAGTCAGGTTTGCCGCGCCTGCGCCACTTCTCCGGCGAAGCACGAAAATAGAGCCCTTAATTTCTACCAAGTCTGTCCTGCTAAAAGCTGCAAAATTCTGCGCACTGCACCTTTAAACCTCTTATATTTAACTGCAAATACTGCTTGATAAAAAAAGTTGATGAACACCTTCGTATCAGCCACCGTCTCTTCAAAAGTTTGAGGTTATGTTGAGTCATTAACACAAAGCCAGCCTGAGGAAAGTCAATCTTGCTTCAGAGTACACCCTCTGGGAGACACGGGGGCTTTTATGCTACACTTCATCAGGGAGTGAATGACTGTAGCTTTGCAGCACTCGACTCACTCCGAGTTCCTAAAGTTGAATTATGGTTTGTTTACTTTAACTGCCTCCAGTTGTCCTGGATTGATCGTAGTGCTGCAAGGCTTCAACACCAGCTTCCCTTTCAATGTGAACGCAGCATGAAGGAAGGGCAGAGTTATGTGGGCTGTGCTTTTAAAGTGAGGTGTAAATACAGTGGGTATACTTCAGGTGACACGAACACACAGGTAGACACAAAAACAAACCCAGAGGAGCTTCACAAACCTGCAGTTCACCTTCCTCCTGTTAAAAAAAGTGATGGTTTGTGATGGAGAAATGGAAAAAAAGAGAGAGATGAAAAGGAAAGAGAGGGGTTAAAGAAAAGCAGCAGAGAAAACACGACAAATACAGAGTCTTAAAAACGTGAACTAATGCAGAAGTTTGAGATACAGGAGGTCAAACAGTGAGAAAAACATGCAACACAGGCAGGAGAAAGCTTATTAGGTCGTTACATTATCTGAACGGACCAATCAGAGAGCTCGTTCAAGCCTCTCCGCCACCTTCTTTGACTTTAAATAACCAGTAATAATCTTTGAGGTGGTTAATGGATTCTCCGTGGACTTGACCCAATAATGAAGCAGGTCTTTGGCTTAGGGGGCCAGATGCAGGATAATCCACTATTGTCCCCAGCTCCTGCCTTCTAGGTCAGCAGTTTGTTAGGAAGCAGGCAGCACTGGGGGTGCAGCACTACAGTATATGGTTCACTGCCCATCTATTGATTCATAAAGCAGAGACCCCCCCCGCCCCTCAGTCCAAACAGGTTTGGGGTTTTTACTCGGTAACTAGGCATCAGAATTGAACCACATGTTCGGAGCTGGAGATAAACACAACAAAGTCTTCGAGATGTGATCGGCTTTTTGTGAATGGAGAGAAAAATTGAGCAGAAATGTGTCAGCGCTCTGCCGAGGGAAGCCCGTTTCTATGGTTACAGGAGGTTTTCAGGGAGGCGACGACGACGAGTGACATGCATTTAAGGTTGAAAAGAGAGCGGTAACTCTAAACAGAGAAACTGCAGAACAGAGAGTACGGCTGCAGAAAAGGACAAAAATCAAAGGTGGGTAACTTTAAAGTTTGCATTTACAAGGAAGCTGATAAACAACATGTGGGTGCTACTTTTTACACAGCTGTGTAGAAACGAAAGGACCTGGAAGTTGCCAGAAACTCTAAAAAGCAGATTAAAATCATGCAAAGGAACGATTTGATGATATCAAACAGTATTAGTACAATAAAATCCCACTATTTCAAAGTAACATATTGTGTTTACGTGTAAAAAAAGGGACCCCTCTTTGCGTTGAAATCTATATTTTATCACTTTTTAAGGTTGAAAATGTTAATAGACCAAAATTCACGACGACAGTTAAAAAACAAAAGTGTCAGCTGACTCTTCTTGAGCTAACTCCTGTGCATGTTTGTTTTAAAGGTGACAAAGAGGATTTTTTCTTTTTTTTTTCCATATTTGTTATTTTACTTAAACAAGATGAATACAAGATAAACAATGACAGATAAAAAAAAAAATAAATAAATAAATAAATAAATAAAAAATAAATACATAAATAAATAATAATAATTATTATTATCATAATAATAATCATAATAATAAGAATACACACACACACAACACAAACAGCATAAAAAAAAAAAATTAAAATGTTTTTTTTTCCTATTTCATATTTCACTTAAACAAGAAGAGTACAGGATAAACAATGACAGAAAAATAAAAAAATAAAAAATTCAATAATAATAATAATAGTAATGATACACACACAACACAAAAAACATAAATAAATAAATAAAAAAATAAAAAAATAAATAAATAGAACCAAGAGGAGTTTTCCTTACGTGTTGTTGACTATCTGGAGGCGTTCGCCCTTCCTGAATGACAGATCTGAAGCTGTTCGAGACTCATAGTCGTACAACGCCACAAAGGTCGTCACGCCTCCTGTTCCCAGAGAAAGTTTTATTATTACCTGAGTCGAGTTTAGTACCTGTGTAGAGTAAATCTTGGCGCTGATTTCTCACCTGCCAGCGTGATTCTGTTCGGAGAGGTGACGCTGTTGTTGTCCACGCCTCCAAACAGCGCCAGCTCCGCGTTGTTTGGCATGGACTGGTTTCCGCTCAGACCTGCGTCCACGGTCGGGCTGCGGTTGGGGGTCATAGACTGCTGATTGGAGTTGAGGTGGTGGCCGCCCGCCCCTCCCCCAGAGCTGAGGTTGCCATCCAGGCTGCGGGTTCGCTGGCCTACATCCTTGGGTTTACTCTTGGATCCCCCCATGGCCGAGGCCTGTAACGCAGAGACGTCGACTCTGTTAGATCACAGATTTAAAAATAAAAAAATCATAATTCAGATTGCATTTTAAGCTACTGTTAAAGGTGGATTACGTAGCTCTTTTAAATCAAATAAACATGCTCTCTTATGTCACTTTCTTAGAATATATTCCCTGGAAAAATTCCCATGAATACGACAGGACCAGATGCTGAAACCAGAGAGGGGACAGAAACCACAGCTCTAAACCCGCTGAGACCCAGTGTCATGTAGACCACATGAACCAAAACTTCCCCCACGGACGCTGGAGCAGCTGCCGCTCCTCGGATTCATCACAGGAACTAGATCTGCCTCATCCCGCTGCCACCAGAAGCACGCACGCACACACACACACACATATAAACCACAGACCCACACAGCAGACACATTCCTTCATGCACATGTGTCAGACACAGATGCACAAACAAAGACTCTCTGCAGCGTTTGACAGATACGTCGCAGCAATAAGCTATCAATCTTTGCATCAGCACTCAATCAATTAAGTGAAAACTCGACACCAACAAGGCGCCGATCGAGCTCTGAGGTTAAACCGCACGCCACATGTAGAGGGTATCGTCTACGGAGCAGGGGGCTGGATGAGTTCAAAGTTCATATTGAAACTATAATGAGCTGTTAAAATCTTAAATAGACGGTTTAGAGAATAGATGATCCAGCAGATTTTATCGTAACCTGACCATTGAATGGCAACCTCGACCTCAGTAAAGTTAACACAATGATGATACTAAACAAAAACAGAGGATATGCGCTGTGATCAAAGTCGATCTGAGCGGTTATTCACGTCTCAGAAGCAGCTTGTGGAAGTATTTGGGTCCTACACCACAGACTAGGGCGACAAACTTAAAATTTACTGATATCGAAATTTACGACAATAACCGACGTCATTTTGCCAATATCGGTATATTTAGTGTCAAATAAATAAAAGTTGTTTTTGGATGTGTGTAGGTAGGCTATGGTCTCATGTCCCTTTAAGACACTGTCTTACATCAGAGACGTGACTCCACCCCATCCAGTCTGTAACAAAGAGGGAAAGACAGGTGAGGAGATGGAGGACGGAGAGAAAGTTGGAGCGGCTGAAGTAGACGAAGTTAATGTGGGAGGGGGTGAGCAGCTTGTGGAGTAGTTATCGTCCATTTATTGTTATTGAGGTGAACTGATCAATATATCATGATATTGATTTGAGGCCATATCGCCCAGCCCTCCCACAGACCAAAGCAAGATAGAAAACAAAACTGTTTTACGCCGTCTTCATCGTCTTCAACAAAATCTAATCTGCAGCAGAGGAGGCACCACGGCGTAACAAACAACGCCAGAAGGTAAATCAGCAGCAGCGACTCTCTTAATGTCAGCAGATCACTGACCGTGCAACACTCTGCACTCAAAGACAAGAGTGTTAAACTGGATTCATCTGTGGTACAACAAAAATGAGCTCCTTTGGAAATATTTAATGCAATTTGCCTTTAGGTCAGTGGTTATGGATGTTTTTTGGCAGTGCAGAGGATTGTGGTTCGAAAAAGATAAAAATATCACATCCTGGCACGCAGAAACGTAGAACCGGATGTGGTAGAACACCCGTGTACTTTTGGCACGCTGCGTATGACATACATAAACTGGGACGAGCTAAATCTCCTTCTGACATACTAAACAGTATGGAGGCATGAGGAATGACGCAGCTGCTGGGTTTACCGGCGCTGAACGGGGACTTTAAAGAGCGTAGAGTTGATACCATGAAAATTTAGTTTTGCCGCTCTGAATCCATTTGGACTCTCCACATGAGCACAGATTGTTTAATCGAGTCTATCAAGTGGTTTTCAATCAGCGATGGACAAAATTTTCCAGATACTCCAACAAGAACATGTCAAAGGTCAAGGGGTCAGCTGGATTGTTATGGTTTTATATCAACCTCTCCATTAATAAAGCTCCTCCGCCCACTCAGGCTCATGAAGGAGCGGTAATAAGAGCTTAGCGTGTGGAAATCATTACGCTAAGCCAAGGGGCTCAAACCCGTGTGATCATGGTGAGATATATCCACAGGGGGTCTGATAGGAAATGCTAATTTAGACGCTCAAATGGTAAGGTGGGGCGGCGTGGGAGCCCATCTAATGAGCAGTGAGGGTCAGAGTGCGGATGGGAAGTGTTGCGCCACTCCGCCGTCTGCTCACACGCCCTGCTGGACTGTTGCTATTTAGGAAACGGAGCATCTGTTGGATCTAACGCCGGAGTTAGCTGATGCATGAGCCCTCTGCCATTCACAAGCAAAGGCTCTAATCCTAATCAAGGGACAAAGTACTAAACACGGGCCAGAGGGCACGCTGGCAGTCGGCGAGAGATGCGGCGACATATGGTGGAAAATGTGAGGCACAAAGGAGAGCGCGGTCCGCGGACCACGGAGAGGAAGTCAGTGATGCTGTCGCTGATTTGTCAGACATTTTTGGGGCCTCTTCATCATCCTGGAATGAACTGATGAATTAAAAAAGGAAGGAGTGATGAACTGTGTGCGAGGACAGTAGGGGAGACCGGGGCTTGTTGTCACACGGGTAAGTTGTCACGTTGCAATTATGTTGGAATACTAGTTTTCTTCCTTTACATGGTCAGGGGGTCGTGTCCTATCTGAGAAAACAAGAGCTCATTGTGAGCTGAAATGAGCCAAAAGTAAAAAAAATAACTTTATATATTTTAATTAAACTTCTTCCAGATAAAAATCCCAGCAGTGAAACATGTGGACCTGTTAGAGGAGAGGTTAAGGTTTCCTGTCAGACCTCAGTCATTGTTCTGTTTTAAGATTTGTAGCTGCAAAATCCACTGTGACATCTTACCCCATGTAGTGAGACAACTTACCTGATGGTGGGACAACATGTCACATGATCACACTCTCTATTTGATCGCTTATAACTCCGCACTGAGACTTTGGTCTTTCATCTGGTACACATTTTTTAATATAAACTGTGCAATGTGACTTCTAAATGACATCTATTTAACATATTTTTTGACGATGAGGTACAAATGTGGACGTCATGTCAATGTCTAAAAGAGGTCGAATAATGACGTCTAAATCTGGGGTCTATTTTGCACGTTGTTCCGACGTCTAGATTTGGTCTTCAGATGACGTCCAAATTCTAAACCTCAGAGCGACGTCTTAAAAAGTGTGGTCTTTGACGAACCGACCCAATACTGACTTGATCTGCACGTCTCTTAGATGTCTGATGTTTGGTGGGTGATGTATTGATTCTAAGAAATATATAATCGTGTTAAAAGTGTGACAACAAGCCCCGGTCTCCCCTGCATGCAGTGATTTCCACTACAGAGGCCTGAAAGTCTCTGCCATCCAGTGTCTGTTTTCTGAATCTATACTGGAGCTCTTTATATCTAACCAATAACACTACAGCTCACCCTCGTTGCTGCGGCGCTTGTTAAATATTTAAACTCTCTCTTCCTCAAGATCATTCATGCATTCGTGACATGTGACCCTCCAATAAAATGTGTATTTAATGTCTTATCTTATATGCTTGCCTTAACCAGCCTAAAAAAGATCTTTTATGCGACATTGCACGTTCAAAACATATATATTTTTAGGATTAAAGAGGTGAATTACACAGTTCTCATTGTCACAGGTCTGACATACGAATTGCAAATGTCTAACCCTTTGGCACTTCATGTTTTTCAAATCTGTTCCTCTTCGAGTGACTGAATAACCTTCAAGTACAGAATATATGAGAGTGCACATGAGCACATCCAGAGGAGCAGCGGTGCAGCTCAGACATACATATGAAACAGACGAAAATAAAGCTGCAGCACAAAAACGAGAGCAAATCCAGGAAGGGTGCATAACACAGAGGGGGTTCATTTTAGGTTGGCATGGGTGAGAAGGGGGGAGGTGGGAGAGGAAGTGAAGAGAGGTCAACGGGGGCGGATAGTCAATAACTAACCCTGGGGCATGTCTGCATAAAAAGGGTTTCCATCCCGGCGAGTGTGGCAGCAGCGTGCGTGTCTGTGTGTGTGTAGGTTGGCACACACAGACACAAAGATGACGGGCGGGTGGGCGGGTGGCTCTCTCTTTGTGTGATCCTGGTCCTCGGCGAGCAGAGCAGACTGGTGTCATGGTTAATAAGCCGGCAGAGGCGGAGCACAGCGGGGGGGCTCCCTCTGTCAGCCTCAGACGTCAGACATGTAAAAGCTTCTCGGTCGCTCACAGATGATGCTCTCACTTAAGATGCCGCCTTAATAAGATCACTCAGATTCTGCTCAAAAACCTCTAATATGTGACTGAATATCAGAGCTGCCATGATTAAGATCTCTCAGAGTGAATCTCTCTGTATTTTATCATCTATTAATTGTATTTGCAGCTTTTTCACTCTTAATTTGGCTTTTCCCATTTCTGCCTGCAGAACTCAGAGTTTTCATTATTTCTCAAGGCTGGTGTCATGTGTCATGGTGTTCTGATCTCAATCGCTCCATCTAATTTTACTTTATTATCAGAGCACGTGCAAAAAGGGAAAATGTGATTTATTGGTTTTTATATTAATACGAGCACAAAAGCTCAAGACATATTAAGTTGTTGTGCATCACATCACATTCTTGTATTGAATTATATTTTGTTTCCTGTTGGATTTATTCAGGACTTTGGCGTGTCTTTGAATCTGTGTCCTGTTGTAGAGGGTCATTCATAAAGTAAATCATTCAGGCTGTTTAAAGGCTCATTTATGCTCAATGTTACATACACAGAGGGGAAGGTCCGGCCCTCCTTCGCCTCTGATTGGCTAGAATGCTGAGCTCTGATTGGTTATTCCTTACAGCTGTGAAACGTCATCGTCTGTCGGGTTAGGGTTAGGAGATTTAGGAGTGCGATAACGTTCTGTAATTTTCTGTTCAATGTACAGAGCCGACAGTCCGCGTTTGGCTTAAGCGTGTGATGACGTTTCCAAGGAGACGGGACTTTCTCCTACCATCCTACAAAAAAAAAATATCGCACATGGACCAGATGGTGCAGTACCAATGGAAACCGTGGGGGCAGTGTTGCTGCTGTCACTACCTGATCCGCATCTTTAGAGAGAAATGAAGAAGACAATGACTCGGCCTTTTGAGGATCATCGTCGATTTCTCTCTTCAGTACGACTAGAGAAAATAATCAGTGTTGCCCACCGAGCGACTTTGTAGCCAGATTTAGCGACTTTTCAGACCACCCTAGCAACTTATTTTCAAAAAAGTGACAAGCGACAAAACGTACATTTTCATACTTATGGCGAGCGTAATGCTGCGTATGAGTTACCTCGGAAGTCAGCGTTTCAGTCGGAAAAAAGCAAAATCAGAGGCAGAAACAAGATGGCTACATCTACGAAAGTTACTTTAGTGCTTGCCTTGTCCGAATATAACAAGGACAAGGCAAGCACTAAACTCCGACATCCGACATCTGACTTCCAAGGTAACTCCAACGCAGCATAAATCAGCCTTAACTGTGATTGTACAAGCTGCCCACCACAATACATGTCTTGGTTTAGCTCTTTTGTTAGCATTAGCATTTAGAAAATATTGCTTTTCATCCGGAGGCATTATGATGAGCTTTTGCTACAACTTCCTCACATTTTAGAGACTAAATAATACAAAAATATAGATATCTCTGAACACCAAAGACTTCTCCAACACAAACATTTATATAAACAAACATGTATATAATAGTTATGGTCTGTTTTATATCCATTTAACAGTCTCGCCTCTGTTAAAGGCCTAAACTTGCATCATTAACAAGTTAACTCTGCAGATTTAACTTTTAATGCTGACAGGATTTAAGGAGGAGGAATAAAAACGACCAAACAGACGAGTTAAAAAAAGCATAAACTTAACAAACAAGTAATGAATGTGTTCAGTCCTCTAGATTGAGTTCTGGGTAAATTTCTGTCAGGAGTTTTTTGGGGAAGGTGACGTCACTCACATATTTGACAGATTCGGTTCCTCTGGCTCCTCACGCTCTGACCCAGACTGCGACACATTCACTGAAAACTCAATGAAAAGGGAAGACTGAACCGAGTAAACACCAAACAGAGCATTAACAGAGTCTCAGGCCTTTCTTCACACTCAGCCTCGAACAAAGCGCTCTTTTGTCGCCTCGCAGCAGGCGGCGTAAACAAGGAGCAGACTTCACCCGGGCTGCCAGACCTCGGTGTGCTTCAGCCCCGTTTATGAAAATGTAAAAAGTCATGAAGCCGAGCAAACGTCACGCCTTGAAGGAGTCATGTCTGCGTGTGTGTCATCAGGAGAACCAGCGTCTGTTTTCAGGCCTCGTCGTGCTGGAGTACAGTAACAAACATCTACTGTCTGAGAAGCAGAGCAGCATGGAAATCCCTCGGGCGAGTGGAGGGGGGTGTGGTTCGGTTGGGTGGGGGGGGGATTTGCTTAATTATGCATAAGATCTGACAATAAATTCCAAATCCCTCCAGTCTCCTGGGCTTCGGTTAAATGGGAATAGTCTTTTAATATTGCTGCAGGGGCTGTTTTCCCCTCACAGGATGCTGCATTTTGCTTTCTCTTTTATTCGGCATGAAAAGAAACAATCAGAACGGCTCTGAATGGCGCTCTCTCATTGATTTGATATAAAAGAAGGTGGTGCCATTCATCCATTAAGAGCCCGGACTGATGAGAGTCTTTGTGAGAGAGGCGTCAAAACACCGCTCCACCAATAAAAGCTTTTTAACAGTCAGTGTAATCTGCTTTATTTCATTAGGAAATCATCTTTTCATCTTTTTTTGGACCGATCAAAAAGTCAGAAACATCAAATTTAACAGGTTAGATCACTGGCTCACAAGCTGAAGCAAAAACACCACAGAGGAGGACTGAAACTATGTGGAGCGGCGTGTTTGGACTTGTCGGCTACAGTAGACCCCTACGCTTGCTGTGGTTAGCCGTAGGTCCAACACAGAGATCAGGCATGCCTCCTACACTCTCCCTAAACTGAAGGACCTGAGGTTTTAAAGCCACGGGAGAGAGGTCAAAGGTCACAATTAAGCCGCTGAGAGTAACAGCGTGATTACAACAATAAGAGTTTTGTTTTAACGCCGTCTTAATAAGGGGATAAAAAGTGTTTCTGAATAAAGAGAGTGCTTTTATTTCACTTTATTAATCTATGATGACGGATCCTTTAACGCCACTATCACTGACCATCACAGAGGAATAAATGGAGGGCAGATAAATAAATAATCACCAGGTGTTTGTGTTAAATACTCCATTCTGATTGGTTAAGCCCTGGAAACCCCAATTATGACGTTAATTAACTCAAAGTCAACGCCAGACACGAGCTGATGATGAACAGCATGGGAAGAAGTTTCCATTAGCATCAGAGGTAAACACTGTGGGGGAAATCGCAGTTTCCGTTAGCATGGTAGGCTAAACAATATGACGTTCTAATAGTGGATTCTAGGGCTGGGCGATACGGCCTCAAATCAATATCACAATATATTGATCAGTTCACCTCAATAACAATAAATGGACGATAACTACTCCACAAGCTGCTCACCCCCTCCTACATTAACTTTGTCTACTTCAGCCGCTCCAACTTTTGAACCGTCCTCCATCTCCTCACCTGTCTTTCACTCTTTGTTACAGACTGGATGGGGTGGAGTCACGTCTCTGATGTAGGACAGCGTCTTAAAGGGACATGAGACCATAGCCTACCTACACACATCCAAAAACAACTTTGATTTATTTATTTTTTTGACACTGAATATACCGACATGGGCAAAATGATGTCGGTTATTGTCTTAAATTTCAGTATCAGTAAATTTTCAGTTTATCGCCCAGCCCTAGACAGATCTTGTCCTGCAATCCAGGCGAGGGAGTCAACAATTTTTTTTAAATATTAAGGCGTGTCAACTGCAAACTCAGAGAAGAAGAAGAAGAAATGAATGATACTTGGAAAAGACCCGCTAACTGTTTAGTTTATTCTAAGTTAGGGTGACCATATTCTGAACCCCCAAACAGAGCAAATGACTATACAGGGGCGGAGTCACATAGTCATGCATAGTTAATTTTGAGAGTTTTTTGGGTTGGATTGGGTGTTTTATACCTGCTTCTAACTCAGAAAGTCCATGTGACACAAACTCAAACCTTCCATACAAAACCCGGACATTTGAAGGATTTTATAAACTTCCCCGGACAAGGCCGGACAAAAAGAGGAAATGTTCAGGTATTACTAGGTGCTAGCATGCTAATGATCTCACTTGACCCTTTACTGAAATGTTAACTTTGGTTTTTGCCGACTGCTGAATCAGATGAACTGTTTTTTAATCAACTAAGTCATCATTAAATCAACATTTGGTGCTGAAATATAAGAAACTTTAGCTGGTAGGTGGATAAACGAGAGAAAGCTTTTGAGACTCGGTGCGTCGAGGTCTTGCAAAAATGATGAAAAAGCATCAATATGTGAATTTCGGTCTATCTTATAAACATCACAGGAGCTTTTAGAGTATATTACTAAAAAATTAAATTTAAGGGTGGATGTGAACTGAGCAGAGACCCTCAGTTGATGCATTTAGAGGCGCTCCTGCTGACCCCCTCTGCGAAGAACAACAGGTGCAGGACTGCAGGAAGAAATCCTTCTGTTTTTATTGCATTTGCATGAGCGTTTAACGTTTAAAGACTACGTGTTGAATGCCTGCGCGCTCTGTTCACGTGTGCCAAAGAGGATTGAGTCAAGTTTGCTCTGAGTTGAGTCTAAATTCCATCAAACAGACTTAAACTCGGCCCTCTCCGACCTCATCCAGAGAGATTTTGGTTTGATAGCGTATCAGTGAAACAAAAACGCAGGTTGAGAGGACTTCTGATTAATCCGAGTCTTTTTGTTTTCTTTGAAGAGGGAACAGCAGATGTATTCAGGGACAGCCAGTGCTTGTGAGTTAGCAGGGAGTGTACACAAGTGAGCGAGAGCGAGTGCATGTGATCCCAAAGTCTGCCTAGTGGATGTATTCTTTCATCTCAATGCTCTTTATGTAATTACTACGGGGAGAAAAGTGGGATCGAGGATTTGGCTCCTGCGTCAGCAGCCACCAATCGTAGTATAATCCAGCCTTGCTTGTTCTGTCCAGATTATCAACATCTATTCCCTAATCTTATTCGCCAAACGCTGTGATGACATTCCATCTGGGGCTTGTACACAACACGGGTGCAGCAATGACAAGACAGGACAGACTGGTCAAACAACTGCTGCTGCTGCTAACCCTCCGAGCACTTCTCTGATCCTGTCTCAACAAATCCCTCTGCTGTGGGAAAACAGCAGAAAATCTCCACGCCGCACTCACACACTCTGATTAAGTAACTTAGCGCTCGTTATGCGCCACAACAGGTGAGACACTTCCTGCTTCAGGTTTCTGTTCTCCTTTAACAGACGTGGAAAGAGGAAACGGCCGCTGCGTGGACGTGTTTACAGGTTTCAGCCGCACTTCCCGTTTACTTAAAGGTTGATCATTACAAAGAGGGAGGATGAGGTTACACAGCAGAGAGAGAGAGTAGAGAAGCTCCTGTCGTTTCACCTCTTTAGTACCGAGTCTGAATAAAGAGGTAAACACACGCCCCCGCTGGCAGGACTTTGCTGATTCCTGGATAAAGCGTGTGTACAGATCCCCCCTGTGCTCCTGTCACGGGCCGACACAGGGATGGGGAGGTGCTGAAGTCAATATTTACCGCCCCACACACACACACGCAGCCCTGCAGTTGCCATGGCTGCGATTCCAAGCATTCCTCAAACCAACAAACTGCACAGATGTAGGATAGTTGCACACAGAGTTTTCTGGGCCAAAACACTGCATGCCGATCTGATGAAGAAAAAGGCGAGATTAGCAACGGCTCCGTCTCTCTGAATTATGCGGGGTGTCTGTCACTTCCTGAAAGCACTTTGGGAGAGAACCAGAGGAAAAGATGGAGGGCGGGTTCAACGGCGAGAGGGAGGAAAGGTAGAGTCCAATAAAAACATCATGTTTACCCCACTTTCCCAGAAGCCTGCAGTGTTTTGTCGGCTATAATAGGATCAGAGGCTGTGAGCCCTGATCCCTTTCACTCTGCGCTCATGTGTGTGTGTGGATTTCTCACCAGTGGGGTCCTGTTTAAAAAAGAAAGCTCAGATCACCTTTTGTTTGCCAATAGCTGCGGCTAACGTGACCTTAAAATCATATGACATCCCTGAGCTGGTTTGAGCTCAGCAGCTGGCCGCTCCATCTTAAACCCCCCGTGCTTACAGAGGAATTTTTTTTGTGTCCACGTCCAAACAACAAACAGCGCTGGCACCGAGCGAAGGTTCCTGGATTTTCTGTTATCCCCTGTTCCTAATCTGAGTATGACATACATCAAATTATTTTGGGATTGAGGCTCAGGAAGAAAGTATCTGGGCCATTTTAGATGAGCTGATGTCTTGGATTTAGCAAAATGGAAGCAGTGAAGAAAACGGAGAAAAGGACCGGAACATGGAATAAAAGATCTGACTCAGAAGATCAGATCGAAGTTCATGTACGGATGCGGAATACAAGACTTAAAGACTGTCCGCCACCTGGTGCATCCAAAGAAGAGGCATTTGAAGCGAGGTGCTAGTTCAGGCAGGCCATAAGATACATCAGCTGATCTTAACGCCTATATCAGCTGATGGATCAGATAACTACCTTCTTCGCATCCAATTTGCAAATGTCTTGTTTTCTTTTGATTCTCCAGCATCATATAGATCTTCACTTGTACCTGCTCTGTTCAGTAACCCAAGTGTCTTTGCTGCTGCTCTCCCTGCCTAAGCTTATGCCTGTCATTTACGCTCGCCATACATTTGAAAATGTATGCATCCGTTTCAAACGATGGTTCCGCCACTGCTGACAACAACAAACCATGTGTCGACTTTACGTTGGCATGATGTATGTATAGGAGGCAGAAACGGAGGTAACGTTGAAGGAGGCCGTGGTCGGTCAGGCCACTAAATGCCTCGCGGTTGGAGGATGGAGAATTCTTTTCACTAGTCGTACCGTTAAGAGAAATTGACGATGATCCTCAAAAGGCCCCGCCATTGTCTTCTTCGCTTATCTCTACAGATGCGTATTGGGAAGTGACAGCAGCAACACTGCCCCCTCGGTTTCTGGTGGTACTGCTCCATCCAGCCCGTATCCGCAAACTTCAAGGATACTCGCAGAATTATGGACGAAAAGAACGCAAAGCAAGGACGGTGAGCTCCGTGCTTCTCTGGATCCGTATGTAACGTTGAGCATAAATGAGCCTTTGGACACGTGGATGGGCAGGGAGCTTAGCGTTCATCACTCCACAGGAAAATCTAACAAGATAATATCTGAAAAAAGGACTTTTCTTTTCTTCATGCAAAGCTAAAGCTGCTTAAATACATCAAGATAGTTCACCAAATCTAGAGGAAAGTCAGCAGAGATCTGGTTGTGTTTTTAGGCAAAGACGACTCCATCTAAAGTCTGTTATAATACAGTTTTGTTTTATCTGTAAAAATAAGAAAGTAGAAGATCCGGACTGTTTTTAGCTGCATAATCAAACAAACTGATGAATAAGTTTTTAAGATTTAAGGGAGAAGATGCTTTAGATCTAATTTTGTTGACCTCAGATGGACTGTTTTCATCTGTTTGGTTTGAAAACTAAAACGTCTCGAACCTTCAGTCTCAGGGTCGCTCACATTATTCCCATATTATGTCTGTCTCTGATAACAGCGTCTGTAATGATCGACTGCAGGGCCACCTTCAACCGCAGCGCTTCATCCAAAAAAACAGAATTAAGGATGATTTCAACTGCGTATTTTCCACCCTCACTCGTCGGGACAGTCGGGGAGAGAGACAGGAAATGAGGGGAGGGAGCGAGGAATGACAGGCAGTAAATACTGACGGAGCCTGGAATCAATCCCACGACCGGTGCAGCCTCCATAAATCGGACACTCACTCCACCGATGAACCAAAACATCATCCTAAAGCCATAACTCCGACTCTGCTGATTGAGATGTCAGAGTCGGACTTTTGGTGTAGAGAATATTCTCAGTAAAATGAAAAGTTGAAGTGTTTCTCTCCCTCCCTTATCTGTTTTTTCTCTCTCCTCCACCCTCCCCATCCTCGGCGTTATGTGAAAACCCCACACAGCAAAACTCCCCACTTCCACAGGCAGCTCTGTGATTAAAAATGGAGAAGGAGCCACAGTGTGACAGCGAGACATATATTTCTTTTTACAGAGGATGTTTCTTTAGAGCTCAAACCAGCCCGGTTACATGACACCTTTCTGTCAGACAGGAGGAGACTGAGTGTACCTGTGACTGTACCTGTGAGACACACGCTGCGCCCTCATCGTATGACTTTTCAGAACGAAACAACAACCTCAGGAGCACCAGTCATACTCTCCTCCCTCTAAAACCCTCACCTCTGGGGCTGTTCCTGCCCTCCTGGTGGTTGTCCTACTTACTTCCACGCACAGAAAAGCACGGCTGACCTGATTAAACAGAGACCTTACACTCACCTCCCCAGACTGGGTGTGACGGGCCGGGCTTAGAGCAGACAGACAGAAAATATTACAGTAATTTCCTCCAGCTTAGCTCATCAAGTTTGTTGCAAAACGGCGAATAACGTCCACAAACACTGACACAACTCCTGAGACGGCAAAGATGTAAAAATAGAAACTCGTTACTTATTCTCTTTGTTATTGTTGTAAATTATTTAGAAGATTCAAAATTAGTTTATCAAGTTTTTTAAAAATCATACAGAGAAGTGTGGCGTCTGTATCGTACAATCAGAGTGCAGGTTGCGATTTCTGGATTGAAATCTAGGGTCATCTGGACGTGGGGGCGGACATGGACATGGACTGCGTGATCACCAGCTACATGCTTTTTTCCTTCTTTCCCCGACTAAAGCAGAGCGCCGGAAAGTCTAGAGAATGGCACCCAGGTTCATGATTAAATGTTCCGTTAAAAGTCAAAGTTTAACAGCTAGCTTAATTGTAATATTGCAACGTAGTTATAAAAGGTTTGAATGAATGTAAATATTTCATTGTCGCTGAAATTCATCGTCCATAATGTTTAGGCTTCTTATTAATTTAATTCAATTTATAAACTAAATAAATTAAATACCCCTTTGATTCTTTGAAAAGTCAGAGAACCATGATTTTGACCAGGTGGCGGCGCTCTCTGCGGCCCAAAAGGTCTCACGGTGCTGGGCAGGAGCTCTGGCGAATACCTCTGCATTAGCCCCGAAGCCTCCTGCTAGCTAGCCTATCACATCGCCAGCTGGTTTCTGAAATCGATCGGTAGTTTAAATAAAGATTTTAAGGTGATGTAAATTTGCTCTTGCGCAGTATGGATTGGGTTGGTAGCTATAGTAACGACTAACTGCATTGAAATACAAGGAGAAGAAGTGACGTATGTTTCGCACATGCACAGTACAAGTCGAGTTTCTGGGACGCGAAATTTATTTTTGTAGGATGGTCCCGCCCTCCTTCGCCTCTGATTAGCTAGCAGTGCTGGGCTCTGATTGGTTATTCCTAATGGCTGTGAAACATCATCGTCTGATGGGTTAGGATTAGGAGATTAAGAAGTGTGATAATGTTCTTTGATGTTCTGTTCGATGTTCTGTTCAGCTTGAGCGTGTGATGACGTTTCCAGTTTTTCTAGCCAATCAGAGGCGAAGGAGGCGGGACTTTCCCCTACTATACTACAAAAAAAATAATATCGCTTCCAGGACGAATCGGGTAGCAACAGCGTCTGCATGTGTCCAGCCAAAATAACCAACGCATGCTCCGTACTCTTCTTCTACCTATTGATACATTCCCTCTGCAGCGTTACAGCGCCACTTACTGGCTTGGCATATGCACTACATCGTTTTCAGTGGTTTCGTTTTGAAAGACGATAAAAAAACTTGTTATTGAAATGAGGTTTGTTGAAGATGTTGTCACTGAATTGAGAAAAGTATCGTGATTTTATTTTGGCTAAAATCGTGCAGACCTACTAATTATAATAAAATGTTCAGAAGAATCAATTTTCCACTCGATCACAGCAGCAAAGATCTTCTGTTTTCTCACAGCACGGTGAAAACGCCGTGTGTCGTACTCAAAAGGAGGAAAAAGTGTTAATTCCAGGCCGAGTATGAGCCAATTGTGAGGAAATAAATCTCGAAACACATGCCCTGTTTTATGGCTCAAGGTCCCTCAGCTGCTCCCTCGTCACCGCACACACAAACACTCTCTCTCTCTTTCTCTCTCTCTCTCCCTCCTGTAAGATCTGAGGCATCTGTGGCATGCACAGAAACGTGAGCGCAGTGAAGGGACCTGCGGGAGCCTGCTGCATTGTGTTGACAGTGTGTGAAGCCCACATATTGTTCCTTTGTGCTGCTTTTAATACCAAGAATGGAGCGAAGGGTTTACTGCCGCACTGGTGAAATCTGTGACTCTGCTCTCCTGACATCATCATATGCTTTCCTGTGTGCAGCCCGCTCATCTAAATATGGTCATTATGTGCAGTGAGACCGATGAGCTGTGGTCGTGTGCTCAGACAAGAAGCCGAGAGAGAGAGGAAGAGAGAGATGGCGAGAAAGAGGGAGGAGGAGAAGAAGAAGATAATCCTCAAGGGCTTTGGGCTTTCTTTATTTCCCCTCCCGAGTCTTACTCCCTCACACTCGGGCTGTTTCCCCCTCTCCGCTCGCACTTCCCTTTCCCCCATAATTTCTCCAATCCTTTCAGGAGATTTCTGGTGGGAAATGGTGGAAATAAAGGATTTCAATTCCTCTGAAGTGTCAGCCACGTGTCACACACACTTTCTGCTGCTTTCCAAATATTAGTGAACTGGTGTTCAACTCAAAAGAGGGAGGAGGGGGAAACATGCGGAGACATCAGCGTCCAAAAGCATTATGCAAACACCCGGCTGGAAACGACACAGCGCTTCAGATCTGTGGCATCACAGGGGCTCACGTTTTTAAAGCTTCGTGTTTCCTACAGTGAACTCAGACCCTTAAATTCAGCCCCTCTCATCACTTCTCGAAGAGGCAGCATTTGATCTGCTCTGGTCCGCAGAGACTCCAGAGAGCCTCATGCTTCGGTAACTGAAGGCATTCACCGTTTAACTTCTCATCTGCACAGCCAGGCAGCCAGAGAAATCCCTGCTGCTCACAAAAGATGAGGCCCAACCCTGGAGGGATATGTATATAACACACAAAAGAGCCGTTTTACAAACCAAACAAGACAGAAAAAGGCGGGATAACAAAAGAATAAGAGCGGAGAGAGGAGAGCAGGGAGAGGAGCAGGAGGAGAGGAACGTCTGAAAAGCAAAAGGACAGAATGAGTGATGATAAAAAAGAGGCAATGATGGTAAAATACAGGCCTGAGTCTCAGATGGATGATGTTGGATCAGTAGTCCAGGTCCTTGAGTTTTTATAAGAGCGGAGTCTTCTTAGTTTTCTTTTTGTATAGAAGACTTAAAGGGATATTCCGGCGTAAAATTAATTCAGGGTGAAACACACTGCAACACCGAGTTAGACACCCCCTCGAGAGATTAATGTTGCTGACCGCTTGCTTCTCTAATTATATTAACTTTAGTAACGACTGCAGGATAGCAATACAGAGAGACACACGCTCAACCAAAACGCCACTCTATAGCCACAAATAATGCTCAGAACAGCACCTAACTTCATCAACAGGACATATAGGGTCACAGACATAGTACTAGACACCAAACATCTTTTTAACTTTGACTCATTTCTTTAGCAAAGAGACTAAACACAACTCACCTACTCTCTTCCAGCAGCTGCTTGTTTGTAGTGAGACCCCGGGCTAGTATATTATGGACTACAGCGGGGTTTCGCAGCTCAAGGAAGAACATTTATGATCATTACTTCAAGGAAATACAATCAGACCGAGACGCTAAAACAGAAGAACTACCGCGTCTGCAGTGAAAATGATTAATATGGTGATTATTACTTCAGGGAAATGATAAAGAAATGATCATAAATGTTCTTCCTTGAGCTGTGTCACCCCGCTGTAGTCTGTAATGGAGTGGCCAGAGGTGTCGCTACAAACAAGCGGCTGCTGAAAAAGGGTAGGTGAGTTGTAAGGTGCTGTTCTGAGCATTATTTGTGGCTATAGAGTGGCATTTTGGTTGAGGTTTGTTTATGGCTCCTCAGACCACTGTGTATTGCTATCGTGCGGTCGTTACTAAAGTTGAACTAGTCGGCAACATTCCTCTCTCGAGGGGGTGTCTAACTCGGTGTTACTGTGTGTTTGGCCCTAACTTAATTTTACGCCGGAATATCCCTTTAATCGGTGTCAGTAAATAGGTCACCCAAGTTTAGGTACTGTAACCCAAATCTGGAAATACGAGCCAGAATGTCTCTGAATAAAACCGTGTAAACAGGTTCAAATCTTTGAAAGTGGGCCAGGTGTGCATGTGCGTGCATGTGTCTGCATGTGCGTGCATGTGTGTACATGTGCACGCTGTGGCATTCCCAGGTTTGTGCGACTGAACCCAGTCATCGTAGAGGAATGCAGAATGAGAAAAAACAGGCGAGTTTCAACTCCTCTCCCGCTCTCACAGCCCACAGCAGGAATGTACGAGGAGCAGGTAGAGACACCTTCGCCCAGGATGTTCAGATACCCACATTCACCCCCGAGCCACACATGCAACCCACCCTACCCTAACGCGTTCCCCCTCGCCGTCTGTCAGGGAGAGAGAAAGCGGCGTGGAGCAGCCACGTCAAGAGAACAAGAATGCGAGTCAAGGCTGCAGCAACACACGCTGTGGTTGTTCTTCCTGCCATGAAACAGCCCTGGCCCAGATTTCGCTTAATGCAGACACAAATTAAACACATGCTGAGGGTGTCACGCTGGGAATGATCATCAGCTGAGTCTGGCAATTCTGTCTCCAAGAACGTCTCTATTATAATCCAAAAATACACTCACTTCACTGACGAATCAGAATATACAAGTGTGGGAAAAAAATAAAAGAAGAAGAAGAAGAAGAAGAAGAGATGATCTAGTTTCACCACGAGAAACCGTTTTCATTAATGATTCATGCTGTCAGTCCTTCCCCGGTGAAAACGTCAAACATTTGCTGATTTCAGCTCGGTGAGTGAGGAGCTGCTGCTTCTCTGTCTCCTTTCTGATCGGAAAGTTGAACTTCGTGGTGCAAAATCAGCAACTTGAAGATGTTGCAGGATTTTATAGACAATGTTGATGTTATGAGCAAATCCTGCAAATGAATTTTAGATTTAAAAACCGGAACGGGCTGCATGTGTCTGTGCATGTGCAGGATCATAAATAAAGCATGCAACATTTCTATGGCTGCTCCGGCTGAAAACAAAGACACAAAGATCTCTGTGTTGGGGTCCTGCTTCCTTAGAGATAGACAAATAAGAGCGGCAGAGTAGAAAACAGAAACACCCACCAGGCTCCGCCATTAAAATTTGAAAATGTGCTCATGTCACGCTTCATCATCAAAACACAACCGCTCGCAGCCATGACATTTCCATAACAGATTGGAGGGCAGGACCCCCAACACGGGACCGATTTCCTCCATCTCTTTGAAACCACCCCTTTGTTCACTTGGCCCTGATTTCAATATTCAAATACAGCTCGGCGCTCAGCGGGGCGGGGAGCGGGACGCCGGCTAAATCAGTGGAGAGCAGAGACGGCGGCGGCGTGGCTGATTTCAGAGAGATACAGGAGGGTGTGTTCGCCAAAAGCGCTCCTGCTGGGAAGGAGGAAGGCGGCTCTGTTTCTGTTTCTCATCCAGACTCACATCAGGACAGACCGGAGTGACATATGAGGTCAGAGCTCCCGGGAGAAACAGAGATACTGTACTTCCTGCAAACTCAGTCAGAGAAGAAGAACGGCACTGACAGGTAACACAAGGAGCAATAAAAGTCAGAGTTAAGTTATGGAACAAAAAGAGGTTTTTATCTACAGCTTCAAATGTTTAATATCATCACAAACATGTAAAATCAAAGGAGGAGGAGCAGGAACATATTTCAGGATTGATGCTCTTGAACAGGCTGAGAGTGTGAGAAATAACAGCACTCGGCTAAGTAATCACTGAGTCATCACTGCTATTGTTTAGCAACCTCCCACAGTCAGTGAATATTATAGTCATTGTGAGATATGAGACAGTAAAAACATCACTTATTACTTTAGACCATTAATCTCCACTACTGTGCCGGGATGTGAGGCTGCAGCTAATGATTATTTTCATTACAGATTATCCCACCAAGTGTCGTCTTCTTCTTCTTTGTGGACTATTAACTCTGCCCAGGAAAGTTTTCCTGCACATTTAAGTTGCTTGTTTTGTCAATTGTCCTCAGAGTGTGATCAATTAAAACCAAAGCACGTTTACGGAAAGTTGCATCAGTGTTTGTTTTATCTTCTCTGCTCATCTGACACCTGTTTAACAGCTGACAATCGTGATGTAACTCCTGTTTTATAACATCAAATATCAAACTAGGGCTGTCCCAATATGATATTGAAATCGAATATCAGTCCGATATCAGCCAAAAAACAAATATCGTTTTATATCGGCCTGCATCTAAAATCTCCAATATCAGCACTCCGATACAAGCGCTGATATCAGCACTCTTGCTAGCAGCACCCAGATCCAGCATGCAGAGCCCATGTGATCACAACTATGTGTACTAATGCTTAGCATGACAAGTTTTGCACTCAGCTGCAATGTCTTTTTCGGACTGTGTGGCAATACAGCTAAAATTATTGCCACACAGCCGACATCACTTCTACTCTTCGCTACTAGTTATTTTAGCGCTTGCTTATTCTTGTCCTTGCTTATATTCAGACTAGGCAAGCGCCAAAATAACTTTCGTAGATGTAGCTATCTTGTTTCTGCCTCTGATTTTGCTTTTTGCGACTTGGTAACTATAACGTTGGTAACTCATCATTCCCAGCTCAGACTTCTGACTTCCGAGGTAACTCCAACGCAGCATAAGGTACAAACAAAGTAGCGAAGAGTAGAAGTGATGTCAGCTGTGTGGCAATCATTTTAGTTATATTGCCACACAGTTAGTCTGAAAAGACATCGCAGCTGAATGCAAAACTTCATGTACAAGTTTGTGCAAATGTCGGATCAATATCGGTATCAAAAGTAAAAAAGTTCTATCAGGACTCCCCTAATCAAAACAAAGGAATGAACACTAGGAAAAAAACTCAGCATAATGAGAAATGATAAAAGTAATCAAGATTTGGTTTTAAAAGAATTAATTTTGAGTGTAATTTCACTTTGTAGTTTGACTCATGTCTCATCTGTTTACATGGAGGCAGGCTTTTTGACCTGTACAGCTGCCAGCCAATAGAGGGAACTTATTTTGGGGAACTTTGGGCTAGATGGGCCATCCAGGGTCTACATGAAAACTTGTCATGCACAATTTTGTGCCAATATCAAATCAATACCGGTATTAAGGCTACAACATCGGTATCGGAAGTAAAAAAGTAGTATCAGGACAGGCCAAATCAAAACAAAGGAATGAACACCAGGAAAAAACCCAGCATTGGTTTTAATAGAACTTACTTTGAGTGTAATTTCACTTTGTAGTTTGACTCATGTCCCATCTGTTTACATGGAGGCAAGCTTTTTGACCTGTACAGCTGCCAGCCAGTAGAGGGAACCTATTTTAGGGAACTTTTTCATATTTTCCAAGAGTCAAAGTTAAGTCTAGCTAGGCTGTCCGAGATCTACATCAAAACTCCCACGTCAACATACACGGCAGATTCTCAGAGGATGTAGAGCCTCATGTTTAAATGAAGATGGGGGGAGGGTTGGGGGGGCAGCATGTGCTCTTCCCAGCATCTCATCATCCTGACCATCCCCGCACAGCTGCGCCTACACAAAGCCACACATAGAGGAATCTTTCTAAATGCCAAAGACGCTTTTTCCTGTCACAAGCAGCGTCCGCGGAGCGACGGGAATGAGGCTGTGAGAGCGATGGCTTTTCCACAGGGGCCACAACAGTGGGTGGATTGAGAGACGATGCGTGGCCTGTGTCACCCTGGCCCGTTCCCAGAGCAGAGGGACAGGAAGTGGCCAGGGATCCCGGGAGGATACAAGCCCCCCTCTGTTTGTCTCTATCAAACCACTATCAGATCCTTCATTCAAATGGCCAGGCCGATCTGACGGAGAGCTGGGAGGGATATGTCAGAGCGCCTCACGCATGTGTCTTTGTTATTCCGCTACTCAGTCACTGATATGAGCCGTCATTTAACATTTGAATAAACTGCAACAACTTTAACTCATCATTGAGCATCTAAAAACCTCAGAGGGAAACTTAGACACGACCATATCAAATCCAATATCAGAAAACCTTACAGGAACTTAAGTTAGGTCTGGCCCTAAAACTAAGACATGAAGCCACCGCAAAAGTGCAAAAAAACTGCAGTTTCATTAGCGAACGCCAAGAAAATTATCATTGAATTTCATGTTAAAAAAACATATTTTACATGTTCCCGACCGCTTGCTTCTCTAGTTATACCAACTTTAATAACAATCGCAGATAGCAATACACAGAGAGCCACACGCTCAACCAAAACGCCACTCTATAGCCACAAATAATGCTCAGAACAGCAGCTAACTTCATCAACAGAACATATAATGTCACAGACATAGTACTAGACACCAAACATCTTTTTAACTTTGACTCATTTCTTTAGCAAAGAGACTAAACACAACTCACCTACTCTCTTCCAGCAGCCGCTTGTTTGTAGCGAGACCTCAGGCCAGTCCGGGTGCTGCAGCTCAAGGAAGAACATTTATGATCATTACTTTATTATTTCCTTGAAGTAATAATCATCATATTAATCATTTTTCTCTGCAGACTCAGTAGTTCTTCCGCCTTAGTGTCTCAGTCTGATTGTATTTCCATGAAGAAATTATCATAAATGTTCTTCCTTGAGCTGTGGGACTCCGCTGTAGTCGATTGACTTGCCAGGAAGTCTCCATACAAAAAACAAGGTGTATTTGACCCTAACTTAATTTTATGTATATCCCTTTAATGTTAAAAAGTCATGCATGGATTTGTAGGCGTGTTGATGAGTCGGTTTGCCTGTTTTCAGACAGCAAGTAAAAAGCTGAGTCAGCGTTTTCAATATGGCGACGGCCACCATCAGACTTCAAACACCTCCTCTTGTTTATGTTTAATACAGTCTATGGCCAACCTCTTTTGTCTTTTTCCAACATCTTCTTTCTCCTCTTCAAAAAGCTGAATATTATCTCCTAAACAAACCACAACAAGAAAGCTACATTACAATGTTTTGACTTTTATCCTCGATCCCCACTGTGATGCGCATAAGACCCTTTATTACAGTTAAAAGGCTGTCGTGGATTTGGGTTTCAGTGGCTGACAAAGTGACGCCTGACACAAAACTAGGCCACACCGCTACATAAAACCCGAACAGTGAGAGACAGACAGATAAAACGCACGGTGGGATAGGAGCGATGCGAGTCAGGGACAATGAGTGAGAGAACAGGTGGCACCGGCATTCCCATGCTCAGCCGTATGCCCTTGAAAGTAGCCGGGCACTAATTAGCACCAAATCTGGGCCAGAGCGACAGAAGTTTAGTATCTGCCACATGAAATATTCAGAGGCCTTTGTCAGCGGGACGCCGTCACAAATCTCATGCCCCTCTTTGGTGAGTACACTCCCTCGCTTTCTCATCAGACATCTCGTTGGCACACAAAAGGAGGGGTTGATTCTGGCATTAGACGAGTGTTTTGTTTGTTAAGTGCTCGGAAAGCAAAAGGGAATTGTGTTGTTTCAACAAAGAAGAGGATACTACTACTACTACGACAGCTACTGCGGCTGCTGCTACTACCCCACTCAGGACTTTGTGCAGCATCCTTTTTTCTGTCCAATAAGCTGTTTCCTCTTTATAGTATCACCAACAATTACAATATGTCCTCAAAGCTCAATGCCAATTAATCCTCATCTGACCCTAAAGGAAAGTGGGACACTCTCCGCTGCACCAAATGATGAACTCAGCAAACCTCCAGCTACAGTCCGCAGCTGCTCATTTCACTTGAGTGCTCTAAAAGCAGAGGGAAACACACACACACACATGTCAAAAAGCTTGGCTGGCATGCTTGAGAAACAGGTCCCTCTGTAGACCGCCCTTAAATAGTTCCCTTCCTCTTTCTTGAATAGGTGCACAAAGGCAAATTTTGAGAAGCGACTTGTCTTAAAGCGGCCGATTCTCCAGGAAACAAGCGGCTCATTGATGCCCCGGCTCAGTGTATCACCCTGACAGACAGACCACTCCAGTATACAGGGCGGACAAAGGGGCCAGTCCACAGCCACGTTGCCAATTAGGAGGAATTTCAGCCTCAAGAGCCACTTTCCACCAATCTCATTGGAGCTGACATAAACATCTACGGCTTTCACTGGAGGGCATTCATGAGATTCCAAGGAGCATTAGGTTCACCCCGTGGAGCCTGAAATCTGCCAGTTAGGAAAAGTACAATGCTCCATCTCGCACCACTTTGGGAAACGTTCCCCGCTCTCTGCGTGGATGTGTTGCCAGGTTGAAAAATGCTCGCTAGCTAAGGCTTGGCGATAAATCGAATTGGGCGATTTGGGCGTCTTAAAACCATGAAAACTAAACAGACAAGGTTGGTGATCAGATTCAGAGTTGGGTTTATCCCCAAGCTGGTTTACACAGACGAGGAATTTTTCTTGGTGTTTTGTCGCTAAAACAATGAGGATACTTTATCGGTATGATATCGGTATCTGCAGAAATAACTATCAGCAAAGAATTTATGTGTGCATCAGATGATTCAGGTGAAAACTTAAGGTGTGTATCGGTTTTGATATCAGTTCAAAGGTGTTTGCATATCAGATATCTGCGAAAATCCGATATCGGCCATGAAAACAATGAGCACAAAACAATAGACGTAAAAATAGTAATACATAAAATTAAAGACAGACTGAGCTAGCTGCTGTTTTGTGCAATAATATTGTGCAGACCAGTCAGGGTTGATATCGGCATTTAACTGATATCTGTATTGACCTTCCTTTTATCAATAGCTCATAAAATTAAAGCTCCTGTGAAAGATTTTTGGCTCGTACCAGTTTTGGCGCCCCCTGTGGACAAAGCAGTCTTCTACACTTGACTTCAGTAGAGTCATTTGACAGAAAAACAACATATTTAACGTGGCTGACACCAGTTTATAAAACGACAGCATAAATAGTTAATTGTATCTCTGTTGGTCCTGTTTGCTTTTGTATGTCATAACAAGACATCAATATGAATTTTCAACTTCAAAAAACTCCTCACAGGAGCTTTAATTTGATCTGTTTTTTTAAATTTGTGTCTTTTGTTGGAGTTTGTTGAATTAAAAATTCTAAATTTTGATGGAAAGTTTAGCATTTTTACTGTATTTTACTGTAAAATGCCCAAACACTTCTCTGTAAAGACCAGCTCCTCCTCTCCTCCTCATCAGATCGGCACGCAACAAAATCTGGCACGGCAAAGAAGTTGCAGATGCCAGAAAATGTGCTAAGTGGGGACTGCTACATCTTCAACATGTTGTGCTAACACGGTAAAAACCATCATGCAGCCACAGATGGAGAGAGGAGAGCTGTGTACTGATGCAAAAGAGGAGGTGTGTGTTAGTAAAGCAGAGGAACAGAGTGAGCATGAGGAGAGAGGCTGCAGATGCTTCCAGATCAACCATATGAGCATCATTTAAAATACCTGTGGTTGTTATTTTTGCCATTATCGAGCCGCTCTACAAATATCCTGCTGAAACTGGACACACTTTGTAACGATGGGAGTATTTATCATGACCTCTTAAAGTGAATTAAGCAGGATGTACGATTAAAAAAAAAGAGAGCAGCGAGCAAAAGCGGCCTCGGGTGTTTACACGCAACATGGCTTCATCCCCAGGGTTGGTTTGCATGTCATTGGCCCAATCTAAAACCACAGGATACTGAATCCATCGGATAAAATATGTTTGTGCTCCACTGCTGCCAAACAGTTTAATTCCTCCAGGAAATATTAAAAAAACACAGGAGCAAAAATCTGTGGAGGATTAGTCTAATGCATTACTGATAATCAAATGTGATAGCAGTTTTATTTCATTAAAAAATTACTGCTGCCCCTCTGAACTACGTCTGCGGTGACGTGGTTCAGATTTCAGAGAGGATTACAGACACAGGCAGCAAAAACAAGCAGGAATTTCGCTGCAGGTTTATGCACAATATTTAGGTTTGAGGCAGATCAGAAAGAGGGCGTCAGTGTGTGCGTGCGTGTTTTATCTCGGGTGTCATGATGAGTAAAGTGCCATAATTTGACGCCGAGCACAAAGTGACAGAATGAACTTTAAGTGCCGCAGAGTAAATCTGGTCTAGACGGTAAATCAGGTCTAATTTCTTTCGATGGGTGACAGTTAGCAGATCTGTGCAGTGATCCTGGATCTGCAGTCTGGGTGGGAGAGTCTGGGCTTGTGTGTGTACAGTATCTACAGGAGGAAAATGGGCAGATTGGGCTTCTACCCTCAGATTTGAGTCTTTCTTATTATTAGTTACCACCACATTTGAGTCAATATTTGGGCCTTTGAGTCACGTTGAGTGGGAGAGACTAATCCTAAGCATATGACAGCGTATCTTGCAAGTGTGTGGGATCATGAAGAGAGGAAGGAAAGCCTGTGGTACTCCAAAAATGAAGAAGCTGAAGTATTTTTGGAAACTCTGAAGTCTTGTCACATGTACAGGTAAATCAGGTAGTTTCACTTTGACGAGAAGTCTGATCTCATATGAAAGCAAAAGGTAAAACTGATCCAGACTAGAGATTGTGTGGTGCAACTGAAATCAAAGACTGCAGGTTAGTCTCTTTGGCTGACATGGGTGCAGTCTGTGATTTATGAGACTTACAAAGTGAGAAAATGACAGTGTGGCCTCTCTCTAATGAGCCTTATTAACAAAAGAAATTAAAAAGCAGATATTTCCCATTAAGAGGAGGGGATTGGGGGTAAATTAGGTCAGGAAAAAGCGATTTAAGATGTAAAAGAGAGGGTAAAGTAGAGCTTATGTCCATCTGGAAAAACACAGCAGTCATTTCTTCTCTTCTGGGATCAAACCCCTCATTTATTTTTAATTAACCTCTGTCTCTGTCTGCCTTTCTCTCTGTCTATTACTGTATTAACCCGCACTGGAATAACAAGTTGAGGCTACTCACCCTGACGCGCAGGCTACCGTAGGTTTGGCGTCGTCGCTCTCCTGCCGATCAGAGAGGCAGATATCACATCAAACACTTCATGAACCGATCAGAGAGAAACCAAAAACGGAAAAAAGCGCACAGATCCGGAAATCTTCCGAAGCAGCAGCAGCAGCAGCAGCAGAGACAGATCGGTGCCAAAAACAAGCGATCAGGGATCCCATTCAGCTGGAGGGACGGCCCGGGGAGGTCATGACGAGGAAACCCTCCGAGATAAAACTCTTTTTGTTTCTCATTCACATGTGAGATCGAGATTGGAGGCAGTAAGATCCGTGCGCTCGAGTCGCCCTTAATGAACGCGAACCGAGCGTTACGCGTGGCAGCAGCCCGACGCACAGCTCCAGTGCGGGATCACCAAATCATGACCAAAACACTGTGATGTGATATGAGAGACAGGGGCGGGGGCGGGGCGTCCGGCGTGCACTCGGGATCTGATTGGTGGATGCGTTTCATGCTCAATCGAGCCCAGATTTAGATGAATGGCGTTACATGGGAAGTCCCTCCTCACCTGGGGGCGCGTGCAGGTTCAAACGTGGCTCAGTGACCATAAAGATAATAACAGAGAGGCTTATGGGTATGTTCACGCCAGGTGTGTTCTCAATAAAGCCTCAAATATCAGTATTTAGAGTCACAGGTCAGAAGTCTGACTCTTTTCCTTACCTTTAAATCTGCACATGTATTTATAATTTAATTTAAAACTATTTTAAAAAGACTTTTATTCACCATGAAGACTAAATTCTTTGGTGTCTCAGGACAAAAGAAACGAAAATCAGTCAAATTTGGGTTGAATGAAGGAGAGAATACATTATGTCAAGCTTTGGTGACACAATGCTGCCACCTACTGTTAAAATCTGGTAACATGTCTAGGATAGTGTAGCAGAAGTGGGATATGGAGGCCTGCACTTGCATATAGTGATGGGCACAGCAGTTCTTTCTAGACCTTCAAAATTCACCAAGAAATGGGCAAGGTAAGACTCGAACCTATGACCTCAGGAGTCCCAGTCAGTGTTCTTATCCCCTGAGCCACTTGGACACACAGGATTATACCATTTGTTTCCTCTTTCAATTTCCTGTCTAGACACTAGACTTCAAAATTCACCTTTTATGTTTTAAATGTACTGTCCTATGGTATGCTATTTAACAGGTCTGCTCGGTAAATTGGACTCAGTGAGTGATTCGTTCACTGAACCTTTAGAAGAATTCACACTGAACGTGAACCGTTCCCTCGCAAACCGCTGCAATGATAGGATGCTGCGGGTTTAATGCACTACTTGTTACATGCTGTGTCCTGTTGTATGCGAGTTGTTTTGGTGACAATTTAGCAGTAAAAAAAAAAAAAAAGGTAGTGTTGTCCGACAAAAATGATTTCAAAGAGTTCAGTTCAACACGTGATTCGTTCACCAAGTGCTTCAGGCGTCGGTCCATGTGGTCCTTCCTTTGCCGGCTGCTGGCCTGACAGTGCTGTTTCTCACTTCAGCTCAACTAAAGCAAGAAACGAACAAATTTCCTAAGGAGGTGATTCGGTTCAGTATGTTCACTTAAAAGATTCAGTTCTTTTGAACGAATCGTTTGTAGTAGCGCCTCCCAGAGGGCATAAGAGAAAAGTCTGATGTGTGATTAATGATGCATCAGATAATGGCGTGCAGCTAAAAACTCAAAATGCAAACAGATTTTTAAAGACGACTCCATGACGTGGTCATATTTATGTTTTGTTATACAGCTGTGTTAAATACTTGTCTCTGATTGGTGGATACTCCATAGCAACAGTCTGTTATTCCCCAGATCAGTCTTTTCTCCACTCTGAAAGGTTTTCTCCCCTCTTAGCACAGCCTGCTAAATTTACATTTACAATTTTTCTTTATACTTCATTGCATCAGCTAACAAACTGGGGTCCAGACTCCCCTGAAGATGGCGCCAGAGTCATCTGGAGGGGTGCAATACTCTGTCTACAATGAGGTTGTCAAAATTAAGCTGGTATATGATCACTCTACCGGAGCAACCAGTAGGACTTAAGTCTGGTGGTGCTGGAAGGTTGGTGGTTCAAGTCCCCCCTATCCTGAGTCTGTCCGTTGTGTCCTTGGGCAAGACACTTAACCCACCTTGCTCCCAGTGTGTGTCCTCCACTGGTATATGAAGGTGTGACTGTGTGAGCGAATGAATGATGTATCCAATGTAAAGCGCTTTGAGGGTCTCTGATAAAGCGTTATATGAAATCTGATGCATTAATTAATTAATTAGCTTTTCTGGAGTTAGTCTAAACCACTTTGATGAAGTTAACCTGCAGACTCTTAGATCCTGTTTTTCTCTGTGTTCGATCAGGATGTGCTGTGACTCCATATGTGCCGCCTGTCCTCTCTGTGACTCTCTGCCGAGTGCGGACTCAAGTTTTGTTCAAATTAATTATCAAGTTTAAAGTCAGTGAAAGTCAAGACACAATAAAACAGACAGATTTCAGTTTAAATCCACTTTAAGGAGAGAAATAATAATAATTATAAACAGCTATAGACAGCAACTGCAGTAATTACAGGCACGACAATTCTATCTCCATGTCCAAACCGAGTCATAAAATTGCATATGGAACCTTGAGGAGCAGAGAAGGACGACCTCTGCGTCGTGATTCATGAGTAGAACATGATTTCCAGAGTTCGCACGGTCATTTAGGAAATAATCAGCGGATTAATGTTCACATTTCAGCCTCGACAGAAGTTTAATTTCATGTTGGGACTCAGTAAAAGCAGAGAGCTTAAGAGACAGATCGGCTCCCAGGAGTGTGTGGCTTAAACAGACGCATTAAAACATTCGGATATATAAACGCTGAGAGTGTTTGTGCTCTTTCTCTCGTAGAATAACTCCTCTCACATGTCTCAATAACAGTGTATGTAATATAAGACTGTCTTAATACTTCAGATGATTGTTTTGCATGAATACTTAATGAGTTTTTATTGTAATGTTTGTTTTATCCAGAGAAAATGACCTTTTAATGGCCTGTATGTTTGTAATCTAATCCCTCTAATCCTTTATTCCTTTTTGTTCATTTGTATCCAAAAGTTCACTGCTACACTGAATGGCTGCATTTCTGGGAATAAATTAAAATCCTTTTAACCTTTTTATCTACTTTAAAGAGATTTCTCTCCACCCGTCTGTCTGTTTCCTCTCTCTGTTTTGTCTTTGTCCTCCATCCGCCTCAGTCGTCCATGTCTCTGTTGTCAGACGAGCCGATAGGAAACAGCATGTCGCTGTCTAAGGAGAGGTTGCTGCCCAGGCCGGCCATGCGGCTGCGCAGCAGGAAGTGAGTCCTCCTCTGCAGCAGCCGCTGCTGCTCCTGCTTCAGCTCCATGTAGGAGCGCGAGAAGGTGTGGAAGATGGAGGTGACGGGGAACGCCATGAGGAGGATCCCGCTCAGGATGCTGCTCAGAGCCACCACCTGTCCCGGGATGCTCCTGGGCACCATGTCCCCGTACCCCACTGTTGTCATGGTGATGACAGCCCACCAGTATGTCGCAGGGATGCTGGTGAACTCCTGCGTGGAGGCTACTTCATTCTCTATCAGGTACAGCAGCGGGGAGTAGAGAGCGATGGCCACGCAGAGAAAGAGGAGGAGAAGTCCGAACTCCCGTGTGCAGCGGCGTGCGGTCAGACCCAGAGTCTGCAGGCCCAGAGAGTGACGGGCCAGACGCATCACGTAGAGGATCCTCAGAGCTCTGAGCACGCGCAGCACCAAACCCACTTTGTCCAAGTAGCTGCTGCCCGAGCCGAGACGCTTCTCGCCTTTGGAGGTGCTGTCCACCACCAGGGTGATGTAGTACGGCAGGATGGCCACCACGTCGATCAGGTTCAGGGGCTGACGGAGGAACGTCAGCTTACTGCGGTCCTGGATGAAGCGAAGGGAGAACTCCAGGGAGAACCAGGCCACACACACCGTCTCTACGATGAAGATGTTGTAGCACATCTGGGAACAAATGCCCTGGTGGGGAAGAAAGGAGGAACCAATTTAATCAGACAATCAGACTTCTGTTTGTCCCGTTAAAGTAACTCGCCTCAGTCTTTTATGATCAAATAATAAATATTGAACTGTAAAAAGGCATGTTGTCCTGCAGCTCGTGTGTGTTTAGTTGATTTATATCTTATGAAAGAGGATCAGACTCTAAAAGAGTTTTCTTATTCTGCTCTTTTTTATTCACGTTTGAGATTTTTCCTTGTTTGTATTGAATATTTTAGATATAAACTGAATTAAATAAAGTATGAAAATGAAAAATGCTTGGAAGGATGAAGTTGGTCGGAGCGGTTTAAACAGAACGACCATTTTGACATTTGCCAGCTGGGTGTGTCAGCTGAGCTGTCAGCCGGAGTTAAGATCAGCTGCTGTTCTGTTGGCTGAGCTTTACTCAAGCTTGACCTGCCTGAACTAACACTATGCACAGTCAGAGTGAGCACAGAGGTGTAGGTGGAGTCTGCGGTCACTAGAGGGAACCGTTTCTATTTGAAATCCAGGACCTGAATAGAGAGAAGCTGCAGCGTTGAACATGTGTGACTCATTTTGAGGATAAAACCTGTGTCCACCATGAAGACATGATCCTCCTCCTGCTTTTCAAACACAAATCACTTCCTCTGAACTTCTCCATGATGACTGTTTTGCAGCTCTTAGTAAAGGTGGATGATTTTCTTAAACGCGGTAATGACGCCGCTCCGGTGCGTGGCTGAAAAGGTTCAAAGCTTTTTTAAATCTCAGTCCACGTCGGTTTCTAAATATTACGAAACTCACTCCCACAGAGGAGGAGATGGTTCGAGTGGAGCCATAAAAGCACCTGAAAACTCAGCAGCTCTCACTCAGAGACAGGAACTGTGTGAGTACAACACTTCTTTTTTTTTACAGGATGCTTTAAGTCTGAGGTGAGGAGAGACGTGATCACTGACACTTTTAATTAAACAAACCTGAGTGTGAAAACAAAGGAGGTGTGCTCAGCTGCTCCTCTGACTTTATCAGATCCAGAGCAGTCTTATACTCCTCTAATTTGACTTGAACTTTTAATCTGTTTAGTTCACACGACAGGAAATCAAAGTAGACTATCTGTATCTTGAAAATGTAAAGCTTTGATTTCAAGTAAAAATTGAAAACCACTTCTATCTTTTTCTTCAAAAACCAAAAAGGCTCCAATTTGCAGAGAGTAGATTTTGATCAAAGAGAAATCAGTGAGTTTATTAAAAACCTGTCTGCACGTCACTCTGCAGCTGAAATATTACATTTCCCTTCATTGGACTTAAACAGAGCAGAGTGCGAATCACGGCTGTGATGGATTCAGACATAATAATGAAAGCATTTCAGTCTGAGGGGTCTTCAATGTTTTTTTTTACTAATCTGGTGAAACAAACGTCTCTTCCTCGCCGTGAGGCCGTGACGGATCAGACATGCCTTTATTAGAATTTTTAATGACTGCTTTTCAAAAATTACACGTCAGCTCGTCTTTTGAAAACACTAATCTAAACACAGCGAGGGGTTCACGTGTTCAGTGTCGAAGCTCAGAAACAAACTGTACGCTGCAGAGGAAGTGATGTAATCGTGGTCGATGAAGACTAGTCTGGATTTGAATTTTTTAACTTTTTTATTTCTGATTTATTTCTCCATGAATTTATTATTTAATTCCCATGAATATTTTGAGTATTTTCACTTAAATTTTCCACATTTTTTTCTCATTAATTAACTTATTTTTTTTCTGACTGTTTTGTCCTGAAAATATGGAGAACTTTATTTTGGAAATCTCTTTTTCTTCCTCTCAGTTTGGCCCTGATTCTCAGTTGTAATTTTGTAATAGACTTGTTGACGTTGTGATTACTTTCGCAGGCTGTTTCCCCCTGCTGGTCATTACAAGTAATGCACATTTAAAGAGATATTCCGGAGTAAAGTTAAGTTAGGGTCAAACACACCGTAACACCGAGCTTTTATATATTCACACTTAATTACTCTTTTTTTTTTCACTTTACACTTGGAGAAAAAAGTCAAAATGTTCGGAATAGAGTTGAGAAAAAAGTTGCCTGTTTCAACTTTAAACGTTGTTTAAACGCTGTTTCAGCTTTTCTTATTTTTCACATTTTGTCAGATAATAAAAGATATTTTTCTTTTCTTCTAACATCTTTTCTCATCCCTCGTCTGTTCCCTCTAATTTAAAGTCTAAGATTTCATTTTTGGTCAAAACTCCCTTTTTTCTTCGATCTCACCGACCTTCAAACCGTTTGTCAGCCTGTGACTAACTTTTTCCCTCCCTGCGGTTGAAATGTCATGAGTCAACTCACCGCCTCCTCCTCCTCCCTCATGGCAGGCATGGTGCTGATAGACAGGTTGATGGCGGTGACGGTGACGAACAGCACTGACAGACAGGCGAAGATCTTCCCCGGCAGGCCCGAGTGCGGCCTCTCCACCATGTCTCTCAGTTTGCTCATGCAGTGACTTAACCTGGACTCCTGCTCCTTGTGACCGCTGTCCGAGTCCTCCAGCAGCTCCTCCTCCTCCGCCCTCTCCATCGCCTCGAACTCCTCCATACGCTGCAGCAGACGCCGGCGGCAGCACCACTCCAGGCTCTCCTCGGGGACGCCCCAGTACAGCAGCTCCTCCCTGAAGGAGAGGGCGCACATCTCTCTGAGGGAGCGCAGCTTCCCCGCACGCAGGAAGGTCAGGATGGTCCTGAAGGCACAGGGGCTGCGGTCGAAGAAGAACTCGTTGTGGGCGACATCGTAGTCGTCGCAGATTCCCATGATCTCATCGAAGCTGCTGCAGAGGTGCAGCTGACCCAGGCGGGACAGGGGGAAGTCCTCCAAGGTGGTCCACGGGAGCTGATACCGTAGACCGCCCACGTTGATGATAGCGTGGAGTTTCCGGGCGCTGGACAGAAGGGCGTCATCGTGAGCGGTGCCGACCTCGGGGACCCGCTGCGCCCTCTTGTAGAAGGCTCCTTTCTGGGCCTCCTTCTCCTGCAGGGGCGGGGCGTTGAGGGAGTTATCGGAGGCGCAGCTCAGGGCGCTGTAGTCATAGTCGGAGCCATCGCCCGCCAGCAGGGTCATCTTTACTGTCTGCTCACATCCCTGAGGTCAACCTGTCACCATCACACCACACCTTCAGAGACAAAACAGAGAGACGTCACCTCATTTAACCTTGATGACATTTGATAATATCATGATATCGCTGTGTTTTGTTGTGTCTGTGGAGTCAACATTTTTACATTTTGGACCATAAACAAAGCCATTCTTTGCCTCCCCCAGCCTGATTGGTTGTAAGGTAGATGCTGCCCCCTTGTGTTGTGAGACACGCTCCACGTCCTCAAATAACGTTCCCAAACAAAGTTAGCGTGCTACAATATCGGACAGTAGAAACCAACCAGAAAGTTCGGAAAATTGTCTGAATCCTCCTTTGGCCACGGCTGCCGACACAAGCAAGAAAACAAAGTAAATACCGGAGACTCTGGAGGAATAACGGGCGCTTAAAACGGAGGTAGACCGGACAAGAGCTAAAAAGCCGGGTCAACATAAACGATGGGGGACGCTTGGGGATCTTGGTGACCCTGTAACCTTTCTGCTGGACAGGTAAACCGCTTTAACAAAGTAAGACAAGTGTCTGTAACAGAAGTGTTTCTTGTCAAACGGACCTGCTGTAGCGTGTTGTAGCGCCATCGCTAAACTGTCCTCCCTCGGGTCCTGGACTATGTCACTTTATCCTAGTTGTAGAAGTCCTGCAAACATTGTGTTTGCTGGTAGTCTGTTAGCATCTACAGTAGCACCAATGCTTTTGACTTTCACATCGACTGGGCCCCATTTGTAATGATCTGAAGTATTTATCTAAGAACTTGTTGGGACGAGTAGAGTTTACATTCAAGATTTCTCCCAAAACTGGCACTTCCTCAGATCCTGACTACCCCACCTTTAATGCCAAGTGTTGGAGGAGAGATTGCCTCATCAGACAGCAGTTTATCATGCTTTTATTTTGAAATGAAATCCACTCTACTTTCAGTAAATAATGAGAACGAAAACAGCATGTTTGAGACTAAATCCAGACTCGGCTCAAAGGGAATTCAGAAGTTAAGCTTCAGTAAATCTGTCTCTTCAGATCCAAACATCCACAGTGGTTCCCCTTTCACCTGAGCATGAGTAACACCAGCATTCATCATTACAGCAGCAGGAAGCTCGTATATCATTTGCATTTTAATTCTAATATCCACTTGTCGTTATACAAAGTCGCTGCCCTATGCAAACAAGCCCACTCACTCACTCACTCGCTCACTGAGCGAATATAATGAGACCATCAGACCTCATACAGGCGGTTCAGTCGAGCCTCTAAATCCTCAGTTTGACGACAAAAGATGAAACTCTCCTGATAAGTACAAAACTGTTAGGAGCAAGAATCCATCTTAGACAATGTCACGTGTTTTTTGGTGTAAACAGGTCCTGGGTTTTTATTTTGAAGGCCGGTTTTGCCTGTTAGCTAAAGAGAAACTACATAACTAGATAAACAGGAAGTGTGGCGAGGCAGCTCTGTTAGTTAATGAACGGCATTCATCACATTGTTCAGCTTACGGCTATAGAGAGAGAACGCGGGACGAGGAGTTAGCTTTGATTGCATTTACTCACTAGATTAGCGTCTGTTAAACGAGGCCTGTTACCCTCGAGTTTGTGATTTTGCACCTTCCTCAGTTGACGAATAAAAGTTCTTTATTTCCCGGCGCATTTGCACCCGCGTCCTCTCTCCTCTGATCTATCTCCACTCGACTGGACGGCCTGTCTCCATGTTGTTTGGATGCTGATGTCTCTTGAAAATGAGATCCTGCCCCCCAACGAGATTACCTGTCTGAATAAAGGTTAAATAAATTAGAAAAAGACAAAGACTGCTGAAACTCTTCTGTACGTCTCCAGCGTACGACGTCCCACGAGGGCGCTAAATGAAAATTGAATTAATCAAATGAAATTAACCTTTATCCGCAAACTGCATGTCTGAGCCATCATCTTGGCAGCATGAATCTGTCATTCAGGCATCATTAGACACCATCAGAGATGTTGTTACTGCGGGCACTGAGGGAGAAATGTCTCACTCCCAACTGTGCACATGAACATCTGTTACCCGCAGCAGACCGGCTTGTTGATGTTATCGTTTCTGATGTCGGATAATTCACTGATTTAGCTGCTTTGTGCACAAATTGAGTTTTTAACTGCCACACTCAAAAAAAATCTGTGTGCGCACGGTGTAAAATAAATCCTCCCTAACAGCTGCACTGGGCGGATTTTAAGACGCACTAATTTTAGTCTGGTGCAGATGTGTTTTCTGACTCACAGTCGCAGTGTTAGTTCGACATGCGGTATTTTTACAGCTTCTTCTGGCTATTCAGATCTTATGAAAGCACAAGAGCGGATCAATAAATGAGAGAAAGGAGAATATTGCTGAGAGGAGAAACTGTTTACTGGATATCACCGGTGCAGCGCCGACCTCGTGGCCTGTGTCCAAACTAATTTAATCAATTACAGTTATTACGGAGGAGGCACGTTAGCCAGTCAGGAATTAAAATGTCACTGCCTGGATTTGCTGCACCACCAATTTCTGGGTCAGGAAGGAGGCCCCGGCTTCTAAAACGGGGATGTGAGTGTGTCACTGAACGGTTATTAGGCACCTGTGCTGTCAGCCTCAGTGAGCCGCTGATTACAGTCAGCAACAGCTTCCACCCATGAAATTAGACCGAGCCAACCAGAGCTCGCTTACTATGACTCTGACACTAACCATGGCTGTGTTAACCTCCACTACCCCTTCATTTCTTCGCCTCTTTTAGGTCATTGTTAGATAGTTCTTTTATGAAACAGATCAAAAAGGCGGCCCCACTCTTTGACTTCTCTTCACAGGTCTCACAGGGTGAACGTTTTAGCTGTTTATAACATTTTCTAGTCAACAATGTTCTGATTTGATTTACCAAAAACACCATAAATTCTACCTGGATGTTGTCTGAGGATGAAAACTGGTCCAGATGGATGCAGAGGTGGAAAAACACCAAAAACTGGTGAGCGCACCAGAAGAACCTGTGATGGTACAGTACGCAAATGATCCAGTACTGACCCCTATTAATTCTCGTCGTTGATGGCAACTTTCGCAGTACCCCAATTCCTACTGGATCCGTTTGTGAGATGAATTTTGTGGCGGATGACGGACAGCAGGAATCACGAGAACTCACAAGAACCCGTGAATTCATGTGCAATTGCCCGATAACAAGTCTTGTCAAGTTGCCACATAGGCTAACCATATCAGCAGTAGATTGTGTCCTTCCAGAGGAGGAAATCTACTTCTAGACTTCTAGAATCAGCATCTCCTCATCCATGGTGTCATCGGGGTGAAATGACGTCTAAAAACCTTTCACTTGTTGCATGGTGTGAAATACGATCCGCCTGAACACAGTGTTTTATTTTGAAAAGAAGCCGGATGTTTTATTGTGTCTGACTTCCTTTCCAGCACGGGTTAATCTGTGCTGAATTTATCCGCCATGCTCCAGGGTCCGGAAAAAATAGAACTCTTGCAATCAGCTGTGGAGTCCAGTGATCCGCAGAGGAACGGAAAGAAGTCGGTGGAAATCAACATGTTAACTTGAATGGTTACGATCAGCTACGATTGGCAGATACGGCTTTTTTGTAGCCGTTCCGGATGCAGTGGAAATTGGGGGTTAGGGTCATGCTTACTACTGCTCAGCTCGTTTTTTTATAACCTCACGTTTATACATGTTTTTTTTCCCTGTACAGTACAGTTTTGACCTACATTTACAAATTCTGCAACTAACTATGACGTGGCGTTCAAAGACGTGGATTTTGGATTCGACTCGTGATTTCTATTACAGAGCCATGTCTGTTTTTAATGTGGCACCACCTGTGAACTCAAAGATCACGGTCATCCAGTCTCCAGATTCTTCAAATCTTTTATAAGTACGGTAGACGATGAAATCACTCAGTTGAAGGATATTAAATTCTGGTGGTCCTGTGTTCTGGTGGTACATTTCTTTAAATTTGACATGAAACCATCTCCAAACTGTGTAAAATCCCTCCTTGCTGCTGCTACAAATGCGTTCGTTCTCACATTCCCCCTCCATGTGGCGGAGGTTATCGATACGCCTACAGTGCATCATCAGTGTGGATATGCACAGGCCTACGCCGCCGCTCTCCTACCAGATTAAATCACACTTAACCCCTCGAGGCTGTTTGATTTCTCACTTTGCCTTTAAAAGCGATTGTGCTTTTGCTTCTCCACAGTCACTGTTGTTTTTTCTTCTCTGTCAAACATGTGTTTTTATTTTCTGCGCTCCGTTGAGCCTCAGATGCTTCCTCTGGAGGGACGAAGTCTATCTCGGAAAGGGAGAGAGATGAAACGCTGCAAAGACAGAGGAGGCTGTTCTCCCCAGCAGATCGGCTGAGGTCTGGCCTCTCTCTGTGCCAGCGTGATCACAGCTCAGCCACAGGGCATGTTCTCCAGATTGCCTGGTGACTCACTGGGCTGTGAGTCTCTGCTGCCTGACTGCATTGTGCATGTGTTTCCCACTGCGCTCTTCTCCAGAGTCTTTAAAGAAAGCTTCACCGCTGCCAATATGGATTTACATGATCTTAATGAGCTTGATAACGATCAGAAACACCGGGAGGTCAAAGCCCAGGATTTTCTCACAGGTCATGAAGTCGTCTAGGAGTTAAAAAAAAAAACATGATTTTGTTATTTAGTTTTGATCGAACTGAGAAGAAATTCAAGCAACATTTCTGCTCAGATTGGAGATTTTTATTGATTTTGATCTTATTAATATGCAGGAACAAATAGGAGTCTAAAAATACATGTGAAAAAGCCGGATAATAAGATGCATACAGATATTGTTTCAAAACATGCTCGCCAAAACCGAATAATAAGAGTCCATTTTTATGCGCTTCACCAAGATGTGCCGCCTGAAACCCTGCCGCTGCGATCTTCTCAAAATAGAGCAAACAAAGAGTTGCTTTGGCAGGATGTTTTAATAACCTCCATTACAAAAGTCTCAATTCAAAGTTGTCTCAGTACACGCTGTTGTACTTATTCGATATCGTTGACCTCGTCTCTCTACTGGGCTGCAGCCGTCTATTAACCTCAGTTAATTAAACCTCATGTCTACGTTCACATCGCAGGTTATGATGCACAATTCGGATTTTTTGTTAAATCCGATTTTTTTGTGCGTTCGTTCACTTTACAACAAGGAATGCGGCATCTGATGTGAACGGAATGTGTCCGTGAAGTGACCTGCATGCGCTCAAAGCGCAAATTGTTTTCCGCGCCTGTTTGTGTCGTCGAACAATGGTGACGTTTGTCGCATATTGATGACGTATCGGTCGGATGAACGCAACCTGAGCATCTGATTTATACCCACATACTAAAGAGGCCTGGGTCGGATTGAAATAATCAGAATTGCACTGTTCACACTTACATGAAAAAATCAGATATGAGTCACATATGGTTAAAAAATCGTAATTGACCTGCAGTGTGAACATCGCCTCCCTCCACTTATACTTTGGTTTAAGGGAAATTCACGTTTACATTTACGTTCTCTCTTCATCTGTTAAGGTTTTGTTTACATCCGAGTTTCCTAGCAACACATTTGCGCTATCCAGTTTCCAGTTTGAAGCCCTCTACTTGCTGTGTTAGCCCGGCTACCTGGAGTTCGACGATGTGCGATTTCAGTTGGACTAAAATCGATTATTTGAAAAACATGGATTTAAGCCTGGTGCAGCAACTACATCTACTAGCTAAATCTCTGGGATTTATGGATTATATCTGCATTAAAGTTTCCTCAGAAGTCAGATGTCGGAGCTGAAAATGCATCACACCCGAGTTCCCAGTGTTTCAGTTACCAATTCAGAAAAAAGCAAAATCACAGGCGTAAACAAGATGACTACATCTACGAGAGTTATTTTAGCACTTGCCTTGTCCGAATGTAAAGCAAGCACTAAAATAACTTTCATAGATGTAGCCATCTTGTTTCAGGCCTCTGATTTTGCTTTTTTCCGACTTTGTAACCGAAAGGCTAGGAACTCGGATGTGACGTCATTTTCAGCTCCAACATCTGACTTCTGAGGTAACACAAACGCAGCATTAAAACACTTTTGGTTCCAAAGGGCAACAAAGAGTCCAACGTTCCAACAAACTGTCTTTCTTCTCAGTTTTCATGTGTCAAAAAGTAGACGACTTTTTGACACATGACAACTGAGACGACAGACAATCGAATTGAGTTTTTCTTATCCTTATTCTTAAATGATCTCCCTGTTGAACTGTTACTATGTGAAGATGCAAAGCTATCCTGGTATACTTCAATACAAAGCATCCACCAACATCTTCTCATTTAGCAGACAGCAACAAGTCAGAGCAACACTGAAGCAGATTTCCTTTAATCTGATGTTTGTGTTCAATGCGGTTACGTCTTTTCTTATCTGTTATAAAACCTTACGGTGTAACAAACACACACTTCCTGTTTTCTACGCAGATAATGACGCCCCCGTTAACGTGAAGATACGCAGACTGTGTGTCGTATTAAGAACAAGAATAGCTGCTTTATTAATGAACGCCGTCTACGGCTGCAAACTGGAGGAAGAAGAGCTGTGAGATTTACAAAGAGTCAGAATTGGACAGATTTCTCCAGTCTGTCCAATTTGCAATTCATCTCGACTCAATCTGCGGAGTACAAACACATGGTAATTAAATGAGTGATCAGTATGAAAATGGGAGCCTCAGAGACCTAAAATTTAACAGCTGTTAACCTTCTGCTGATGGCTGCAGAGAGCAGAGCGTAGGCTGATTTCCCGGAGTTTTTTATTCTCATTGGCCTGGTGAAAATGTATCATTGCAACATAATGTGCTTTATCAAGATGCTTCAAATAAAAACGGACTCTATCCTGCTCTCTCGCCGGCTAAATGACCATTCAGACCACATGATGCCCCTTTACGCTCCCCGACAGCCAACTCTCCTCCTATCCCCCTAACAGCTCGCTCTTCTCTAATGGACTGTAAGAGGTTCCAGAAATGGACTCGCAACCACAAGAGCCGCCTGGACTCAACTTTCTCCCTGTGAAATCCGCTGTAACGCAGAAACAGTCAGGCATGCCGGCAGCAGTTCTGCCTCAGAGGACCTTGCCTCCTCTAATTCCAGGAGGGACGGTTGTAAACAAAAGTGTTTGTTTCTCGTTGTAAGTGGGCGGTTTAAATGCATGCTGAAACGCTCAGGAAGAAGTTATAGCCCTAACTCAGCCTGTGGTGCACCGCGCCTGTGTGTTTCTGAGGTATATACAAGTATTCTGCTGAGATGACATGCTGCAATAATGAGCTTTGTAAGCGCTAATGGCTGTTTATTTTATGTTCAGCTGACCGTTTGATTGCAACAGCGGCCCACGCTAAAGTATAGAACTAATGCACGGTATGGACCTTCTTCGACACTCTTCTGTTTTTATAGCTTCATGATTATAATGTTCAGAAAGAGGGCATCCCCCCTGAGATGTCGATCCAGTTTGTTTGGAGTGAAATCTCTCTCTCCAACAATGAGCAAATGAGAAGAATCACACCTCCGTCATTTTCTGTTTGCAGTTTATTTCTCAGCCTGTCTTCTGTCTGTCTCTCCTCTTAAAGCACTTGATCTCCCAGACGGGATCCGTCAAATCCCCACATCTATGCGTCACTGCTCCACATTATGCCTCTCCTGACAACCTGTGACACGCAATATTCTGTTATTCCAGGAGACACCTCAAGTTTACATCTTTACGCCGATGATTACTGCCGTTTTTCATCCAAGATTCAGAGTGTGCTCCCGCCTGAGTGGATGATTGTACGCTCTCACCGTTTGTGAGGGCTCGTCTAACTTGATTATATAAAGATTGCATAACATTAACATCTCTGTATTGTCTCTGTGCATCAACTATCACTCGCTCTCCCCGTCTGATGCCTTTTTCCTGCAAGAGCTGCAGTCATTGGAGCACCTAATCGCTTTTGGCCATGTAAACAATATCATTTTCAACAACGATTTCCTTTTCACAGCAGTTGATAAAAGTGTCTGTCTGGGGCAGCGAATGTGTGCAGACAGCCGCAGCCTCGTACCTGTGAAGACCTGACTGTCTCCCTGTCACTCCAGATCGAGTGTTTCAAACCCGGAGCAGGTCCCTCAGGGGGCTGAGGTGGCAGGAGGTACAAGCAATGACCCGTCAAAGACAGACAGGGGAGAGAAACGCGCCAGTCTTAACAGTATTACACTGTGAGAGAAAAAGTACTTTAGTTGATGAGATGGAATAAATGGAGCAGACAAACAGGCACAGGGGGCTTTCTGTGTCGGGGCTGATGGATGGGAAGCGAGGTTACATGAAGACAAAGGAAATCAGATATTTGGCTTGATGGGCAGAACTTCAGATGTCTGGAGTTTGGAGCAGAAAATTACAGCTTTCCTGTCACTGAATATGACAGCTGTGAAATATGAACAAGGTACAAGTGACAAATGCTATTTGGGTAATTTTTTACAGCTATGCTGATGCGATTTCATCATCCCTGGATCGTTAAACTGGGTATCCCTGAGGTAATAGCCCACTGCTAATGCTGTGGAGACGTGGTTTTATTGCTGATCAGAATCCCAACTGTGAACGTCGGCTATCATACTGTTTATGTCAGACACGATGTCACACTGAGGCATTTTACACTAATATATAGATGTTTTTCCAGACTGGTTTCGTCTCCCTGGTTCAATTGGCCATCAAATCCACATTAGAGGTGTTTTTGAAAATTTTCAGTCCACACGAAAACGCAGAAATAGTTAAAAAGATTCACATAAAGTGATGATAATATAGAAATAGCTCATCGAGTCAAACACCATAAAAGGAGTTCCTGTTCACGCCAGCTGAGTGTCTTTATATTTACGGGTTCTAATATGTCCTTGACCTTTTTTTATATTTAGGGGTTCTATTCTGACATTGATCTTTTTTATGTTAAGGGGTTCTAAAATGTCCTTAATCTTTTTTTTTTTTTTTAAACATTTAGGGGTTCTATTCTGTCCTTGATCTTTTTTTATTTTTAAGGGTTCTAATATGTCATTGATGTTTTTTATGTTTAGGAGTTCTTTTATGTCATTGATCTTTTTTTTTATATCTAGGTTTCTGTTCTGTCCTTGATCTTTTTTTTATATCTAGGTTTCTATTCTGTCCTTGATCATTTTTTATGCTTAAGGGTTCTATTTTGTTCTTGATATATATTGTAGAATTTTCCTCATCTTACCCTTTTAACTTTGTAAGCTTCCTGCAGTATTTTGCTAGCAGTGGATTGTTTTTGCGATCACCACATAGTAACTTCTGTGAAATCTGTTCCCGTTTGTTGTTCTGATTTAGTCTTAAGTGGGTCCATGATGTTTTTTTTCTGTTTACTATTGCAGAAAAGGCTTAAAGTTTGATACGTTGCTGGGTTAGAGTCTATGATAGTCAATAGCTACATTACTGGTGAGCTAGCTGACGCATAATGCTGCGTTCGAGTTACCTCGGAAGTCTGATGTCGGAGCTGAAAATGACGTCACACCCGATTTAACAACGCTTCAGTTACCAAATCAGAAAAAAACAAAATCGGAGGCGGAAACAAGATGGCTACATCTACGAAAGTTATTTTAGCGCCTATATATTATATTCGGACACGGCAAGCGCTAAAATAACTTTCGTGGATTTAGCCATCTTGTTTCCGCTTTCGAACTTGACTTTGTAACTGAAACGCTGGGAACTCGGGTGTGACGCCATTTTCAGCTCCGACATCTGACTTCTGAGGAAACTCGAACGCAGCATAAGTCTGCACGTAATGTGCATCAGAGGCATTTTTTAAATCTTGTTTCAGAACTGACACTGGTATTTTTATTGTACAAAGTGAACTGAAGAGCTTTAATTATCATTCAAATATGCATAAATTCACAGCCATCTCTTAAAAGCTGTGATTGCAGAAAAAGAGAGAAGAACTTCACTTCCTGAGCACATCCGCTGCTCAATTTGTGTTTGATTTGTACTGAATGTGAGCAGGAAGTGAGAACGTCTTTGTGTGCCCACTGAAGCTCTGGGAAATAGTGTCACTGGTGGGACTTTGACTCTTCGATTTGCTCTAATGACACCTCAGGAACAAACACACAAAACCTCACACACCTTACACTTAAAGACACCAGGGAGTAGCAGATTATAATTAGTGTGCAGGGGCTCTTTTTGGTGTGTGTGTGTGTGTAGGGGGATCAGACAGCCACTATTAGCTGTTAAAATGGGAAAAAGTCATTAGTTCATCTCATTACAGTCACAATTACCTGGAGGAGGGAAGGAGGATGATCTATTACCCATCATATATCACTGATCCAAAATCCTGGAGAAGCATTTGCAGATGTGTGGATTCATAATCACATCATGGGGCTGTAATCTAACATCATTTCCAAAGCCAGACCATGTGCTGCGCTGGAAATGATCTCTTACGGATTCACTGAAACGGTAACTTGGGCTGTGATTCACTGTTGGAGGACTTGAAGTGGCTCTCAGACTCCCAAGTTTCTCTCACATCGATTTTCACATTCAATTTTGGAAAAAGTGGCTGCGAATTCAAACACTCGTTCCAACATCCACTCTATAAAACGATATCCCTGCCAACAGAAAACTGCCCTGGACCTCATATCAGTAATGTTGACGGATCATATCAAGCTGTAACATAGCTGCTGCCTTGTTACCATGGTGTACATGCTGTGTATCCAGTATGCAAATCCCAGTCAGCTGTTTAAAACTATAGAGGGGCTAAATTACCTTTAATACATCTGTACTAGTTTCACTCTAACGCAGTTTGAGGGACATTATCAGTCTGTTAAAAATAAGTATTTATTAAAAATCTTATTTTATAGAATTTGTTCTTGTCTGTGTTGTTGTTTTTGTCTTTTGTGTGCAAATCGATGCCCTCTAAAGTTGTATTAATATGAATTTGAAATAAAAAAGCACTAAGAGCTCAGAAATATTACACATATTTAATCTATAATACTCAAAATCCACCATTCAAGCACTTCTGTATGTAAAAGCAGCAAAATATCACAGAAGCTTTTAATTTACAACTTCTCACTGCGAGAGAGAAAAGGCTGCGCAGCATGTGACTAACTCCTAAAAGTGTGACAACTGCAGAGAAAGGGGGTTTACTCTTCCACAAAAACACAAGTTTTGAATATGCAAATATGATGAAATAAGAACACATACTCACTGTGCTCCTGGATCTGCTCCTCTGAAGTCTGTTTGTTTAGAGCGCAGAGAAGGACGCACGTGAAGGAAGATATAAAAGGTGTTTTTGTGCTGCTGCTGCCTGCTTGGACTCGGCTCCGTCTCTCCTCAGGCACCTACCGGGCTTGTGGAGTACGAAGAGGCTGTTCGATGATCATGAGCAACAGGCTGCTCCCCCTCCCCTCCCTCTCCTCCTGTTCCCTCTCTTACTCCCTCCTTCCCTTCCCTTTCCTTTGCCCTCATCTCCCCCTCATCCCCCTCTCTCTCCATCAGCTCCTTCCTCCCCCCTATCCTCCGGCACTGACATCAGAAGTGGGTGTGCCATTAAACCAAAAGCTTTTCAGAGAAATCCATGGCAACCATCTATAGAGCCGCGTGTGCTTCCCCCTCCACCTTTAAATAGGAATAATCTGAGTCTGGTTTGATTGTAGATTCACACAGAGGTTTGTATTTGCGTGGAGGGTTACCCAGCTGAAGGGGAGGGAAGGAGAGGAGGGGAGGGCCTCTGTAGGCTGGTTAAGACTCACCCAGGCGTCCAATTTTAGACAAGTGGTGGGAAATGTTATCATGAGGTTCGATGATAAGAAGAAAGGCGTACAGTGTTTCTAAGAGACCAAACAATGCTGTTATGATTTGTTGAGTGTTGAGATAAAATATAAAATAACAAGCTGGCTTTTGATTTTGATGGTTCTGTGATTTTTAACCTTTAGTGCCGAGAAATCACCTGATCCTGTTACTGGACATATATGTCAAATAACAACAGCTGTCCTTTCTCCATGTGGAAAGTTGTGGTCATTGTTATATTTACTCTGAATACATTAATTGATCACTTCTTGTCCTTGTTTTATGAGCAGTTTTATCATTATTATCATTTTTGTCTTTTTATCGGTTTAGATGTGTTTGTTGATTTCTTTAAAGCCACTGTAAGGAGATTTAAGCCGATTTTAAAGCTCCTGTGAGAATTTTTTATGTTTATGAAATTGACTGAAATTCATACTGATGCCTTTTCTTCACCTACAAAAGCAAACAAGAGCATCAACAATAAGACTGATAAGTTTCAAACTGTTAATTTTGATGCTTAAAACCAAAATGAAGGGTAGGTGTCAGCTGAGGAGACACTTTTTTACCTCCTCTACGTTAAAAATTCACAATAAATTCACAATTTTAAGAATGTAGAGGACAAGATAGAGAGAGACTGTTTGTCCACTGGAGGGCGCTAAAATGAACACAGCCTGAAAGTTCCTCACAGGAGCTTTAATAAAGTAAGACTCATGTACCAGCTTATGAGGGAAGTTAGCCGTTTCTGTTTTCTGATTTTACTCTACACTTAAACAGTCAATTTTTAAATCAACTTTTAACATGGATGTTAATTTGAATATTAATTATCAGAATCATTCATTTTTTACAGATCAAGTCTCAGTTAGTTTGTTTAATGGGAAAATTAGAAGCTCATGGTAAGATGGATCACAGACAACTTGAGCACAAGCAAATCCATGGATCTTTACAGATACTTTGTTTGGATTAAATCTTTTATTGGACTTTGAATAGGTTTTCGTATCAGTATTAACATTCACCCTCAATTTTGAGCAGAATTAACCATTTATTTCTTGAGTTGTATTATGATGTTCTCATGGCTCTACAGCAGGATCAGCAGAAAGATGTCCTTTTTTATTATTAGACAAAGACGCTCTATCTCGCTCAGTTAAAAAGAGGAGAGTAAGAATAGATGTTTACGCTTTCATTGGAGTGCTGCAGTGCTCTTCAAGGACAGAGGAGCTCGACCTTGTGCATGTTAATGTTCTTCTGGAACACCAGAGCACGCGTCTTGACAGGAAGGAGCTCAATTATGCTTCTTTTCCATACAAAGAAAGATCCGCTCATTTTAAACAGTGTAACCACCACCTCACAGGAGCTTTAAAATCAGCTTAACTCTGTTTACAGGAGCTTTAAAAGAATCAACAAATACATCTTCATGGATCTTTTTTTAAGAGAGTGGACATTAAACTATGTGACTGCTAGAGGGCGCTGCTCAGGGTCAAATGCTAAGGCAGAACTACCGTGTCTGCAGTGTAAATCAATCAATTACTTGATTTAATGATTTATGACTTCAAGGAAATGATAAAGTAATGATCAGAAATGTTCTACCTTGAGCTGCGACACCCCACTGTAGTCTGTAATGGACTGGCCTGAGGTCTCGCTACAAACAAGTGGCTGCTGGAAGAGAGTAGGTGAGTTGTGTTTAGTCTCTTTGTTGTTGATGAACATTATTTGTGTTCTGAGCATCATTTGTGGCTATAGAGTGGCGTTTTGGTTAAGGTTTTGTTTATGGCTCCTCAGACTGCTGTGTATTGCTATCATGCGGTCGTTGGAAAAACTAGAGAAGCAAGCGGTCGGCAACGTGTAAGTAAATAAATCAGGGCTGAGAGCACACCTATAAAATTTGGGGCAGATTGGACATTGTACGTAAAAGTTAGTACCATACATCTCCACAGGGGGGCACTATAGATTAAACACAAATTTTTGACGATTGGGGGCTTCGTTGAGCCAGCGATTTCACAAAACCTATATCGTCTGACATTTTTTCTAGATCAGGTTTTTGCGTGGATTTGGTGAGTTTTGGCGAATGTTAGCGCCTGTCGTTATGTGATCAAAGAATCAATGAAAATCTGATGAGCTTGTTCGCTCTTTGAGGTTTTGTAGAGGCGTTTGTATTCATGTCAGATACCGTCATGAACCTGTGAAAAACTCTCACCGAAGCTTTTATATCTCACATACAGACATCCACTCAACATGCTCACTACCTTTAGAGTGTCTGATGAGAAACCTCACATCCAAACATCCAAAGAGATAAATGCGACACAACCTTTCAGTATTCCTGCCATGCCTGCGTTCGGTCTACTGAGCATTTCTTACCTCTGTTTCCCTTCAGTTTGCTCTATTATCCCTGTATTGATCCCGCTGTCTTGGACTGGATGGGAACTGTAAAAATAAGCAAACATGAAAAGTCAATCTCAGTCCATTATTCTCACTTCACTGCTTTAGACCCATGATGGCGAGGTGAAGGGGGGAAAAAAACTAAATGTGTGTTGCTACTGTGGCGCGTTTACTAAAATCATATTATGTGCTGCAGACCAAACAATGAGCGTGTGTTTTAATGGCGAGAGGTATCACAGGGAAAAGGAAGTGTGCGGTTCCTGTGAGCTATTATGTCTTAAAAGCTGAGCTGTTTTCCAGCTGGCTGACTAAAGGCTGTTGTGGATAATAACACGGACCAAAAATGAGAATACAGCAAACATAATATTTCCGAGGCCGTCGCAGACAAAAGAGGAGACAGAGAGAAATCTAAAATCGTCTCTATAGCCTCGGGTCGGCAAGTTTAGACTCAAAAACTCTGTCAGTGTCGTCAAAACTAAGTGGAACAATCATCCTCTATCTGCAACGCTGCATCCATCAGGGTTGTTTTCTCTGAGTTTTCCCAGACCACCATGGCTAACCAGTAAACTTCATATTTGATCATGTCCGGATGTCTCATAAGATGAAGTATAACAAGCACATCCTCCATTATTGAGGCCGCAGAGCTGCAGTACAAATCTAACCCTCTCCTGATTGGTTCATGCTTAAAAGCGGAGAACAAGAAGTGATTGTCTAAATCGAAGAAGGACTGGTCAGCAGCGTTGGTAGTGACTCTAAAAATGTTTGCGCTCTGACTAATATGTTTAGTGACGGGATTATGCGTTCCCATTTTTAGACTGAAGATCATCTTCCTCATGACTAAGTCCTAATTTATGCTAATTTTAGTTTGACACATGAGCGAGCCGCTTCATGGGTGTTAAACGAGTCTCAGTCAGACTGTACGGCTCAAACACGCGGGCTAAATATACCCCAAAATCAAAACAACTACTGCTGTATTTGCAATTCATCGTTATTACTCACAGTGCATTAGGATTCAGGCACGCTGTGTTTCCTACGACTCACGCAGAGCTGATAGTGGGAATAGAAAATCCTGTAAAAATAACTAAATATGTGGGAAACAGACTTCTGTGTGGAGAAAACTGGATGTTTGTTGAAGTCGTTTCACCAAGTCAGCACTGGCAGTGATTACGCCCACAGGTGTTCAGCTGGTTGTTGATTACTAATTACAGTTTGAACCCGTCTGTTCTGAGGACTCGTGCGCTCTGGAGCTGCGGTTTTCTCAGAGTTTAATTCTTCTTTAATATTTTCTCTTTTAATTTAATCTCATTCCTGCGCCCACCGTATAGGACTGCAGCGATCAGAAAATAAAACCTCCTTTCAGTCGTTTCTGCTTCTGTATTCAGACGATTTGATGCTCTTTTGCCTTTTTGGCGGTACAAAGAAGAGACCTTGGGTTTTGCAGTGAAAAGAAGTAATGTGAATTTCTAAAAGGCTAATCTATTCAATGGGAGTATTATATGATGATTCAGTTTTAAAAATGTGAGCTGGCTGCAACTTAAGATCAGATTTGAAGCGACTAAAGTAGGATTTTAGAGAGTGAGGGACATTTTTCACTATTTATGGTCTTTGATTGCCCAAATAGTGATACCATTATTCCTAATCCATTCACTTTAATGTTTCACCCAATTATTTCGTTTAAAAAAAAAAGTAAAAATTAAGTCACAAGGCCATATGTGGGGCATATCTGCACAGACACAGACATATCTGTAACTGGTTTATATCAGCAGACCATCATATAAGTGAATACTTATAGTTAGAAAAGATTATGCAGCATAAAATAAATATAAAACAAACACAATTTTATTCACAACTTAAATGTATTGACTCCTTATCAAAATGGATTAATGCTTGCTTCATTCATTTCTATGTTCGGTGTACCACAGGGTTTGATCATCGGGCCTCTACAGCTTTCTTCATGAAGTAATTTAATGGCTCTGAATGAGCCACATGTCCCATTTTTGTAAAACTGTTGGTTGATTTAAAGAAACTCAAAGGAGACATGCAGTAAAAACATAAAGATAATTCAACCTCAGGTTCGTTAAGGTGCAGTTCGTAAAACCCATAAGATCTGGAACGGCTCCGCTATGCTCCGGCAGGGCAGACATTATTGTCAATGTGTGTCATTCCACAGAATCCGTCTGCCGTCCGGCTCCGCTGAGGAAGTGCAAGGCTTCTACTTTTGCCGGATGCTGCAGCGCGGCGCATCAATTCAGTGCAGCGCAGCACGAGCAGAAGTTGTATGCAGTTACAGAGTAAAATATCCAGTTAATTTTCAAAATTAAATTAAGTCAATACGTTGAACTGTTCTTCACTT